TCTGGTGCATCTGGACCTAATTTTTTCATTCTTTCATGAAGTACTTGACATGCTGTATCAATTTCTTCTTATCCTGTTAAAAATAATAAAATATCTCCAGCTGGTTCTTCTAAATGGATTTATATAACACATAATTATGCAGCTTCTAAATAATCTTCTTCAGGTTCATTTGTAAAGAATACTTCAACAGGAAAATTACGTCCAGGAATTCTAAATATCTTGCAATTAAAAAAATAAGAAGAGAATTTTTCAGCATCTAAAGTAGCTGATGTTACAATTAAAGTGAAATCATTTCTTTTAGCAACAACTTATTTTAATAATCCAAATAAAACATCAGTATTAATAGTTCTTTCATGAGCTTCATCCAACATTATAACACTATATTAACTCATATCTTTATCTATTAAAGCTTCTCTTAATAACATTCCATCTGTCATATATTTAATAATAGTATTAGGACCTGTACAATCTTCAAATCTAATAGCATATCCAACTTCATCTCCAAGTTATACTCCCATTTCTTCAGCTACTCTTTTTGCTACAGACATAGCTGCAACTCTTCTAGGTTAAGTACATCCAATCTTCATTCCATTCCTACCATATCCTGCTTCCATCAAATATTATGTAATCTAAGTTGTTTTCCCGCTACCTGTCTCTCCTATTACTATAAGAATTCTATTTTCTTTTATGGCAGCTAATAATTCATTTTTAAAATTATATATTGGTAATGATTCTCTCCATTCTTTAATACTCATATGTGTTCTATTTCTTACACTAGATTTAAACATTGCTTCTTTTTTCCATTCTGGTATTTCTACTTACATTTAATTCATATTTCCACTTATCTATGCTAAAGGATCTTCTCTGTATTTATCTCTATTCTATTCATTTATTGCTCTTTATTATTATTCTCTCATTTCTCTTCTCTCTCTTGCTAATTATTATGCATGTAGAGCTTCTCTTTATAATGTACCTTCTGGATTCTTAACAACTCTTATTGGTGATAAATTTATTCCTGCTTTTGTTGTTTATCCTTTTAAAAATGGAGGTTCATAATCATTCATATCTATCTCTAAATCTTCTGAGTCTGAAACAAAACCTTCTGATTCTGAATCCTCTACTATTGCTTTATTATCTATCTAACGAACTAATTTTGAATTATATTCCAATCTTGTCTTCTCCCATAAATCTGGTGATGCTATTCTCTTTGCTTTCTTTTTACAAGCATCTTATGGTAAATCTAATTTCACTCCTGTTATTGCTCCATATTTATTATTATCCTTATTCTATTCTTATTATTTTATCACTTAATCATATTCATTCATTGCTTTTGCTTTCTTTTCTATCTCCTATCCTGTATTCTAATCTACATCTCTCATTGATAATGCTATCTTTTCATTCACTATACTTATCACCTTTACAAACACTTTCTAATTCCTTTTCAATATATCAAAAGGATTTGTCACTCTTTTCTCTCTTATATTTGATATATGTACTAAACCTTCCTTTCTACCTTTAAAACCTGCTATCTGTACAAAAACTCCAAAATCCTAAACTTTTGTTACNTCCATCTGTCATATATTTAATAATAGTATTAGGACCTGTACAATCTTCAAATCTAATAGCATATCCAACTTCATCTCCAAGTTATACTCCCATTTCTTCAGCTACTCTTTTTGCTACAGACATAGCTGCAACTCTTCTAGGTTAAGTACATCCAATCTTCATTCCATTCCTACCATATCCTGCTTCCATCAAATATTATGTAATCTAAGTTGTTTTCCCGCTACCTGTCTCTCCTATTACTATAAGAATTCTATTTTCTTTTATGGCAGCTAATAATTCATTTTTAAAATTATATATAGGTAATGATTCTCTCCATTCTTTAATACTCATATGTGTTCTATTTCTTACACTAGATTTAAACATTGCTTCTTTTTTCCATTCTGGTATTTCTACTTACATTTAATTCATATTTCCACTTATCTATGCTAAAGGATCTTCTCTGTATTTATCTCTATTCTATTCATTTATTGCTCTTTATTATTATTCTCTCATTTCTCTTCTCTCTCTTGCTAATTATTATGCATGTAGAGCTTCTCTTTATAATGTACCTTCTGGATTCTTAACAACTCTTATTGGTGATAAATTTATTCCTGCTTTTGTTGTTTATCCTTTTAAAAATGGAGGTTCATAATCATTCATATCTATCTCTAAATCTTCTGAGTCTGAAACAAAACCTTCTGATTCTGAATCCTCTACTATTGCTTTATTATCTATCTAACGAACTAATTTTGAATTATATTCCAATCTTGTCTTCTCCCATAAATCTGGTGATGCTATTCTCTTTGCTTTCTTTTTACAAGCATCTTATGGTAAATCTAATTTCACTCCTGTTATTGCTCCATATTTATTATTATCCTTATTCTATTCTTATTATTTTATCACTTAATCATATTCATTCATTGCTTTTGCTTTCTTTTCTATCTCCTATCCTGTATTCTAATCTACATCTCTCATTGATAATGCTATCTTTTCATTCACTATACTTATCACCTTTACAAACACTTTCTAATTCCTTTTCAATATATCAAAAGGATTTGTCACTCTTTTCTCTCTTATATTTGATATATGTACTAAACCTTCCTTTCTACCTTTAAAACCTGCTATCTGTACAAAAACTCCAAAATCCTAAACTTTTGTTACAACACCCTCATATATATGTCCTTTTTCAATATCTCTATGAGTCTTTTAAGGAGAAACAGATGATTCTTTTTTATCTTTTTTATCTTTCTTTTCTTTCTCTTTTTCTTTTTCTTTCTCTTTCTCTTTCTCTTTCTCCTTATTTTTATCCTTCTTTTTTTTCTTATCCTTTTTCTTTTTCTTATTTTTTGATTGTGATCTTGATCTCGATTGCTCTTCTATATCCTCTAATTATACTGCTTCGCGATTTGGCAATGCTAATCCCGGAAATTTTTATTCTTTTACTACCTACTCTATTTATGGTTGCTGTTCTACTTACTTTTTTTCTTAAGGAGACATCTTCTTTATTATATTAAATAAGGAATTTGTAAATTGATCTGTAAAATCAGCTTTTGCTGCATCCAATTTTTATTTAAATTCCTTTTCATCCTTACTTTATCTACCTAAATCAATAATATATTCAGCTAACACCTTGTCCTTTATTCCAGTATGATTCTCTAATTCTTACAACACTCTTGAACATAAAGAAATATATTATAATTGTAGCAACTAATTCATTACTATAATTAATTTCTACTTTTATCTTTATATTCATAAATTATAAATTAAAAACCAATTACACCATTTAACTTTCCTCTCTACCTTAACCTAAAACTATTTAAACTTTTAATTATTCCATTTAATACATTTATTATAAATCTTCTTATCAACCTATCTATTATTTAACTTTCTCTCTAATTTACAATAAATTTATAATATTTTTAATTTTTCAAAAGATGAAACCTGATAAAAAAAAACAATTACCACTCTAAAACCCTAAAAACACAACCAAAATTTCAAAAAAATAAGTTGCTTAAAAACTACCTGATGATATGGTATCAATTAAATTTTTAGATTAGGAATCTGAAATTAGAGAGAGATTCTTTTAATTTTTATGATCTTTAAAAATCAGGTTATATAAATCGTAATAATTTAAGATCAATTCTTGGTAATTTTGCTTTTATTAATAAAACCATAAAGGATATAGAAAATGAAATTCATGATATTTACAATGCGTATTACTTAATTTTAATTGAATTTTACATTTAGATCGAAAAGATAGCTTTTCATTAAAAGAGTTGATGCATCTTATCTCAAGAAGATGGTTCGAAAATAAAGGCAGAGATGAGGATATAGACGAAATTTATGAATTATTCGTTAAAAAGTAAATTCCATATTAATTAAAAAGAGATCACAAAATTGGATTAAATGAAATTAAAAATGTATTTTCTTAATATCTTGATCTTACGATTAGTGACTCAGACATACTTGAATTCATCTCTGATGCTAGCAAGGGAGAAGATACTTTAACTAAAGAGGATTTAGCAACCAAAATGAATTACTTTTGATTTATTTTACTTCATAAAAGATTTACATAAAATAAATTTTGAGAATCCCTAAATCAAGATTCCTAAAAACAACAATATTTTTAGGTTCATTTAGTATAAATATATTAATCTTTATTAAATTTTAATTGATTCATAATGAATTATAAAGATGCAGATCCTGAAGGAAGTGTATGTTCTTAACCAACAGCAAGCTAAACAGGGGAAAATTTTAACTAAAAGAAAGTTAGCTTTGCTAGAACAAAAAATTTTGTTAAATGCCCTAATTGTGAATAATTGGATTTGTAATTAAAAAAGACTGCAGAATAAATTTAAAATATAGAAGAATTACTTATAAGCTTTTAATAACAAATCGAGGATTAGAACTTATAGAATAAGAAGCAAAAATAAAAATATGATGAGCTACTTATAGAAATGTAAATAATAAGTGAAAAACATCACTAAGAATTAATTAATAATGGAATTTTATAAAAACAAAATATTGAATTGAGAAAGGAAATTTTAAAATTGGAATAAAATATATCTAAAATTCAGTGCCAAATTTACGAACCGTATATCTTAATTATTTTATAATAGCTCTAAAAGAACCTCAGAATAAAAGTTTATTGAATCTTTAATCTAAATGTTTATGAGTTTTCATTCTAAAGTATAATTCCCAGCAACACCATAACTAAAATAAGTTTGGAAATGGTTAAAATAGATTATTTCAGAATATGCAATTCTCAAATAAAAAGAATTATAACTTCATAAGTGATATCCTATTAATATTTTTTAAGTAATTATATAACAATTTTTCATAAAAAATAAATAGAATATATTCAAAATTGGTTATCATCATTACTTTTTTTTGAATCGACTATTAAAGATATCTAAATCATTGATGATATGAATAACATCCTTTAGATCTGTATTTACACAAAGATTTATGCTTTATTTTTATTTTATACTTTTTTTTATTCTAGTTTTGCTATTAGTATCTGAATCCTTTTTTCTTGGTTTTAATGTAGAATCCGTAATTTCCGTCAATTTTTTCTTACTTTATTATGCTTTTTAAATATCACTTTTTATTTTTTATTTTGCTTCTTTCGAAGATTAAACTTAATTTTTGGATTCAAATAAATTATTTTTATTTGCTGAAGTTGATTTGCTGACATGAAGTTTTGCATAGCTTTTACCAAAAAACTCAGTGGCAGAAGATTTTTATTTTGGTGTTGCATTTTAGGTATTGTTTCTCTTAAAACAAACTGAGTTAATATTTTATTTATCTTTGATAGGAGAAATATCATTTGATTAGAATAAAGCCTTTTCTTTTGTGAAATTTGATATTTATTCATCAAGTTTATCTATTGGAAGAGATTCTCGATGAAGTTTATTAAAACAAGTTTAATGAGCAAAATCAATTAATAGTTTCTCTGCTTTAGATTGTATTTGATTTTACTGTTAAGTAACTTCTTAAAATTCTTCTTAATTTTATTTTAATGGAGGAGAATTTGGTTAAGAATTTGATATATTTTAAAATGTACTACATTATTTTAATAAGGAATCGTATTTCTAAATTTTCATTTACAGGTCTTTTTAAATATCTTTTATTAATGTGCAAGATTATTTTTCCATTATTTTTGCTTTAAATAAGGATTCATTAAGTTTTATATGGGATTTATCAGGAGAAATCTAATTAGACACTTTTTATGCATAAGAAAACTCATGAATTCGTTTTTTAGTTTCTACTGGCATAATTTCCATTTCTGAACAAAGAAAGATGATAATGATTAATTAATTTTATTTACCTGATAAAAATCAGATAAATGCATAATTAAAATGTGATATTTCAAACTCAAAAGTTAGAAAAGTTAGACCCAATTTAAAAGGATCTATTTTGATTAATTGAGATTCATCCTTTTTCAAGTCATTATTTTTCAGATTTAACTACATCATAATTGAATTAAAAACTTAGAACTAAATAAAAGTATAAGACATTCTCATCAGTAAATAATTTTTTAATTTAGTTAAATAATTAAAATAGAAATAAAATTTATTATGGATTAAATTGAATTACTAAACCTTTGGAAAAATATAAAAAGCAATCTCTAAAAAAAATATGCAAAGATTAGTGCTGCTTTTGTTGATATGGATTATAATAATTCTTAAAAAATAGAAATAGATGATCTAAAATAAGAGTTGTAATAAAATCATGGAATTTAATCAGATGAGTAATAAATTTAAATTAAAGTAGAGTAATTTAGTAATTATTTTAACTTTTGAATTAATCTAGATCAGGTGCTATTAGTTTAGAAGAATTTGAGCGAGCTTGGACATAACTTGATTAATAAATATAACAGGCTTCAAATTAGTAAAAATTTTAATTCCAAAAATAAGTTGGAAAATAAGATGATTAAATTCTTAATTCTTCTGGATAAAAATCAGCATAATAATTTTCAGAATTATTTAAATCAAATGCCTCAGGTAGTTCTCCAAAAAAATATATCAATATTTAAGGGGATTTCCAAATTAATTAATTCACATAAAATTATTCCCCTCCTAAATAGCAATATAATCAATTGAATTTTTTAGAAACTTTCATTGGTACAAAGAGAATATCACCACCAAAAACATCATTTTTATTGAAAAGTAAATTGGATGTTCAATAAGACAAATTAAGAAACTTACAAAAGAGAATAACCACCCTATTTAATACAAAATCATATCAAAGAAATTCAAGTCCAAAATTAAGAAAAGATTTTGATAGTTATTTGAATACATTAAAATTGGGAAAACCAAATACTCAAAGAAGACAGTAATCAAATCCTTAGATATTATTTGATTATCAATAAATTTATGGTTAACGTAGATCATAAAGAAGCTATGAGTAAAGATGGTCTTATAATAATAGAAAGAATACTTCATAATCAAATAGGTCTTTAGATAGAATATCCTTACAATAATATGCATATTAGTATTAGGATAGAAAATATGCTAATAAATAATTAGCATAATTTACATCTAATAAGCAAAAAGGATTATAAACAAAAACAACATTTTGGTTCAGATTATGAATTATTTGTATTATATATATTAATTTACAGATAAAGGAGTTTATAAATAAATAGTAATGACAGATATCAAAATTAGTAATTAAACAAAAGATAGAGCAGCTGCGTGTAAAGCTTATATAGAAAGAAAATATAAAAGTTTAATAACAAATGAAAGAGAGAAGATGGAAAATTGGTAGTAATTGTAATACACATTAAAAAATTTAAATTTTACTCCAATAGAATAGGAATTGATTAAGAAGGAGATTTAACATAAGGAAGCAATGCAATTAAGAAAAAAGTTTATATGAATTAATAATTTTTAGAAGATAAAAAATAACAGTAGAAGATTTTGAATCTATAGCTATAATTGGTAGAGGAGCATTTGGAGAAGTAAGAGTATGTAAAACAAAACAGACGAATGAAATAGTAGCAATAAAAAAGATGAAAAAAAAAGAAATGCTTTTCAAAAATTAATTAGGACATGTTAGAGCTGAAAGAGATATATTAGTTTCATCAAAATGTTAATGGATAGTAGAATTAAAATCTTCATTTTAAGATGATGAAAATTTATATTTAGTAATGGAATTTTTAAGTGGTGGAGATCTTATGACTTTATTAATAAAAAAGGATATCATTCCAGAAAAAGATGCTAAATTTTATATTGCTGAATTAGTTTTAGCTGTAGAAGAAATTCAAAATATGAATTACATTCATAGAGATCTTAAACCAGATAATATATTAATTGATACATAAGGTCATTTAAAATTGTCCGATTTTGGTTTGTGTAAGCATTTGGGTTAACATTATGATATGGCAATTCCGTATAATATAAATAATAATACTGGTATATAAAATAAATCAAGAAATGAATAGAGAAGATAATTAGCATATTCAACAGTTGGAACACCTGATTATATAGCTCCTGAAGTATTTTCATAAAATGGATACAATTAATTAGTTGATTGGTGGAGTGTAGGTGTAATATTATTTGAAATGGTTATTGGATATCCTCCGTTTTATAGTGATACTCCATAAAAAACATGTTAGAAAATTTTAAAATGGAAAAATAATTTTAAATTTCCTAAAGAGCCAAAAGTGTCTCCTTAATGTTAAGATTTAATCACAAAATTAATAACAGATGTATCTGATAGATTAGGTGATGCTACAAAGATAAAAAAACATCCTTTTTTTAATGGAATTGATTTTAATAATATAAGAAATTAAAAACCCCCATATATTCCTGATAAAAAGAAATTAACTTCTAATTTTGATAATTTTGAAGAAAAAGAACCATGGAAACATATAACTCATAATAGAGAAGAATCAGATTAGGATAAAAATATATCAAATCTAAATTAGAAATATTTTAATGGATATACATATAAACGTAATTGGGATGTTGAAATGAGTCCTGTAAAGAGGGCTTTAGAGGAATTAGAAAATATAAAACCTTCAGGAATAAAAGCAGAATTTGATAAGAAATAAAGATCTTAATCTCCAAAACCTATAACAGCACCTCCAGAATTAAATAAATCTTAAAGATCCTAATCTCCAACAATAAAAGAGTAATTAAAAAATACATATATGTAATATATTGGGTAATATATATCACCTCTAAATAAATAAAAATAACAATTGAAACAATAAAAATGAATACAATTGATATTCTAATATAAGATTAATCATTTCTCTGAATTTCTAAGTTAATATTTTCTTTTTTATTTTAATTATTTTTCTTTAAGCAATTATATCTATTCTTCAGTTTATTTAATTCTTTTAAGTTATTCATCTTCATTGCTATCTTTCATGATTTTTTTTTCTTTAGAAATGGCAGGAAGAGCAGGTAAAAAAGGAGACGGAGATTTTTCATCTAATTGATGTTTGACACTTTAAAATGATAAAAGTTAACATACTTTTTAATAAGTAAAGGTTTAGGTTCTCCTTCAATATCTAGTTTCTTTTATACTAATTTTTGTTGTAATATTTATATTTCTGGTTTAATAGGTTTTTTATTTTTTTTGACAGCTTTAACAGGATTTCCAGCATAAATTTAATGAATTAGATTTAATTTTTCAGTATTTTTAGTACCTTAAGATGAAATTTCAAGAGATTGTTTAGGTTACATATATGATTCATCATTTTTATTTTATTTTTTACTAATAACAGAGGAAGCATCATAAGATTAGATTTATGAATCATCTAATCTACGACCGATTCTTGGTAAATGTTCTATATTTGAATTAGTTAAAGGATCTTCAACATTTTCTTAATTTGATTTTTAAACAGCTAAAGTTTGTATAAATTAATTTTTATCTATTCTCATCATTTTAATTGGTGCATAATTAGGTTTAGGTAATCTATCAGTTAAATAATGCATAACTCTAGGTACTCTGATAGTTTACAATAAGAATTTAGCACCTTCTTCTTCAATTAAAACCTTATCATCCATTCTATTAACAACAGCAGATAATTATAAGATTTTATCACAAGATGGTCTTAAATGAGGTTAGACTTAAAGTAAAGCTCTAATAACATTGCTTAGATCTTAACTATAAATTGTTGGTATTTTTGGATAGTAGCCTCTCACAACTTTCTTATAAAGTCCATTCATGTCTTCTGCTCTGAATGGAGGTTTCAATGTAGTCATTTCATAAAGAACACAACCTAATGACCAAATATCAGATTTAGAATCATAAGGTTAATCCTTCCATACTTCTGGAGATGCATAATATGGTGTGCCAGTTTAAGTGTATAATAGTATTTTTTTAGCCACTTTAGATACATTCATATCTCCTAACTTAACAGTTCCATCTACATTCATAAAAACATTTGCTGATTTTAAATCTCTATGATATATCTTCATATCGTGTAATGCCTTCAATCCCTTGACTATCTTAAAATAGATAAATGAATTACTTATGTAAAGTGGTTCCAAATATCCTTCTCAGCCATTAACATTCCTTTTTTCTAACATTCAACTATCTTTTGAAATAAATCTCCATCATCTGCATACTCCATCACAATACTATTTAGAAATATACATTTTACCATAAACTCTAAGATACCTCTTCCAAAAAGGCCTCCTTATATTAAATCACATTTGCATGTCTCACACTTGCTAATATTCTAACTTCATTCAAAGCGTTTTATTTTTCTTTGTCTGATAATGATTGTAGTTTCACTTTCTTTAAAGCATATTCTAATCCATCTGCTATTCTCCTTACTTTATATACTTTCGAGTACGCTCCCTCACCTAACTTAATTATATATTATACCTAGTTCTTATAAAATCTAAAAGTCTTTTAAGGACATTTTCTACCTTTTTTCTATTTTTTATTTATATATATAATTATTTATAACAATCAAATTTATATTTATCATAAATTTTAATCATTCTAATCTATTTCATTAAAATGTGATTTATTCAAATTTGGAGAATTAATTCCTTATTCATTTCTAAATTAAATATCTTCATCATTTTCTGTTAAATTATTCACTTCATCATAATCAATAGCGAAATTTGTTTATAATTTTAATTGTTACTTTCCCAACAATGTCTAATTATCTTTTATTTAATTAATTGATTAATTTATAGCATCCATTTCCTAATCATATATATAAATTTTACCTCATAAGATTCATTTCGATTTCTATCATATATATATTATTCTCCATTTCTAGTATATTTAATCTTTTCTGATCTTACATACTGTTTCCAATATTCACCAACAGGTCTCACATCATCAAATGTACTAATCAATTATAAAAATGGTATTAGATCTAATAATTCTGTATCACTTGGATCATCAAAATAATTCTTTATATGAATAGCATTTTTAGGTTAAAGAGAAAAAGAAGTATGAGTATTATCAATTATTATTATGTTATTTATTGATCTTTACAATTTTTATAGATCTTTTACAAATACTCCATTTAATATTGAACAGTTTGGCCTAAACAATCTCAAAGCACAAACTTCCTTCGAATCTATTCTATCTATCACTGGATTTGCATACTCAAATTTATTTATATAATTACTTCGCATATACTTGCAGTAAATATGAATATTTCATAAAATTCTGCCATTTTCATTAGGAATTCTTCAACACCAGGCCTTATTCTAACATAAATTGTATAATTTGCATTCATTACTTTAATCTCTTAATAATCATAATTCAAACCTTCAAAATAAAATCTGGATCTGAAATATAATTGAAAGAACTATGAACCAAAGTTTCATCCAAATCTATCACTAATGTCTTTCTACCCATATGTTAAAGAGATTATTTTGGAATTTGAATTGGTTTTTAATTATAGGATAATGTTATCAATCTATTTAAATTTAATACCCTTACGATTTGAAACATTCACATTTTATTAGCGACTTTAATTAGTTATATAATGAAACAAAAAAATTTTATTTTTGTTCCTCTTAAACTATTATATTGCTTGTTCTCATTAATTAATTATTTATATTTTTAATTTATTATAATTGTCATCCTTTTACCAGTAACAATGTCATCATTTTTAACACCAACAAGAGACGAATTATTTGATTCATTAAGATTAACTGATATTAATAAATCAAATGAATCAATAGAACCCTCTCCCAAAAAGTATATTAAAGTAATTTATCTTATCAACATTCAGATAGGAGATTATGATAACACTACTTAAGAAAATTAAGATTAATCTATTGAAAAAAATATTATTATTCCAATTCCCATAAAATAACATGTGTCAGTTTCAAAATAAGGCCAAAGATTGATTGTTAACCCTAAACTGAAAATTGTAAATAATTTATATAATTTATTTTAGAAAATGCTGAATCTTTACATTTCACAAGCTATTGTTGAAGAAGAGGACAATATTTTCAATTGTACTCAAACAAAGAAATGATAAATCCTTATAATTTTTGAATTTGATACTATAGATCAATAATATGAATCTTCACAAACTATTAATTAGATTATTAATGGTATGTATTTCCTTTATTCTTAATTTAGTAATTAATTTGCTTATTTCAATTATTCACTCTCTTAACTATTCTCTAAGGTCTGATAGGCTCTCATGAAAGAGTCTAAACCCATTTATTATTCTAAATAATATCTAAGAGCTTCTATCTTATAACCAATAGTGTCTCTTTCAGAAGTTCCTGGAACTTAAAATTATTTTTATTGATTAAGAAATCTATAATATATTATTCATAAATTATTACTAAGGAACTATTTTAAAATTATCAACGATAATCGATTCATCTTCTTCCTTAGATTATCTTTTATCCAAACATTTTCTCATATCTTTAATAAGAAACTTATAGCCTTATTATTATTCAAAACTATCATCTTCTCTTGCTAAACTTACTATTGATTCTTTTCTCTTATTTTCATGCAAAATTGGACTCTTATTTTAAAGTTTTACTATATTAGTGTTATCTTTTAAGTAAAATTTATTTAATAATTCTAAATTTTGATATTTAATAGGTTGTTATTAATTTTCTTTCTAACTAACTACACTGGCATATGATTAGGGCTTTTCAAATTTTTCATCTATTTATTAATATTATTATTATTGAGAATGAATTTGCTATTATTATATTGAATAATTTTAATTGATTGATTATAAAGGCGAATTTTATCTATTAAACAATTATTTTAATTCGACTTTGCTATTATCTTTTTTTGGTGAAGGTTTTTTACTTGCAACAGTTTATATAATCTGTCTTGAAGTAATAGGTGAATTATTTTGACTTTGATTTTGAGAAATCTTATTTTATTCATACTATTTTTATTATAACTAAAATTATTATGCAGTCTATTGTGGTTAAATAAATCTAAAAAGTAAGATATAATTATATTACAAATTTTCTGTTGGTTTGATATCTGTTAATTCTTACAATTCATGTCTATTTAATGTTGAAACTAGTAAATTTCCTATTCTTTATTTTAAAAAATCTCTTTCTAAAATTCGTTTTATACTAGGTCTTTTTGAAGGATCCTTAATTAACATATCAGCAATTAAAGATTATAATTCTGATGAATATTATGATGGTATTGGAGGATATGTACCTCTTAATATTTTTAAAACCAATTCTTTCATCGATAATGCATCAAATGCATGATTCAAAGTAGTTAATTCATACAAAATACAACCAAGAGACCAGATATCAGATTTTTAATTGTAAGGTTTCTCTTAACAAATTTCTGGACTTAAATAATATGGAGTTCCAATGGCTGTTTTTGCACAATCATATGTATGTTATAGAACACGAGCAATACCAAAATCTCCAATTTTAACATCATTTTTGCTTGTTAAGAATATATTTTATGTTTTCAAATCTCTATGTAATATTTTTCTCTCATGAATGTGATTCATTGCCAGAGCCATTTAAACAAACCAGTCTAATATTTATTCTTCAGAAAAGAGAATTCCAAGTTCTTTTTACTTTGCTATTTTACCATATAAATCACCACCATCAGCATAATCCATTACTATACATAAACATCTGAAATAAGTTTTATAAAGGAACAAATACTTTTTTTCCATAAATGATTCTCTATAAGTTATAATATATGGATGTCTCATTGCCTTTAACACATGAACTTCATTTAAAGCTTCCTCTCTTTATTTTCTATCCATCTTAGAAATATCAATTATCTTATTTAAATCATTTGATACTTTAATAATATAGTTTTTCTTATTTGACAACGCCTAGGCAAGAAGAGCATATCCAAAACTACCTGATTTATTTTATCATAATACCTTTTCCAACTACTCTTATTTTTTTGTATTTATCCATCCAGTTTAAATTTTAAATTTAATTATTTATGAATTATAAAATACTGTTAAGAAAAATAATTATCATTCTTATATGTAAATATTGAATGACAAAAGGTCATAATTTTTTAAGAAAAAAAAAATCCAATATTGAACCTATTTTAATAAGAACAATTGATAAAAAAAATAGATATTTTTCAATTTCTAATATATAGAATATTAATAATTTTAATAATAGAAACTTTATTTAAAATAGAAAATCAAGCATTATTTGTCTAAATTATGTAATAAGTAAATATTGAAATATACTGAATGTCTCTGTAATTGATTCTTAAATTAATATTTTATTAAATAATGGAAAATTATAATTTCTCTGCCTCATCTATATCTATATAAACAGAAGATTCAAAATTATCTTAAACAGATTAATAGTTTAGTAGTCCTTTTAAATCAGAGAAAATTAAATTTTTAGAATTACATAATCAAAAATAAAATAATTATTCACCTCAATAATCATAAGTTGAAGTTTAGACTTAAAAAGATTGTTAGGAGAATATAGATTAGATATCAGTATAAAGATCTAACAGTTTTTGTGGATCATAATTAAAGTAAACTAAGGCATCATAAATTAAAAAGAAATTAGTAAAGAGATGTTAAAACCTAAATAAGCATAATTAGTAAAAAGTCGAAAAATATTTTGTCAAGAAAAACAATTAAATAATAGAAACATCATTTGAGAAAATAAAGATAAAGAGATCTAATTTTTCTGGAGTGTTTCTAACAAATTTAAAGTAATATTAGAAACCAATTCAGGTTCGTTATTTTAGATCTACAATCACAAAGGTTCTGGTAATTGACTAAGAAATGTTAGCTGCTGAATTTATTGTTTTAGCATTAACATAGTTCTAAAATGATATTAGATTGGATCAATCTTTGTATGAATTTCCAAATTACAGTTTAGCCTATTAAATAGAAGGATAAGATGATTAGCAGGATTTAGATGAATTTACATATCGAAGACCGCTTTAAAGATATAAAAGTTTTGGATCTCTTGAGGACATGATGAAATCAAAAAGAGAAAGTTTAAAGGAAATAGATTTTGAATAGAAACCTGTTTCTTAGGCTGAAGTTTCATTGCTAGCTGATGATGAAATTGATGATAAAATAATTTAAATTGATTTAGAATCTCCAATGCGATATTATAAATCTGTTGATATTGTACCAATACTAGATTCAAAATAGTTAGATATTGATTTATAGATGGTAAAGATTTTACATCAATAACTTCCAAATTACATACTTATTCTTATTGAAGAACCTCTCAATAAAGGAAGATTTCATATCAAAATTCGTCCAAATTAATTTGTGGAAGATTTATTTATTGAATTAGTTAAAAAGGCCAATAAAAAATACAGAAGTACTGACTATAATTTAAATTTAAAATATCCATGTATTCATATGGGTACCGAACCTATTAATTTAAAAATACCTATTAGTAAATTGCCTATACATTATTTGATTCTTACTTAAAAGTTTCAAAGTGAAAAAATTCGGTCATCAAGATAATGTACAGATAGTTTTACAATTAATATCAACAAAGATACAATTTTCTCAAAAAGTGCTAATAAATCATATAGATTATTCTAAGAAGAAGGTAAAACAACTGAGAGCACAGATAAATTTCGAAACTAATATTCGTATTAAGAGTACTAATTATTAAAGATTGATAATTAATTTAAAAACAATGTGATTTTAGGAATTGATTATTTCGATTTATATTACTCCTATACTTAAGATCGATAGAGATAATTTTCAATAGGAAAATTTTGCAAATAAATTTCCGAAATTTTATTTGAAGAACCATTAATTCAAAAAGATTATAGAAGATTGCCTTTAAATAAAATATAAAAAATTGAATTAACTAAAGATTTTCATCTGATAATAGTTTATGAGAAAAGCCAAGACTATAAAAAATAACTTCATTTTGGAATAGATATAAATCAAGAGAAATCAAAAATAGACCTACAATAGAAAACTGTTATGAATGCTTACAATAAATTAGAATATTTAGTTGATTTATATATAAAATATAAATAACAATTATGAATTTATTCAATATTGATAACTCTGTAGCATTAGAAACTCCTTACTCAATTCAATCTAATACAATGAGTGTTTTTATAGATAAAGATTGGCTTTCCAAATAATTAGAAAATGTGCAGTATATTGACTACTAAAACTGTAATTAACCAAGTAATACTGACATTTCAGAGTTTGTACTAAATTAATCAGTTGGAGAAAGTCCATTTATTTAATAACATAAAAGAGATCCTATAGATTTTTCATTGTTAAAAATTGAAAAATTAGAAGATTATCAATAAATTAATTATACACCAAAAAAGCAATATTCATCTGCAAAAAGAAAATAAAATTATAAAAAAAGTAAAACTTCTACTACCGGCTTTGCACTTGATAAGAATGATGAAAACTAAAATGATATAGAAACCTTGAAGAAAATAAAATCTTCATAAATTCAAAAAAAATCAGAATTTACAAACTAATTAAATTAATATAAATAGAATTTTTCAATATAAATCCAAGTGAAATATTTTGGAACATAATATTAATAAATCATATCTGTTGATGAATCAATTAGAGCTGCCGAATTTATTGTATTAGCTTTGAAAAAATTTGCTTCTGATCCTAATAGTGACAAATCTAAATTTGAATATTAAAATTTTACGTTAGCTTATAAATTGATTGGTACAGACATAAGTCCCTCAAAGTATATATATAATAATGATGAGAATTTTGACAATGATAGTATTATTTAAGAAGATGAATCTTTAGAATAACCAGAAATAGATTTAGAATCTCAACTATTCAATAAAATGGTAGAATTATTACCATCTACTACGAATTTTGGATTAGACTTTGAAACAATAAAACAAACATTTGTATCACATCCATAATCTATTATTTTATTAATAGAAGACACTTAATCTTAAATCTTTTATCATATTAAAGTAGATAAAAAAGATAACTTGGGAGATTGTTTAATTGAATTAAATAAAAAAGTAAGTAAAAAATATTTAAAAAGTGATTACTATCTAAGTCTAAAGTTCTCCTGTGTTAATTAAGATTATGGAGAACTAAACGAGTTATTTCCTATTAATTAATTGCCTATTCATTGGTTAGTTATTATTTTAAGAGTAAAAGATTAAATTTCAGAATCATTGGAAGAGGTCTCAATGGCTAATATTTGCAGAACATTTAATAATACAATTAATGAGAATATGAGTGCCTCAAATTCGTGTCGTTTCTTATCATTAAACTTTATGTAATTAGCAAAAGTAGAGAAATTACCTTTATTATATGGATATTAAGAATTCAATTTTATAATAATTCAGAAAGGATAATAAAATGATGTGGTTTTGGGGATTGATTATTTTGATCTCTATTTAACATATAATTAAAAATAATCTAAAAAATTAGGAATTATCAAATCGGTATCCAATATAATAAAGTCATTTTTTATTTAAAAAGTAGCATAAAAACCATATAAAAGAATTCCAATAAATGCAATTACAGATTTAAAGCAGCATGAAGAAAAATATTTTGAAGTATTCTATGAATTATAAGATGGATACTAAAAATAAATGAAATTCCTATCCAAAAACGATGACAAAACTGTTTTTCGAGAAGCTTTCACTAAATTAGAGTATTTAGTATCAATAAAACAAATTCAATGAATATAAATAATTCATTTTTCGGTGTTATCACCATTTTCTCAATAAATATTTTAGATATTCTCTCTAGATTAATCTTTAATATATTTATTATTTAATCTATTAGATTTTTATTGAATTATAATTTAATAATTATATTTATTTTTAAGACTTAAATCCTAAAAATTAATTCTCTGATTAAATAAATTGAATTAAGAAATTTATTCTGAGCTTATTTCATTTAATTATAAAGGATTATAAAACCAGAAAGAAATGAATAAATCTAAATATATCTTAAAAAAAAACCCAATATTAATATAATATTAATTGTTACTCAATTTTAAAGAAATCTAATTAAGGTTATTTTATATTTAATTATATGCAATAATAATAAGCATAAATTGGATAAGGACCCTTGTGGTAAACGGTGCCTTAGGATTTTGTATTTCCTAAACCTAAATTTGAAGCCACAGTGACAAAATTAGGAAAGAAATAACATGAAAGACATTTAGTAATAACTGATAAACATATATTATTATTCAAAGTAATAGTAATTATATTGAAAAGGATAAAAGTAAACATGTTCATAAATTGCTTCCTTTGAATTTTACTACAAGATTTGAAATATTTAGAGATGCTCCTGTTTTGAAAGCAAATGCATCTTAAAAAAAATCAACTCCTAATACTCCTCATTCAAATAGAGTTGATATTGTTAAACCAGAAGATGTTTAGACTCTAGGTGACATTTTACATATTAGATTGTAAAGTGAGAATACAGAAAAATATTGGGATTTCACTGGTGATTAAGAGAGTTTAAAAATATTTAGAAAACATTTTGGATAGAAAATCAATTAAATGGGATTTCATCATATGTTCAAAGTTTTTAAAAAGATAGGAAAGGGAAATTTTGCTAGTGTTTATTTAGCAGAAAGAATTGAAGATGGATAATAAATGGCTATCAAAGCATTTTCAAAAAGTGCTGTATATGCAGAAGAGAATGGAAAGGTATTGAGTCTTTTTGATAAATTTAAAGGAAGGTCTAATAAATGAAATAACAATAATGAGAGAACTTGATCACCCAAATATTATGAAATTATATGAAGTTTACGAAACTTAGAATTCATTATATATGGGATTAGAATTATTACAAGGAGGATAATTATATGAAATTATGAAAAAGAAAGTAATTCTAACAAACAAACAAATTCAAGCAATAATGAAAGGCCTTTTAGAAGGATTAGCTCATATGCATTCTAAAAATATAATGCACCGAGATCTAAAACTTGAGAACATTTTATTTAAAGAATAGAAGTATATTATTATTCATTAAACGAAATTAGCGATATCAATTCAGTAGTTATAGCTGATTTTGGTTTAGCCACTTTCGTAAATCTTCCAGTATATCTTTATTGCAGATGTGGTACTCCAGGGTTTGTAGCTCCAGAAGTCATCAATATTACTGATATGACAACAACCTATGATAGTGTTTGTGATATTTACTCTCTTGGATTAGTTTTTCATATATTATTAACTGGAAAGCCAGGATTTCCAGGGAGAAGCTATAATACAATTGTTTAATAAAACAAGGAAGCCAAAATCAATTTTAAAAGCCCAGTATTTGATGTTGTACCACCACCTGCTTTTGAATTGCTTAAACATATGTTGGAATCCTCTCCTAAGAAAAGAATTACAGCTGTTGAAGCCTTAAAGTACGAGTTTATTGCATTGTGTGAAAAGACAGTGAACATTTCCTAAGAAGATGATGGTAATATTGGAGATATAGATGATAAACCTGGACTTAATGTTAGAATATAATAAATTAATGAACAGTATATCAAAAATGTTATTTATTTAGAGCTGCTAAGTTTGACATGCTTAGAATTAATCAATTAACAAATTCGCCTCTTAAATCCCCTGTTATGCAAGCCACTAATAAAATGAAAGAAGTTTAAAATAAAGATTAATAAATGATTATGAGAACACCAGTTATAACAGGACGAACTGTAGCATGTGAAGGTATTTTAATATTATAAATTAAGAATCTCCAAATATGAATTAGTTTGTCTCTCCAAGTGTTTAATTCAAAAAGCTCTAATAAAAGTATTATCCTAAGTTGATCATTTTAGTTAATAATAAGCACCTACAGGAAATGTTTTATTGAAATATACTCAAAAACCATAATAATAGCAATCTAATACTAATGAGGATGAAAAAAAGGATTAAACTAATATTGCTAAATCAGTTAAAGCTGCCTTAAGTAAACATGTATGAAAATTATAAATAAATAAATATAAATATATTTAATTCTATTTTTCATATGTCTTTTATATATTTAAAATTTTCTGGTTCTTTTAAAGCTCGAAGTAAATTATATCTGTATTTTAAATGCCATCCCGTATTTGCTATTCTTGAGTTGTATATATAAGACACAGATTACTGCTTTAAGAAATATTCACTAGATCTATTTTTAAAAAATTACCTAAAGATTCGAAATGCTTTATTAAATTATTAACTTTTTTCTTCATTTGTATCAACCCAAAGATCTCTCAGTTACTTAATATTTGTCATCTAATTTTTTTTATCCTTTAATATCGTTACAAATTCTTCAAATTTTTCATAATTCATTATTTTTAATCCGATATCTTTATTTTATATAATATAGCTAATTATTGCTTTAGAAAAATTTTTCGTTATATTTTTTGTATCATTTACTTTTCCTTTTTTAATCTTATTTTTAAGTTTAAAATAAGAATTTTTGATTTATTTACTATCCTTTTCGATTTGATGAGATTCCATAGATTCAGAATCATCATGAGAACCAAACAATTAAAAATCAGAAGTTCGAAAATGCTGACTTTATTAAACTTGCTTTGATTAGACTAAAAATCTATCTTATGATTGTAAGATAGGGTTTGTCAATTAATATTGCATAGCCGCAAATTATTCTTATGGATAACTTGTATAGAATTATGGGTAAGCTTAATCTAAAGATTTTTAAATTTATTACATTATAAGAAAGGAAATTAATTTCTTGGAAAAGCCATGAAAGTACTATCACTAGATTCCTAAACTTTAATTTTTTTTAAGATTTTATCGTCTAAAAAAATAATCTTTTATTTAAAGAGTTATTTATACGTATAGTTGATTATTTTGGTTTGGCAAGACTATAATATTTCCTTTCTTTTAATTATTCTAATGTCGAATCAGATTGTTTAAACACTTGATAAATTTATGTTAAACGATCTAAAGTTGATTTAACTAAATTATCATTATTTATCAATTTACTTTGATTCTTTAGTCATTACCATCAAAACTATGATAAACATTTTAGAAAGAAAATGGCTATTGCATCATAGACATTTAAACACTATCCTAACTTCTAAGATTAGTCATTATTATTGAGACTTTTTTAATGTAATAATTAATAATTAAATATTGTAAAATACTTCCAAATTAACTGGACATTTTTATAATTAAAGTTTATATTATCCATTTTTGAAATAGATGATAAAAATTTATACAAGATTTTTTAATCTTTATTAGACTAAATCATATATTATTACCTATAATTTTTCATCATTCTTACCCTTCTTCTTTCTGTTTTTCCTAAGACTCTTCACTTTCTGATTATGAACTTTCATGTTCCTATTAAACCTACTATTCCTTAATTTTCTAATTTTGAGAATCTGTAAAATTAGTATATGCTTTTAGCAACTATTCTTTTAATTCCTTCTCCATTTCCTGTTATGATTAAAATTATTAAATACATTGAACTTTTCATTACTGTATTCCTTTAATGGATTCATACCCTCATTGGTTTTAGCTGGCTACCATAAAATATGAGGATACGTTCTAAAATTAGAATCTAAAATTTACTTTGTGATAAAAAAATCTCTCATTATTTTAATTTGCAGTTCCAGTAATAGAACCTAAAATTTAATTTTTATTGATACCTATCTTTTATATTCATCAGCAGCTAATTCTCGTTCTAATTACTTTCTCTCATTAACCAACTAACTTTTTTTTTTCTAAATTTAATCGATTAAATACATTCTAATCTTCTTTAAGCGTTTATAAATCTAATTTATCCTTATCATCTAATCTTTTACTAATTTCTATTTATTTTTCTAACTTTATCCAATATACAAAAAATTTTACCTTCTATTTCTCACCCATCAAGTCTTATTTTGCTTTTTAGAGATGATTTCCAATTAAGCATTTTGCTAAACGTTTATTCTTCTCTTTTAACGTAGTGGGTACTTGTTCATCAAGCTACTTTTACTTTTCTGCGCGTTCTTCTTTTGCACCCACGAGATTTAAATCAAATGCTTTCTAATAACTATTAAAACTATAAATAACTACCTATTCATTTCCATTATTCAATTTTATTTTTTTATGATCTAATTTTCTAATTAATATATATATCTAATATACTAAAATGAAAAATTCTTAATCTCCTTTATTATTGTCTTTCTTTTTGTAAGAAAATCCATTTGCTTTTTGTGCAATTCTGTCAATTTATTTCTTAAATCATCAACATTCATTAGAGATAAATTTTTTATTATATTAATTTTAATAATAAAATTAACTCATTCATTTATTGATTGTACTTAATTATATGATTTAAATTTGTGCATAAATTAATTAAGAAAGAGAGTATATTTTATATTTGAAGCAGTTCCAGTTCAATCTCTAATATTTATTAAAATATATATGATTAAAATATATTGAAATGTTGATGGATTTATTTTGATTTATCAATTCTTTTAAAATAATTTGTATTAGAGATGCTTAAGTTTTATTTTATGAAAGAAAATTTGAATTATTCTTTATCAATTAATAATTGAAACATCTTAAATGATTAGTTTAACTCAAAATTGAATTAAATGAATAAATTTTTAATTTGTAATTCTAATTTTATTTAAAATAAAAAGAATAAAATATAAATAATGTCGAGATCATACCATTACCAAGTTTAGTATGTTGCTAAAGATCAATAGAAAAAAGATTCTTAGGCTTATCGTAAAGTAAATAAATTTCTTATTAGTATAGTCACATCATAATTATGATGGATATTCAAGAAAATATTACAACAATCGTTAACATTATTAAAATGATAATAAAAGAGTGGAATACGAATGTATTATTAGTATTATAATAATTATTAGAGAAATAATAAATATGTTAACCTTAAAATAATGTTTATGATGCAAAATTATTAGTTTCAGCTTATCAAGAATATTTATAACCTCCTGAAGACATCATTTAGCTAACAAAAAAAATACCAGAATTATTTGCAACAAAACCATTCAAACCTATTTCATAAACAGCACAATACAATCATAGCGATGAAGAAGAACCTTAATGGATGCAAGAGTCTTAATTTAATACACCTTTTTAATTAAATGATATAGAAAAAGAAATTCAATAAAAAAGAGAACAGTATTAAAAAGATCATGGAACATATGAAAAAAAATAGGAATAAAAAAGATAATAAATTGAAGAATTTTAGAATCATCAACAAGCAATTAATAGTATTGAAATCGAAAAATAAAAGTACAGAGAAAAAAGAGAAAATGAATTAAAATAATCTTAAGCTGCAATTGAAACTAAGTAAAAATTGAATGAGATCTTTTCTATAAATATTGAACCTCAATAAAATCCTAAAGAAATTAATCAAAAGATATTAACAGTAGAAGAAATAGAAAAGCAACAATTATCCAAATAAACTAAGAGTAANCAATTATATGATTTAAATTTGTGCATAAATTAATTAAGAAAGAGAGTATATTTTATATTTGAAGCAGTTCCAGTTCAATCTCTAATATTTATTAAAATATATATGATTAAAATATATTGAAATGTTGATGGATTTATTTTGATTTATCAATTCTTTTAAAATAATTTGTATTAGAGATGCTTAAGTTTTATTTTATGAAAGAAAATTTGAATTATTCTTTATCAATTAATAATTGAAACATCTTAAATGATTAGTTTAACTCAAAATTGAATTAAATGAATAAATTTTTAATTTGTAATTCTAATTTTATTTAAAATAAAAAGAATAAAATATAAATAATGTCGAGATCATACCATTACCAAGTTTAGTATGTTGCTAAAGATCAATAGAAAAAAGATTCTTAGGCTTATCGTAAAGTAAATAAATTTCTTATTAGTATAGTCACATCATAATTATGATGGATATTCAAGAAAATATTACAACAATCGTTAACATTATTAAAATGATAATAAAAGAGTGGAATACGAATGTATTATTAGTATTATAATAATTATTAGAGAAATAATAAATATGTTAACCTTAAAATAATGTTTATGATGCAAAATTATTAGTTTCAGCTTATCAAGAATATTTATAACCTCCTGAAGACATCATTTAGCTAACAAAAAAAATACCAGAATTATTTGCAACAAAACCATTCAAACCTATTTCATAAACAGCACAATACAATCATAGCGATGAAGAAGAACCTTAATGGATGCAAGAGTCTTAATTTAATACACCTTTTTAATTAAATGATATAGAAAAAGAAATTCAATAAAAAAGAGAACAGTATTAAAAAGATCATGGAACATATGAAAAAAAATAGGAATAAAAAAGATAATAAATTGAAGAATTTTAGAATCATCAACAAGCAATTAATAGTATTGAAATCGAAAAATAAAAGTACAGAGAAAAAAGAGAAAATGAATTAAAATAATCTTAAGCTGCAATTGAAACTAAGTAAAAATTGAATGAGATCTTTTCTATAAATATTGAACCTCAATAAAATCCTAAAGAAATTAATCAAAAGATATTAACAGTAGAAGAAATAGAAAAGCAACAATTATCCAAATAAACTAAGAGTAATAATAATCAAGAAGAAGCTTTGAAATTTTAAGAAACATATATTAGTGATGATGAATTAAATCTACTTTTAGGTCTTAATAACAATAATTTAAACTCTAACTCTCTAACTGAAGAATAGATGCCTTTTAATCTTTTTAAGAGTGAATAAATTAAAACTTAACCATTTTCTATTCAAGCTCAATTACACAATAAAGACATTAATGAATCATTATGGTTTTATATTGATAAATAAAACAAAGTAATTTGGATTTTTTATTTAGACTTAAGGAGGGTTTCCAACTAAAAATATGGATATTTGGTATTCTTAAAATTATTTAAAACCTAATCTCATGATATCATGGGGTTCTCCTGGAAAATGGATATATTTAGAATAATATTTAAACAATTTATAAATGATATTATAAGGAACCTTAGATAAATTAAAAGCTATGGATCCTTTGGCAATTGATTAAACTAAAGCTTATAAGCCTGTTCAATTAAATTAACAATAATCATGGAATAATCATTAACATTATGTTTAAAATAACAACAATAATAGGTATTAGTATAATAATTATAATAATTAATATGGATAATAAAGAAATAGAAATAATTAAAATAGAGCTATATTTTAGATTGGACAAAAAGATTAATAGTAAATGTATAATAATTAGTATTATTATTCAAATGGAAATTAATACGAATAATCAGGTGAAGGATTTATTCTTGATCCAAAGAGTTTTCCAACACCTGATGAAAAATGAGATTATTACAATTTAAAAAAATATTATTTATATATTTCAAAATTTTCTACTACTGAAATTTATTGATTTCTAGAAGGACATTGGCTATTGTTTTTTAATGCTGCCAATATACTAAAATTAAATAGATAATTTTACTTTATTTCCAGAATAATCAGAAATATATTTTGATTTTGATAAATTGATTGGGCTTACACTAATAATAATTTATGAATAATATACTTTTCAAATCGATTTAAATAATAACCAGATGAATTAATTTTGACTGGATTATTTAATTATGTTAATAGTATTTTCTATTTTATTTCTTCTTTTTATATTTCTTCTTCTATCCTTCGTTGTTCTCTAATCAAATCATTTCTATAAGATGGAGGGGATGGATCAAAATTCCTAAGGTAACTCATTCTTGACGATCTTAACTCTCTTTTATATTCTCTTTCAAATGGTAATTCTTCATTCGATTTCTTAGTTAATTATAATTCTAATTCATTTTCTAACTTATTTATTTTCTTCTTTAACTGTGAAATTTCAAATTCTATATCAGTCGATAAATTTCTTGAATCCAAATTATTATTCTCTATTTATTAAGATTAAACTTATTCTTATTAATTTTACTAATTCTCATTTCCATCTTAATCAGGTTCTGTATCTTTTTATTAAACTTATTCTTAATCTTCATATTATTAAAATTATTCCTATTCTTCTTCTTATTCTTATTGTTCTTAATCTATATTTTCCTCCTCTTATTTATATCCATCTTCCTATTGTCCTTATGAATTATTCTGCTAACTTTCCAAATATATTTAATCTAATAAATTTTGTAACTATTATTGCTGTCCTTAAATTATAATAACAAAATTTTCAAGAATTTCCTAACTGATTTCTTATCCGAGTTATTCTAACCAATTCTTCAATGAATCTACCGTAATTTAATTATCATTGTCATAAATATCCAATTAATTCAAATCTATTGTTTCTTCTACTTTCTAATATTGTCTAAGAAATAATAATATAATTTACAAATAATTTTATTTTATCTAAATAAAAAATTATGATAATTGTGTTTCTATTTCTTTTGGTAATAACATATCCACAGGAAGTTCAAAACTTTTATGATTTAAGGCTTAATCTTTAACTTAATCATTCATTTTAGGTAAGATAGCACTTTTAAAGCTAATTATTAAGTTAAAAATTATACTCTTAATAAGTGACTAAGCCATCAGAATCCTCATCTAAAACTCTAAAGATATAATTAAGTTGTTCTTCAGTTATCTAAATTTCATTATCATTTAAAAAATCCAAGATGTTCTCTGGTTTTAATCCTCCTGTTCTTGGCTAATCTAATCTTTTATAAGCTATTTTTTTATTTTAACTATTACTTGTAAATGGTTCAAAATTATCTTAACTCGCTAAAAGTATTCTTATCTCTTCTAGCTTTGCCTCTGCCTCAACTGCATATTAAATAAAGAAATAGAAATTCATTAAATTGTAAAATAAGATTAAATAAAATTTATTTAATTTTTAAACATAAATATAACCAGCCTCATTCTAAAGTACATAGTCTATTCCTCTTTTACTTAGTTTTTCTTTGACTTAAAGGTGAAATTAATGTTGGTTTAATGTTAAACCTGTACTATTTTGGAGGCTCATAGTAATGATCTACACTGCTATTTCTGTATCGATTAGAATATAAATATAAATCATCTAAATCTTGAGGTCTTTTTTTATATTTTGGCTTTATAATCTCTGAAATATCAAGTAGTTCTGTTTTTTTAATCGTATTTTAGTAATACTATCTATTCTTAGCACTTACTTCAAAATCGCTACAATTTTAATATTCCAAAGATTATAAAATAAGTTTCTATCTTTTTTAGAAAATACATTTCTAAGAAGGCTAAGTTGCTGTTTCTTAATCTGATGTAAGCTAATTTTTTATTCGTTTAGTCAATTTATTTGACTACTATTCTGTTTCTTATTTATCATTTTAATTGTCTATTGAGTCATTTTAGTTCAAAGTGGAATGTTTAGCTTTGCTTGAATTTATATCACAACTTTAATAATTAATATTGGAATCTATATGTTTTTATGAGTTTCTTTACAAGTTTCTAATTTATTACTAAAATTCTATCTGTTATTTTTGGAGCTCTTCTATCTGAGATTTTAAATAAGCTATCAATTATTATTATTCTGCAATCTTTTTATCTTGCAAATTTAATTATGATATTTATCTTTTAATTGTATCTTGTTATTAATTATTTATACTCTCTTATCTTTTTAATTTATTTGATAATTGATCGTTTAAATCATACAATTCCAATAACTCTTTTTTCTATTATCTTATTGCATATTGTTGTGGATCATAGAATTCTTATGTAATTTCTTCTTCAAATTCTTTATTTCTAAATTACAAATTTTCTTAAGTCAGTTAGTTTACTATCTCTTATAATTATTGAATATTTGAGGTTTATTCAGCTATTCTTTGATAAAGTTTAAAATTTATGGCTTAATTTCTTTCGATAAGTTACTGATAGTATTTCTCAATTTCAATAATTATTTTTTCTATAATTTCATAAATTAGTCTTTTGTATTTTGTGTGAACATTTTGAATTTCTACTACATTTGATTGCCTAATGAGTTTTAGAGGAGAATTTATAATGCTTGAAGATGTTAATGTTATAGAAGTAAATTCTCCAAGAATAGGATCAAGCTAATCATCAATAATATCTGTAAATTATTAATTCATTATAAAATTCATTGCTATTATTATCTCTATTATTCACGAAGTTTTTCAATTTACTTTCTCTAAAACTCAAGGTCTTGCCTTTCCTGCATTTTTTATGGTTAATAATATAACACAATCAAATATCTAAAAAAGAATTAAAATCAAAATAATAAACATACCTTCCCGCTACATTAAATCCAGATAAATTATCAAAAGCATTTTTAGCGTCATAAATATCTTCATAAACAACAAAAGCTGTTCCTTTCTTATCTCCATGAGTACCCCTAAAATAATCTATTTGAAGTGATTTACTTTCTGATTTGTCTAATTGCTCCAAATTTTCCAAATATATCATACATTTCTTCAGATGTAATTTTATAAGGTAAGTTTCTTACATAAAGTATTCTATTTACTTCTGCTGGCAATCTAATAACTTATCTAGACATAAAATTTATGATAAATCAAATAAATATATATTTAATTTAGAAAAGTTTTCTTTTTGTTAATTTTTATAATATTTTAAGTAGTGAAAACTTCCTTCTAATTTATTTTAGTATATTATTTTTATGTTTTTAATCATAAATTTTTAGCTTTTTACAATAAATTATGATTTCTACTTAAATTTCAAACTCATTTAAGTTTGACCAAAAGAGAAAATAAGATATGAAATTGCTGATTAATTATGATTCATATAGTCTTCTTAGGTAAAAAATTAAATATATATTATATATTATATGATTAACATGAAATTAAAAAATCCAAAGTCATTGTCTACACTTTTGAATATGTATTTGAAAAGCATCCATAATCCTTTGAACTTTCAAGAATTAATCAATTAATTATTAAGTGATGCTACCTTTTTACCAATGTATGGACTGACCGATTAATAAAAACTGGAACATAGAACTATTTTTACAAATATTTAACTTGGGAATAACTAAAATCTAGGGTAAATTAATAGGCTAAATTAGCACAATAATAGGAATGACTGTTTTAGGTATGATTGGTTTCCTAGCACTTGGATTTACTTTTTTAGGGGCAATTGGAGGAGGAGCTATTGGGATAATTTTGGGAAGGTATTTAGGAAGAAAAATCTCCAAAAGAATTGCTACTAAAGGGATAAATGTAACCGAATTTGATATATTTGTTATTCGAGTAAAATGCCTGCTTAAATGGGTAAATTTCAGTTCTATAAATTAGGGTAAATTGATAATGGTCAAATATACAAATGATATTAACTTATAAAGATTTTGTATTGAAAGAATTTTAACTGAAATCAAGCCTCTATTACACTATAAGTATTTTGATGAAAAATTTCAAAAAGAATCTTAAGCTTTATTGTGCAAAATTAGAGAACAACTATCAAAAGAACAATCTATATATGCTTTGAGTCTCAGTTATAAATTAACAAAAGAATATATTTAAATAATTGATTAAAAAATTATTTATTCAAAATTTAGTACTTATGAAGTAAATACTTATTATCATAGATAAATCATTAGATATCATATGTTTTAAATGAGACTGTTTCAGATGTACTGATTCCTTTATTAACTTTATATTAGAATGTAGAAAAGTTTGAAAAAAGTGATGTAATCTAATTATTGGTAAAAAAAATAAAAAAATTATAAGTTAATAAAATAGTATTAAAATGTTAATAAAATTATTTTGATTAATAACTTTCAATAGAATTTATCAAAATGTTTGCTGCTAAGCTCAATTAAAAAGTTAAAATTGAAGATTTGGAAAAATTTTTATAAATACAAAATTATAGGGCTTAATAATAAAATAGAGAGTAAAATTCTTCAAATAAAAATTAACAAAGAAGAAAAAGTTAAGGAGATATGGTTTCAATTTTTGAAGATGTAGATTAAGAATTTTAAGCTCAAGTTCCATTAATAATGAAAAACTCAGTAAGAGCAAGGGCAAAATCATGTGATGACAAAAATGACTAACAAATTAATTTAAAATAATCTCAGTAAATTATCAATTAAAATTAATAATAACAATAATAATAACCAGTTTAATAATCATCATAAATTCTGTTTGAAAAAACTGAAAAAAGAGGATCTTAATGCATTTCAGAGAATTTGATTTAACAAACTTAATTACAATAGATTATATAACTTTAAATGGAAAGTTCATAACAGCGCTCTTAAATGCAAAGAAAATCACAATTAATTTAAGATAATTAAGTTAATTCAGACAGAGCCTTCTAATTATCAGCCGAGTTGGAAGAGAAATTTAAACTATTAGTTGGCCTAATTGAAGAACCTATTGAAGGATGGGAAATTATCTTAAAAAAGGAAAATTTGATCATTTATAAAACTTTCAAACCTGGAAACCCAGCAGTATTTGTTAAAGGCCATAGTGATTTAATAGGAATTTCTATAGATGTACTTTTAAAGGCAATACATAATGAAAAATATAGACAAAAATGGGATAAAATTTTGCTGAGTTTTTAAGTTTTGGAAAGAGAATCAGCAATAGTAGATATAATATATTACTACGTTAAAAGTCCACCTTGTGTAGATAACCGAGAATTTTGTTAAAAAAGAATATTGAAATATGATTTTCCATAGCCAGGATAAATTTGTCTTTTGTATTTTAGTGTGGATCATAAAAAAGCCCCTAAATTCAAAGGACATATAAGAGCTGAAACATTAATTTCAGGTTATATTTTAGAATCTATTCCTGGTGGAAGTAGATTGTATTTTTGTTCAAATAATGATGTCAAAGGTGATATTCCAAAAGTAAGAAATTTAATAATTATAAATAGAGTTTAGTTAATTACGTTGCTTCCAGAGCTCCTATAAGTTGGATTAATTCATTAAGAAAAGGATGTGAGGATTACAATAAGATAATGTAATAAATTTAATCTTGAATAATTCAGAATAATAATTGATTTATATCATTCAACTATACTTTATAAAAACATATAGATCAATAATAATATAATGGTACCACCTATAAAAAACTATTTGACTGTTATTGAACTTTCTTCTTCCACTATTATATTTGCATTTAAATTTTTTTGATTATCATTGTTAATATAATTATCTAAATATTTGTCAGTCAAATTTAACTTATCAAAATGCTTTTTAAAGATCTTTGTAAATTGTTCATTTTATAAATTAAATTTTTTAGAATTTAAAGCTTACCTTTGTTTTTCTTATGGACTACTTAATATTCCTCCAGTTGTATTTTCATTTGTATACATGAATGAAATGATGGAAATCATCATTGATTCAATTGTTTACGCAGAACTCCAGCTTTCAGGGTGAAAATTTGTAAATGATCTTATGATTAATTATCACATTACAGACATACAGGTTTTCCAACTTCAAATCTCCCTGATGGAGTAATAAATTTTAATGTTGGAGGTTTTAATGGATAATCTGGAGGCAACTATAATATTCCATGATAATAGCCTCCTTCAAAAAAATCAGTCAAATTATAAATCACAAAATGCCATTCAAAAATATTCACAGGATTTGGTTCACAAATAAATTAATTATTTTTCAATTTTTACAACTTGTCGTATTCTCTTAATAATCTTTAAATTGATAATTGTTGAGCCATATTAAATAATAAATTTAATTATTGTTTCTGAAGAACAACTTGGAAATAAAAATGATCAGTCTTAAATTTAAGTTTAATATATTAGATATTTATATAATTATCATAGATAAATAGATAAATAATGATAAAAATTTTAATTTGCTTATTCGTTTTAATACAAATTTTATGTTAAGATGGGGATGGAATGGATGAAGCTAAAAAATTATATTAAGAATTACATGGTGAAATTGAATTAGAAGAAAATTCAAATGAGAATGAATAAGAATAAGAAGACAAAGAATGTGAAGCAACAAAATAAGATGAATAAATCTATATGGCGAAATAATTGTCAAAAGTAGTTTTAGAAGAATAAATAGAAAAAATAACAAAAAGACTTTCTGATATAAATGTTTAAATTGAATCTTTGAAATATAATATGCCAACAAATGAAAAATCAGATGAATGCATTGAATTTAAAGATTGTGCAGCTTGTACAAAAAATGCAAAATGTGGATGGTGTAGCATGGAGGAAAAATGTGTAGCAGGTGATAATATAGCTCCATTTTATACAATGTGCAATTTTTATAATTATTTATATTGTGCAGGAGAATGTGCTAGATATGTTGATTGTGATGTATTTATATTATTAAGGAAAGTCATGTGTTAAGGATACTGCCTGTGGATGGTGTGAAGATCAACCTCATATAATTATTAGTTGTGTTTAGCTAGATTCTGATGGCATTTAGTGTCCATAAAATTATTTAATAGGAGATGGAGCTGATAAATGTCCAAAACGATAATTGATTGTTTTAAAAACTGTAAATAATAAGAAAAGAAAAGAAACTAAAGCAGAAGAACCAAATAATAAAAACTCAGAAAGAGGCTGGGAGGATAATTATGGTATTTTTCTCAATAATGGAGTTCATAGTATTTGTCAGACAAGGAAGATATAAGGAGAGAATGAATGCTCTTAGAGAAAATGCTAGTCCTTCTGGAGCATCAGTTGGAACTAATGAATTGGATAGATTATATGATGAGAGAGCAACTTTAGAGAAAAAACTTAATTCTTATTAGAAATAATATAAAAAACTAGTTGGAGAGGGGGGAGAAGATGGATAGGACGAAAATGCAGATGAATGATTTAAAATAAAAATTCATTTAATATATAAATAATTACTTTATTAAGTAAAATATGGGTACTTGTGTTTCAAATTAGGATGATGTTAGAAATGCTAATCAAATAGCTTTATAATTGTAAATAATAACAAAGGAATATTTAGAGAAATAAAACATTTCACATGGAGTCGAGATTCTCATGGTTTATTCGATTATGAAAATAAAAATGTGATAAAAGGGTAATTAAAAACTAATTCCTCTAAAAGTATTAATTGTTATTAAAACTAGTGATTTTTATAAGATAAAAAGAAGCAATAAGAATTATTTAAACAAAAGATGAGCTGTTAGTAATAAATAAATTTTAATGAATACTTTTAGTAGTATTAAAATTAATCAGATGTACAAGAACTCCTAAGAATAAATCGTTAGATAACTAAATATTTTATTGAATCTATATATCAACAACAACTATCAGAAGAAACTGAAGGCTTATCAGATTTTAGTCCTTGGGTTGTTGTAAAATCATTGAAGCAAAAAAANTACAAAAAATGCAAAATGTGGATGGTGTAGCATGGAGGAAAAATGTGTAGCAGGTGATAATATAGCTCCATTTTATACAATGTGCAATTTTTATAATTATTTATATTGTGCAGGAGAATGTGCTAGATATGTTGATTGTGATGTATTTATATTATTAAGGAAAGTCATGTGTTAAGGATACTGCCTGTGGATGGTGTGAAGATCAACCTCATATAATTATTAGTTGTGTTTAGCTAGATTCTGATGGCATTTAGTGTCCATAAAATTATTTAATAGGAGATGGAGCTGATAAATGTCCAAAACGATAATTGATTGTTTTAAAAACTGTAAATAATAAGAAAAGAAAAGAAACTAAAGCAGAAGAACCAAATAATAAAAACTCAGAAAGAGGCTGGGAGGATAATTATGGTATTTTTCTCAATAATGGAGTTCATAGTATTTGTCAGACAAGGAAGATATAAGGAGAGAATGAATGCTCTTAGAGAAAATGCTAGTCCTTCTGGAGCATCAGTTGGAACTAATGAATTGGATAGATTATATGATGAGAGAGCAACTTTAGAGAAAAAACTTAATTCTTATTAGAAATAATATAAAAAACTAGTTGGAGAGGGGGGAGAAGATGGATAGGACGAAAATGCAGATGAATGATTTAAAATAAAAATTCATTTAATATATAAATAATTACTTTATTAAGTAAAATATGGGTACTTGTGTTTCAAATTAGGATGATGTTAGAAATGCTAATCAAATAGCTTTATAATTGTAAATAATAACAAAGGAATATTTAGAGAAATAAAACATTTCACATGGAGTCGAGATTCTCATGGTTTATTCGATTATGAAAATAAAAATGTGATAAAAGGGTAATTAAAAACTAATTCCTCTAAAAGTATTAATTGTTATTAAAACTAGTGATTTTTATAAGATAAAAAGAAGCAATAAGAATTATTTAAACAAAAGATGAGCTGTTAGTAATAAATAAATTTTAATGAATACTTTTAGTAGTATTAAAATTAATCAGATGTACAAGAACTCCTAAGAATAAATCGTTAGATAACTAAATATTTTATTGAATCTATATATCAACAACAACTATCAGAAGAAACTGAAGGCTTATCAGATTTTAGTCCTTGGGTTGTTGTAAAATCATTGAAGCAAAAAAATGATTAATCAGTTAATTTATTCAAATAAATTTGATAGGGCTATTAATTGAAATAAAATGATTACATAAAGTTAGGCAGAGTTAGGTTTCGAATTAGAGAGATTAATTGTTCTAATGCCAACTCTTATATTTAGGAAACACCAATAGAACCTCAATTATAAAAGTTCGTATCTGATAAAAGTCTAAACATTTTAAACATTCATACATAAGAAGATGAATAGATTTAGTCAGAAGAACCTTAATGTAGAATTTGTTATAATGATGCTTAAACTGATTTAAATAATCCTTTGATAGATTGTTGTAAATGCCAAGGATCTGTTAAATATATACATTTGAATTGTTTGTAAATTTGGCTTTAAAATAAATTATAAGCTAAAACAACTAAATTCTCTGTATCTTTTTAATGGAAACAATTTGAATGTGAAGTCTGCAAAGCACCTATTCCAAGTACAAATCATTTTAAATGAATAGATAGAATTAAATATTAAAATAGAGTTTATGAGACAATAGTTATTCCAAAACCAGAACCTCCTTATTTAACTTTAGAGATTTTAAGTAGAGACAGAAATTAAAGTAAAGGAACACACATCATAAGCTTCTCATAAAAATAGTTTATTAAATTAGGGAGGGGTCATGATTCTGATGTTCGTATTACTGATATATCGGTTTCAAGATTACATGCTATAATAAAATATTCTAATTGTATATATTGATTATAAATTAACATAGCATAATTTATTATTGAAGATCAATAATCCAAGTTTGGAACCTTAGTATTAATGAAAAATCCAACCTAAGTTTCTGTTGATCTAAATAAAACTCTTGCTATATAAATAGGTAGAAGCGTTCTCAATTTTTCAGTGTCAAAAGATTGGAATGTTTAGACCTGTTGTATGTATGAATTATCTTATGAATATTTTAGGGGTTCTGTATCAGATGAATAGATACAACAATAAGATGATAATAATAATTTAATAGGGAGTGCCATTGGCGATGATGATTAGATTTAAATTGAACAAGCATTTATTAATAATGGAGAATTAGATTGAAAAGAATTATTCTTATTTTTATTTTTATTTTTATGCAATATTAATAAAATAAATAACTCATCTTCTCTGTTAAGATTGTTTCTAAGGAAATGATTTTCCGCGGGGTTTTTAATTTTGAGCTTTCCTTTATTATTTTTATTCATTTTGCTTTTATTATTTTTACTATTATTGCTACTCATCTAATATTAATTGAAGATTTACATATTTCAGCCTCCTCTTAAGCTTTTTTCTCAGCATTAGGATTCTTAAATATCAATATTACTATTCATACCAATCTAAAATACTTAATCGAATTTCCTTTAATAAGTAATTCTTTTATTCCATGAAATGAATTCCCATCCTAATAAAAATCATAAGAAAAAACAATTACTTTTGATGTATGTTTAACATTCGTTAATTTTACATTCATAAATTTATCTAATTATTCTAATTTACCATGATATGTATCTCCAGCTTTAACTTCAACAACCTATTTATATCATTTTTTTTTAAATACCATTTCTGATCCTTTGGCTGTTAGCAATAAACTTAAAGGGAACTAGAATAATGATGAAAAGTTTTTACAATATTTATCATTAAATAAAAATGTATAACAATAATTTAAATAATATTAAGTCACATCTCAGTTTCACATTCTTTTTCTAAATTATAAAGTCTAAACTTTTCATTAGAGTTATAATGCTTTATTAATTCACTTTCCTTTTATAATACATTTTATCCTTCAATTTATAAATTATAAAGGTCATCCCCTGTTGTTTGAATAGTTTTATGGAGAGGTAATTTGAAAATATTTATTTGACTTAAACTGCTATTTCTTCTAAATCCACTTTTGGAGACAGAATTTGATAATTATTAATTTCTAATTATTTCAATTGGTTTCTGAGATGAATCTACATAATAAGTGTTTTAATTAAATGGATCTTAATATGCATTTCTTTTTTATTCTCTATCTTCTTAAGATAATTATCGAGAGTTTCCTAAATTATCTCTTAATGTCATATACCATTCTTAAGCCCTTGCTGTACCTTCTAATTATTTTCGGGCTTAATGATGTTCAATCTATTCAACTTTTTCACGAAATACTACTATAAATTTAAACTTAATACAAGTTGATTTTCTTATTACAGAATCATAATCATATTTTTTCGATTTTTTTGCAGCTTCCTCTACTTATTATTCCCAGATTTATTATTATAATTGAAATTTAGTTAATGCTCTGGTTTATCTAAGCTAATTACTCTTATCATTTAGTTTTCTTAAATCTTCTTCAATCTCACAATTCATTTTTATTCTATCCTATTATGATTAATTATGATACTTCTGTCTTTTTTACAATATCTAATAAAAATTACTGAGAAACTATTTGATAATCTTTTTATTTTTTAAATTTTTAATCCTAATTAATATCAGAACTAACTAATAGAGATTTCTGAGAGGAATTTCTTAGAGTTATTCTTTTAGCACACATTTTATTAATATTAGATGTATTGTATTATGTGTTTTATTATTTTTAAGTTACTTCATTTTATTCTTTTAATTTCAAAAATTATTCGAGTTTCCCTACAACTTATCTTTATTGTAAATTTTATTACTAAGCAACTGAGAATTTAATAAATATATTAAAATACCATGAAGAAATTTAAGTTGCTCTCCTTAATATAAATGTAAAAGTTACCATTAAATATATTTTAAGTTTGATCTCTTTCTTTGGGTGGAGAAGGATTTTCAAATTTCTTTAAAATAAACAATTTCTTTTTCTTTTCTTGGGACATCTCTGACATGAAAATCAAATTATAATTAAAAAAATAAAATAATTTATTTTAGATATAAATTTGATTGGCTAATCTGATTAGAGAGAGTAAGAAAATTAATAAATAGATAATTAAGTAAAGATTGTTGTTGTATTTTATTGTATAATTAAAAAATGTTCATAAAATTTTATTTCTAATGTCTTCAAGTTTTTTAATAATGTCAGCTGGTGTTCTATCAAATTCTTCTGCAACAGCTCTTTATTTATTATATAACATATTTCCAAATTATTCGCAGAGATCTCCATCAATAATAGACTAAAAATAATAAATAAGAAATGATTACTTTGCAAGGTCCAAAGGCTGACCTGAATTACATATGATCTCTTCCAGAAAGAGGTTAATGTTCAACTCTCAGATACATTTCAAGATGGAGGAAGAAATCTATATCCTCTTTATTATCGAATGGATAAAGTGCAGCTATAGATCCCATAGATGTACCATAAACAACGACTTCAGAGCTGGTAGAAACTAAAGCAATTTTTTAAAGACTAGTAATAACTTCACCTACATAAAAATTGCAAATTTAATCCATTTTAAATGGAGCTCCATTCATACATCCTTAATCCATCTTCATTTTGTATTCATAAGGATGTTCTTCTTATTCCTCATCAATATCTAATGGTACTCTACTAACAAAAATATTTTCAAATTTATCTCCAGCAATAACAGTATGATAATCTAAAACAGTACTAGCTGTCACATATCTTGGTAGAATATCATCTGCTAATTCCATAAATGTTTGATCTCTTATATTATATCTAAGAAGATGAATTGAATCAGCTACTTCAGCTACATAGATTCTATCCTCTTTTACCATAATTGAAGTGATAAATGAATTTAAATTCTTTATCTCTGCCTTCTTCAAAATTCTTTAATTACCCATTTCATAAACTCTTAAATTACATCCAGCCCCAACTAATAATCTTCCTCTCCAAGCTGCCAATGCATATGGAATTTCATCTATTGGAGTTGAATGTTTTAATTTAAGACTCTTATTATCATAAATAAATGTATGTATAAATCCTTGACTAAATTTTCTTGATGGCTCATTCACCAAATCTTTCACTGTACCTACACAAATGTATTATTCTGGATATCCAGCAAATTATATATAACATATTGAACATGCATGTTAATTCTCGAAGAATTGATGAACATTTATTGTTTCTAATTTTGTAGCATCCACTATTCTAATTAATGATGCCCATTTATATTATTCTGCTTAAACTTAATTCCATTATTCGGGTAAATCTTAACTCTAATATACTTCCTCAACCTTTTATTAAATATTATTATATGATCGATTGTCTGATTCAATTATAAATATTGCTTTACTAGCTTCATGAAAAATCATTTTCCTTGGTGAGTATGTCAATGCCAATGACTACTAATTAAATATTTCACCAAATCTCTCTGGCATTATTATTCTTAAAGTACTTTAATTAGTACCAACAATACCTTAAAATTCCTTAGCAAGAAATGCAGAAGCATAATCCAAATAATCATAAGATAATGGTTACATAAATATTCGACCACTATTATTATAACACAACCATGATCTAGAAGATAATGCCAACATTCCTTATTATTAATTTGCAGTTATCCTTAGACATTTCACAGCCTTTGTTCCTAAATATCTTGTTCTAGTATCTGACAATCCTCCAGATAATTAATCTACTGAAGTTCTCATTAAAAGCCCATTATTCAACCCTATAAATAAAAATAACTATTTTGTAAAACTTTATTAACCTTCTTACTCTGAAGCCATCTCCATCATACATAAACTTTCAGCTTCACTTGGCAAAGCTTACATTGCTCCTCTTTCAAAACAAGATTCAGGCTCCAAACTTAACAATCTAATTGTTTAATCACTTAAGGCAACACATAAAAATTTGCATCTTTATCTTCCCTCCTCAATAGGACCCAATTCTAAAGCTTTTATTTCATTATCCATTTAATCCTTTGTTATTTCTATCAAATTTCCTGAAAAACTTGTAGTATCCAATTCAAAATAATAAACATCACCTCCTGCTAAAGCAAATGCTACCTATTTTTCATTTGAGACTCCTTTAATAACTTTACCTTCTACAATATAATCTGTCGGTGGTTTATTTTTTCTAATGTGTCTATATCCATTTGTTAAAATTTGTATTTAAGAATCATCAATCAATGTTCCTACATGAATAGTTTACTTAGTTCCTTCCAATCCTGTATCATGAACTTGTTCTACTTTTTCTCCAATTTTCAAAACAAGAGTTTTATTTATATAAGAAATCACAATATATTTATGAACTGGATCATCATACCTTTCTTTTAAAGTCCAAATTCCTAAAGGTTTCGCTTACAAATTAGTATTAGCCAATTATGTTATTTCTAAACCATGTCTTAAAACTCTTAAAGTTGATCTATTACCAGCAGCACAACAGATATATATTTAAGGATTACCTTCTTTTGCTAAATCTGCCACCTTTAAATCACTTATACAACTAAAATTATTAAGCTCCTATAAGAGTGACAAATGCTTAAGTTTTTAAGGCTTAAAGAATATTTATTCCTCTAAAGCCATGCTAGAATCTGTGCAAATTATATTATTAGTGTTTGCTTCCTCTCTTTAGTATTTGTAGAAACAATGATTACCCTTTTCACAAGCTGCAAATAAATGCTTGCTTCTCATCAAACATAAACTGTTAGCTACAGGAATAGTATCAAAATAAATCATTCTTATAGAGTGAACTTCATCTTTTGTAAATTACAATGATAATTCAAATAAATCACCATATTCTGATTACAATAAATATAAAAATGATGACTAAAACAAATATATATATATAATTACTTTTTATTTATAAAATCCATATGAACTTATCATCGCACCTCTATCTGTAGGCATTCCCTAATTTTTAGGATATGGCACTTTCATTTCTTAATTTTTAGGACCTCTATAATGCAAAAAATCTTCACATAAGACTATTACACCTCCTGGTCCATCTGGTGCATTTGGAACCATTAATAATGAATGAGATGATATATGAATAGGATCTGATCTTTATCTTCTTACTGTATTCAATCCAAAATCCATTTCATATATAGTTAAAAATTTTGTTTAAATTCCTGTGCAAACTGCACTGTCCTTGTCTTACCAATCACCATAATCTGATTCTATTGCTGCAAATTAAGCATTATCATAACCAGCATCTAACCCTACAATATCAAACACAATTGTATGAGATTTTGGCGCCTCTAAAGGTGAGGATATTGTTATTTTTTCATTTTCTCTTGTTAATATATATACAAATTTATGTTTTTCAACGGCACTTATCATAAAAGCCCTTCCTTTAGGATCACATGCCAAATACTATCCAGGCACTATCCTTCTGCATCCTGTTTTACCATAAGTTTCTTAATGAACTTTTACAAACATATTTTTTAACCCATCAAACCCCAAAACTACTACACGACCTGAATCACTACCTATAACCAAATTATCCCTATTGTTCTATTATTTTAATTAAAATATTTACTCCAGGAAATCTAAATGAATGGATTGAACGTATTATACCAAATACTTCTTGTGATACTATTGTCTCTAATTTACCACTAAACATCATATTTCATTATTTTACTTGCTCTCATTTATCTTCAGAAGCTCAATGTGCTTCACTTTTGATACTACTATCTCTTAGGCTTTTGGTCCTGAGAAATTACCATATATTGCCTTTTGTATTCCTGTGCTTTTTTGTAAAGTTAGACTGTATAGTTGCATATCCAATATTTAAATAAAAACAAAAAAGAATATATTAAATAAAATCAATAATTAATTTGTAAATTAGGCATTCTTTTCTTATTGTTTTTCTACACTATATACACTTCCACATTTTCATCATTATAAACTCTATTCTCGGTTAATTTATAAATCTAATCCTCTAAATTACCTATTTTCACTTCCATATCTTCCTAATTTTCTATTTTATTTTAATTTGATAACAATTCTACATTAAGCATTACTTAATACCTAAACATTGTTCAATTTGCATATTGATATTAACTAATTTCTCAAAAGGATCTGTTTCTACTTGGAATTTTGATTTTTACATCTCTTATTTATCAATAAATTGTTTTTTATCATTTGTTATTGCACTTTAACATTTTGTTAAAATATTAATATCTTTTTAAACGTTTTCATCAATTTATTATAGCACATTTCCTGTAGAGGCTTTATTATTTCTTCTTTTTTTTGATCTCAATTTAGACATCAGTCTATCTAAATTAAATTCTTCATCCAATAACTTATCAATCATCGATTAACATTTTTTTGACAACATTTCAAAATTTGATTTTGGCTATTTCAACTATATCTTGATCTCTTAAATGAATTATTCTGCATCAATCATCTCTATATCACAGTGAATCTATTGTGATATTGTTTAATGCATTTCCTCGTTTTTCCTAAATTAATTCTCTATAGTCTATATTAATGAATCTATCTATTATTATTATTTTTACTGATATCTAATAATTGTTTTTAAAGTGAATACATTATTCAATTCCTTATTTAACGATTTTTAATTTAAATAAAACAATATTGAAATATAATAATGTAAATTAAATTTTTTTGTTTATGAATATTTTTTTGTAATATTTATAAATATCCTTTTCTATATTTGTAATAACTCCTACTACTCCTAAAGAAACTGAATACTAAAATTTATGTTAATCTATTTCTCATAATAGTCAATCAGCAAATCGCAGTATAAAATATACTATAGATTTAAAGAATTCTCATATCTCATATGATTAAAATTCATTAAATATATACTTGACTATAATATCTCCTTATTTAGTAAGATTCTTATAAAATAATAATACAAATATAAAATTATAATTTTTTCCATTTTTAATAGAAAATGATTCCTTAAGTAATTACAATTGAAAACAATGAATACTTGACTACAGAATTACTTGGTCGAGGTGCTTATGGAATAGTTTTTAAAGGAATACATTAACAAACGGGATAGGAAGTTGCAATAAAAGTATAAGATAGCATAAATGATTATGAATATTAAATGTTAACCAAAATGAAAGGAAAAAAATTTAAGAATTTAATAAATACACTTCATGTAGAGAAAATAGATAGTCAATATTATGTAGTAATGGAATACTGTAAATAAAGTTTATATGAACGAATATAATAAAAAGGTACTATAAATGCATAGGATATAAGATTTATTATGAGAGAAATAGCAAATGGCATAAAAGAAATTCATGTTTTGGGTTATGCTCATAGAGATCTTAAGCCTGAAAATATATTAATAAGCTAAATCACAAATGAAGGTTAAATATAAGAAAGATATAAAATTTGTGATTTTGGAACTATTAAAGATGCTAATGTGTTAACAACTTAAACTGTTGGCACTGCTTATTATCTTGCTCCAGAATAAATTAATGGTTTAAAAGATAAATATACCTCAGAAGTTGATATTTGGGCCTTTGGAGCATTAATTTATGAATTATTGACTGGAGAACCAATGTTTAATGGTATTTTAATAATTAAATTTAGGATATTCCGAAATAGCTGTCTGGGATAAAATTGCAAGATTAAATTAAAATGATATTGATTAATTAATTGAGAAAAATTTGAAAATAGATCAAAAATATAGAACTCTTCTCAAAAATATGATGCAAATTGATATTAGAAAACGTCATTCAATTAATTAAATTATAAATGATTTGAATTCGAGAGGTGATTCAGTATTAATAAACAAACCCAGACATCTTGAAAATCCAAAGCCCAATATTGTCCCTCAATAAAACCTAAAAATTGGTTTACCACTACCATCATAATTTACATAATACCCTTAAAACAACTATTATCCATCAATCCGTGGAAATAATACTAATTAATATTCTAACTCTTTCCTTTAAAACTAAAACAATAGTGAAAGGGTAGAACTTGCTTCATCACAAAGACAAAATTTAAAAAATTAAAATCCATAATAATAATTATAATCTTAAGTATAAACTAATTAAATATTTATTTCAAACTAATTATCTTAACCTAACCCTCAAAGTTGCAACAATCAAAAAATTGAAAATTCTTAATTACAATAATAGGTATAACCCTAATTATAAACTATCTAACCATCTACTAATCCTAATTAAAACACAATCTCTGACCCTAAAAATTTTGTCAAGGAAGGAGGGAGACCTATAGAAAAAACAAATGTAAGATAAATGTATCTCTCACCCTAATTATAAAATAATAAGCCTTAAGTTAAAATGGAATTTAATAATAGAGAAACTAATACAAAGGCTCCTTATGGTGGACTAAATTAGATAGCTTAAACCATTACTTAAATTCAAGATCCAAGTGTTAAAACAGAAATAAATTAAATATAAATTAATCAGTAAAATCTTAATGGTAATATAGGTTTGAAAGTTTAATAAAATAATTTCAAACAAAATCCTAACACTTCAAATTAACAATCAAATATAGATTCAAATAAGAATTAGTAATAATAAATAGCTGCATAATAATTTCAATAATAAATCAAAAACAATAATAATTTTCCATAATAAAATTAACCTACAACTTTAACCAGAGTCACTAATGCTGCATAGTAAAGAGAATAAAAAAATTTGTTTTAAAACTAAAAAAATTAGAATTTAGTAAATATACATCAACCTGCTTTAGTTTAAAATTAAGGATTAGCATTTAATCAATATCAATAATTATTCAATAAATATAAAAAAAATAATGAATAGCAAAAATGAATATTCATAAAGTAAAAAATTGCAAAATTTTTCTGTATTTCACATTAAATTATTATTTATAAATTTATTTATGAGACATCATTCATAAGTTAAATTTAAGTAGAATTTTTTTTTTTATTTTATTAATTAGTATTTTAATAGAAAAGTTAAAAGATTGAAAGATTTAAGAATCATCTGAAAACAATATAATACAGCGTGATTATCTTGAATATCATATTGAATAAATTTTAGGAACTGTTTCAAGCTCTAAAGTATACAGAATACAAAAATTTATCAATTAAATACACTAAAAGGAAGACTTTACCCTTAAAATTAAAATAGATAATTTAAATTTAATTATGACTAATTTAATATACAAAGATTTTAAATAGAAAATGTAACATCTCTAATAACAAATCTACCATATAGTTTTTTAAATACTAAATTTGAACTAATTGATTATAGGACTTTTAAGCTAATATATTAATAAAAGCCAAAACTATAACTCATACTCTATAAGAAATTTAGAAGTCAAATTATGCTCATTTTGATATTTAATCTAGAATAAATTTTTAAAAAGATTCAAGATTAGAAATTTAAGTTTGTACTATGGATATTTCTTCCATTCATTCTTTTGATAGACATAAAAAGATGAGTTATTAAACGACTTAATACCTGAGCACTTACAGGAAAAAAAAATTTTAGGAAAATCTTATCAATCAAGTGATTTTTGGTTTTTTGGGATAAGTCAATAGAATCTAGATCGTGTAAGTTTAATTTTTATTTTAAGAAATTAAATAATAACTAAAATTAAGAAAATCGTGATAAGAAACAGAGCAAAATTTTATAGATAATTTTGTTGAGAAAGATATCAATAATCTATAATAATTAATTATGTTATCGTTTAGAGTTCGAGATGAAGAGAAAACTGTAATCTAAGAAATGATTAAATACATATAGAATCATAATAAACGAAAACCTAGAATTGCATAAATATAACCTAATTAAAGTTCAAAAATAGGACTTAAATTTTAGAAAGCAATATAATAAAAAATGAATAAAAATTTAATAAAAATTCCAAATTTAATGGATATTATTAGTTTGGAAATACATAAAATTTCAAACTTATTAGAGAAGTCTTATTAATTATTTTTAAGAAATTTTTTCATTTATTTTGATTTAATTATATTTCAAACTTTTTCAATTACTCTACAAAGCCATCATTGGGCCAAACAATTGTCCTTTTTGATTTTACAAATTAGAAGGCATCTCTAAAAGACATTTTTTTAGTTTTCATAATATAAGCTATTACTATACATGCTGATCTTGAAACTCCAGCCATGCAGTGAACTAAGACATTGCCTTATTATAAATTTTCATCTATAAAAGTAAAACATTTATCAAAAAATTAAGCTAATAAATGAGAATTGAAATTTTACATAAATCTTGATTTTCAATATCTTCCACATCTAATTTAAAATGTTTAATGTTTGGATTTTCATAGACAACTTTAGATTCTTTTGTAACAGTTAAAACAGCAGTGATTAATTTTGGTGATAGATTGTAAGGTTATGCTGATTTAATATTGCCTAAAAAGAGAAATCCTTTATGTAAGTCTTCATTTTCTGGTTCAAGTATTTTAGTGCTATCTTTATAGAAAGGCTCTAAAATGTCCATTAATAATAATTTAGGTTATTTATTGAAAAATAAATTTGTGAAAATAAATGAAGGAAAAATGAATAATAGAAATGGAAATGTATTTAGAAAATAGAATAATTAATAAAAATGAGTTAGATAAAAGAAATAAAATTAGTATTATTATTAGGGGATTCAGGAGTAGGAAAAAGCAGTCTTTTGTATAGGTTTTTTGAGAAAGATTGTTCTGAGGAAGGTTAGAGCAGGATTTTGGAGCAAAACAATATTAATAGATGATAAAGGAATGGTTTAAGTAATTGTAAGAATAAGGATATTTGGAATAAAGTAAAAATAATAGTATAGTAAAGTTGGAGCAATAATTGGAAATAAATTTGATTTGGAATAGAATGTTGAAATAGATATGGGTAGAGTTGGCAAGACAAGAGAATGATGTATTTTTAAAATTAGTTGTAAAGATAACATCGAGAAGATAAGGAAACATTTTATATAAATAGGATAACTAGTATTTAAAGAGTAGGGGAAATCAAAGAATGAAAATGTTAACTCTACTTTGAAAATAGGGGATAAATGAATTGTAAACAAAAAAAGGGTTAGCGTTATTAAATATTATGCACACCATTATAAGTGTTAATATAAATTGAGATATAAAAAATTAGGAATGCTGTTATGAAGAAATGTTTATTTTATTATATCATTAGCCCAAATTGGTGTCACCAGCAGCAACTCTCATGGCAATGTATTCTTTCAAATCTCTCATGTTGGTGTTCAAATGACCAATCAAGTCAGAAACAGTTTATCTGTCAGCATCTCTGGCGGATCTTCTTTATTAGTATTCATAAGCAGCTTATTAGCATTCAGCTCTTCTGTCATCTCTTTATTAGGTCTTGGCAACATGTCTAGCAGTGTTGTCATCTTATGAGCTGTGGGTGGCAGCAAGTTAATCAGCTAATGATTAGATTTCAGCTTCTAAGTTAGCAATAGCTGAGTTAAGTTTGTTCATGTCTCTGTTTAAGAGTGAGCTGTAAGCATCAAAGGCTTATCTTCTTGAATCTTCAGTCTTTCTTGCTAAATCGAAAGCTTATTATAATTGGTTTTATAAATCGTCAATCAATTAGATGATTCTTCCTGTTAATTCTTAGTTAGCATATTATTAAGCTTTAACAGCTAATTAAGCCATAAGTTTGATAGCTTTTCCGAAGGTTCTAATGTGTTTCATTTATCCAGCCTTGTGAGCAGCAGCATTCAAATGTGAAGCAACTTAAGCAAAGACTTATGGTGTATAGTGGACAGCTTCGCTAGCTCCCTTTTATAAGAAAGCTGGGGCTTATAAGTTATCTGTGAAGAGTCTTCTTGCTTCAGCGAGAACGCTTGAAACAAAAGTGAATTCTTCTCTTTAAGCTTCGAAATCAGAGTTTTCTTCTTATCTCTTAGCTGTGGTTTCATCAATAACTAATTAAAGGAGAGCCTTTTCAGCTAACTTGGCAACTCTTTATCCGACCTTTTAGTCATGGACTGGTTGGAGTTCATCAAGATGAGCTTATAATTCTGTGTCTCTTTATTCAAGATTAGCTAATTCTTAATTGAGTCCAGCAAGATCAGCATCACAAACACCTTAGAATGCTTTGTTTTCAGCATCATCTTCTCTTTAATCGTTTTAATATCTGTCTTCCAAATCATAAAGTGTTTAGAAAATTCTTTCAAGTGGTTCACCTGTTTGCATTTGGATAGCTATTGTGTTCAACAATGTCTTTCCAAGTTTGCTCTTCTCAAGCTTTTCAAAAGCAGCTAAGTTTGTAGCGAAGGCTGTGGCAACCAAAACCAAAATCACGATTGATTTCATTTTAATAATGATTTTTTTTTCATAATTCTTCTTCCCTTTATACCAAAAAATTTATTAAAAACGGATTATTTTTCTTCAACCTAATTTCTTTTACTTATCATAAATCTTTGATTATTTCACAATTATAATTAAAATTTCTCTATATTTCTAATTTAACTCAATTTGAACTATTTTATGATTCTCCTATTGCTTCTATCTTCCATTTTAAAACATAATTGCTCAATAATTTTTATATTTAGATTTCATAAACTTATCATTATGAATAATCTCATCATTAACTATCACACTTTATTATCATTATTTGAACAATCATTTCCTTTTATCCTAAATCCTTCAAAAACAATCAATTTAAAACATAAACAATATATATTTTTACTACTAAAATCATATCTTGTTTTTTTTTATCTATGATGTTTCTTAATACAATATTCTTTAAAATATACATTGCAATTGTCAAACATATAAAAGAGATGAAATTTATATAACTTAAACACACTTTTTTTTATTTTAATCAAAAAACATAATCACTAAACTTAAATATGAATTTAGAATATCTTAAAGGTTTTCCTGCTTTGATTTAACTAAATTTAATCCAAAATCTTGTTATATATTATCTCTTATTTTTAGATAAGCATAAAAATTCACATATATACTTTTATGATTTATTAATTCATAAAATATTAATTTTTTCTTTATTATTCATTTATGATTAAAATCAAATAAATATTCTTTAGATAAGAATTAAAATAAATCTAAGCTGCACATTTATCTTATATTGTTTTGAAATATTAAATAATAAGTCCATAAAAATAAAACTGATTAATTAGAAAAAAGTGTAGAAATTTTTAATTTTTTCTTTTATAATCACAGCTGATTTTGTCAAGATTAACTTTTCTCAACCACAAATTCATTTTAAATATATGACATCCATTTTGGAATTATTAAGATTTTTTAACTTGATTTTATCTCCTTTAATCTAGTAAAATGTTGACCGATTTTAATGAACCTTTTCTTTTCTTTTTCTTCGAAGTAAGCTAAATGATTTAAAAGTGAGTAATTGTAAATGTAAATTTATCTATAATGATCCACAGTAATATCATGTTTAATACTGTATAGTATAGTGTTTAAAATTTACATAAATAGATATTATCATTGTTACTCAATCATCATATTCAAAACTATTTTTTCTTGGTTCATTATTTATGTTTTCTAATGCAAAAAATTAATTTGTATCAAATATATTCTACTCGTCTGTTTACTTTTTATGTTCTTTAATAATCCTTCGAATTACTCCCATTTTGCAATTCATAAATTAATTAATATCAACTACTCTTTAAGTTAAATTGTGTACTAATTTTCTCAGCTTTTTTTAGACAATAGTAATAATCTTCTAAAGTTTTCCTTGAAACTCCAACAATTTCTGCAGCTTAGTCAAGAGTGAACTTGATCATTTTCCCATCTTAAAATTGTCTCTAATCAAAAATTTATCTAAAGAATTAATAATACCATAACCTCCATTAATCTACTAAAAATTTAGCCTCATATACGAACCTCTCTTTTATTCTCTTTTATAATTAGTGTTATTAGTTATTTTGAATATTCATTTTTTAGTTAATTAATATAATAAATGATAAAAGAAAATGATAGATATGGTGAAGATAGTAGATACTCACTTTAAAATTAAACAGATTCAACAGAATATGAAAAAATCATAATAGAGTTATAAAATTAAATTGAAACATTGAATGATAAATTATTAGAAAATAGTTTTGCAAATTTGGAGCTAAAATAAGCAATTAAAAAACTTGAAATTTTAGAACAAGAAAAAGAAGTGAAGATTAAATAATTAAATGCAAAAATGTAAAATATTTGTGCTATATAGAGAATTAATTAATAAAGCACAAAAAGATAAAAGAAATAGACATCTTAAAGAAATTTATAGTCTTAAAAAGTCAACATATCAAATTCTATAAAAATATGTTGGACATCAAATTTATGATGAAAAGGATGAAAATTTTTATGATTATGAATCCAATGTTGAGAATATTATTGAAGAGATTATTATATCTTCAAAATGTTAAATTAATTAAATCAGAAAATCGATTGAATAAATTTTATAACAACAAAAAATTTCAATATAAATTGGTGATTATCAATCTTTAGAATAATACTTAAAGGATGTTATTATTTAAATTAAAAATAAATTTGAGAATGCTTCAGAGTAAAAATTTATTGTAATCTAATAATAGTAAATCTAGCATTAATTAGACAACTATATATGAAGAATTGAAACGCCTAAGATTAGCATTAAATTTTTTTATTGAAGATTCTGTTGTGATGATAAAAAATTAATTAAATTAAAAGCGTTCATTTTGTAAAGTACAAAAATCAATAAGTATATTTTATAGAATATTGAGGATAATAAAAATTATTTAACAGAAATTTAAACATTGCTAAATAATATCACAAAAAACTAGGATTAGTTTGAGATAAATCTGTAATAGTTATCTCAAGTTTTTAAAAAAGTTATCTAATTTGTTGTTTGAATGATGATTTTTTTTATATTATAATTATGAATGAAAGAGACATCCTTATTGATGTAAATTTTATTTTTTTTTAAGGAAAACCATCCATCTCGCAAACACTTAATTCATAAAATTGCCAAGAATACTGAATATACAATAAAGAAAGCAATGATTACAGCAAATGCAGTAGTTGATGGTGGTGTTAAGAATCCTTCTCTTCCTGATGAAATTCTTATAATACAAGAAAATCAAATGAAGTTTTTAATTATGCTTGCAACACTATAATTTTTTACTTTATTGGTTATAGGAATATTTTTGGTCATAGAATTATTTACAATATATGAAGAAATATCAATTATCATTTTATTAGTATTGTTAGTGATTTATGTAATAACTTTGGTTGTTGGATAATTTGAGTAAGATATTACTTAAAATTATCCTAAAAATATCATATTGTTTGTATGAAATAATTGTTAATTATTATAGATCATCAATTCGTTATCTAGAATATTTTGGATAGCTTATTTAGTAGTTTTAATAGATTTCATAAGATATGAATTGATTTAATTATTGATATTCGTTAATTTACTTTTAATGATAATCTTTTTTCATCTTGATAGGAAATCTAATACTAAAAACTGCTTTTTAATAAAAAATTAATTATTAAGGTATTTTTATATAATAATTTTAGGATATTTATAGTTCTTATTCTCTAATTTGGAGGAGTATACTCAGTATTATTATTTGAAGATTATGAAACTGCATTGCTATGGTAATTTCTAAAATAATTAGGTTTGTGATTATAATAGTAATATATTTTTGGATGCTTTTAGAAATATAATTAATTGAATTTCGAAAATAATTATATAAAAATGATAATATTTGGTATTTTGCAGCAATATTATTTGATGGAGATCTCATTTTCCCTTGTTTCTTTGTAAATAAACATTTGTTGAATGAGGATTATGATAGTATTTTAATATGATATATTTCAAAAAAACTTGTATAATTAAATGATTTTTTTAATATTTCATCTAGAATGAAAGTCATTATGAATTAATAAAAATTATTATTTTATAAATAAATTATTTATGGGAGAAATAAGAGAATAATTAAATAATTTATCATAAAGAGAAATTGCTGAAAGATTATAATTTCTAACCGATCATTAAAGATCAGAATTTAAAAAAATGATGGGGAAGGTCTTATTATTGTAATTTCAATAAGATGAATATGATAAACGATAATGGACAAAACTTTAATATTAAGTCTTATTATCAATACCACTTGTTCTTAGTGCAAGAATAGTTAGTGAATATCTCAATGCTAATGTTGAATTTTCTAAGCTCAAACCAACATTATGGATTAAATTCTTAAGAGCTATGGCCTATAAAAAAGGTATAGGATTAGGTACAGCCCTTTTAATCATTCCAATTCATAAAACTATAGAATATAGTCGTAAATTAGGTTATAAATATTATATTCTATCTTAAATTAAAGAAGAATGACAGTTAATATTTATTTATGTTTTTAAATTGTTATCAATCCCCAATATTTGAAGTCTATAATTCAAAAGATGCAAAAAATTCGAATGGAAATAAAGAAAAACTTAAACATTACTCTAAATTGATAGATCTTTAATCTTCTGTTTATGAATATAATCCAATCTTAAAAAGTAAAGTTTAAATTGATTACAACAGCATACCTATTAATGACTAAATAAGTAAAATTACCACAAGGAAAAGATACTGAATTATCATTGGTTCATCCTATTATTGGAATTCAAGGATACTTTAAAGAATCTATACATCTTGAATTATTTGTTGTAGATACAAAATCTACTAGAAGAAGAATTATTTTTAATTCTTTGAAAAAAAGTGAATGTAAACCATTTTTTATTTCTTGTCCCTTGCAATCATAATCAATTTATAATAATTGGGTGACAATTTTAATTCAAATGCCTTCTTTTATCTCATAATTTAAAGGATCAAGTTATAGAAGTTTAGAATCTATTTTAATATAAAGTACTTGCCATATTAGAAGAATTTTTACAATGCAAAATTTCAATGAGTAATTATTAACTTAGTTTCAATATCCTATTGAATCTAATCCTAAAACTTTTTTGATTTCATTTCAAAATGAATAAGAAATATTTGCTGAAAATAATTAAGATTAATTAACAAATATTTATGCACTTAAATAAGCTAAACTTAAATAAATCTAATATGATATTCCAAAAGTTTAAAAGTTAACTTTAAATCCTTAAAAAATTCCAGAACGCTAACATAAAGATATTTAAGTTGCCTCAAAATTAAATTCTAAGGAAAAATCATTAAAAAAAAATGAATAAAATAAAGAAAATGAATTCTTAGATAATTCATTTTAAATCAATAAAAAATATAAACTTTTAGAAAATGATGAAATGGATTTAAAAAATATTGATTAACTTATAAAAATAATAGAATAAGATACAAACTAATAAATAAATAAAGAAATTAAAAATAAAAATTAAGAATTTAATGAGGAAGGTGATTTATTTAATATCTTAAATACAATTAATGCTATTGAGAATGAACAACAATAAAAAGTAGAAATTTTGATAAAGAATCCTATTGGATGTACTACAATAACAAAATAAGGTGCTAACACCTTAATATTAGAAAATAGAAAAGAATAAGAGAATTTCGTAAAAATAATCTATGATCCAATATTAAATTGTTACTTTGATCCTTCAACAAGCAAATGCTATGTTTGATAAAGTATATATTTTTAATTTTTATATATTAAATTTATGAGTTATCCTAATATATAAGAATTTATAGAGGATTTAGAAAAAGAAAATGAATTATTAGGGAAAGGAACGTATGGGGTAGTTTACAAAATGAAAACAAAAAGGATTATTAACCCAGAATTGGAAAAGTAGTAAGACCAAGTTCCGTTTGTAGGTCAATATTTAGCAGTAAAAATGATGGATGCTAAAACTGAGAAATCCTTTTCAACGATTCAGAAAGAATTCCTAATTTTAAAGAGTTTACCCAAATAGCATCCAAATATTATAAAATTGTATAAAGTAATCCTTAATTATGAAAAGTTATAGAGTTATGCTTGGGCAAATTAGATTACTAAAACTTACACTCTTGTGTTAGTTATGGAATTAGCGGATAAAAACTTAATGAAAGAAATAGAAGAGAGAATAGCCTTAAAAAAGTATTTTTCGGATGACGAATTGCATCACATATTTTTATAGTGTATATAAACACTAAATGATATAAAAATTCATTCTAACATTTATCATAGGTAAAATATTTTCTAAACTTTAGAGATATCAAACCTGAGAATATACTCATGAAATCAAGTGGTTTGTAAATACTCCTTTCAGATTTTGGTGTCTCTAGAAAATTAATGAAAGAAAAATTACCAACTATTGCAGGAACTCTAGTAGGTACCCCTTCATATTTATCTCCTATTTTATGGAATGCATTTGAATCTGGTTAATTTTAAATAGCAAATATTAATAAGATTGTACATAATTTTGAAAAATCAGATGTTTATTCTCTAGGCATAACTTTGCTATAAACTACACTTTTACTGAGTTCTTAAATCTAAAAATTAAATGCAGTAATATAAATTAATTGATTTAGGGAGCAGAAGGATAATTGAGAACTCAAACTTTACTAAAAGGCGTTTAAAATCCAAGAATTTAGAATATTTTAACAAGAATGTTAGATCATGATGAAAAGCAAAGAGCTTCTTTTTAGGAATTAATATAATTATTGAATGAACCAATACCAAAATAAATAGTTTCAAACAAAAAGCCTATATTTTCTAATGTTGAACCAAAAATTGGAATTAAAGAATAATTTAGTTTATAAGCAAAGATGAAGTTTGAAAAAAACTAAACTGAAATTGATCAAACATTTAATAATTAAAAATTGGATTAATAATAAGAAAAAATTGAGTAAGTTGATAACTTAGAAACAACTCATGAAACAAAAATAATTCAAGAAGCCATTCAAAACGATGAAAAAGAAAAGTGACATACATAATTTTATTCTTTAGAAAATAATATAAAATAAAAGAAAAATGAAAACGTATCAATTATGTCTTCTACTTAATTTATTTTTTTACCTTTCTTATGCATCAGATGTTTAAAGCAGTGTTATTAATAATCTAGTATTATCTTCAAACTCTGAGTCTTCTTTTTGATTTTTAACTCTAGGATTAATTGTCACAACATTTTTTTGAAATTGACTCATACTTATTTTTATTTTATTGAATTACTTTCGTTTTCTAACTTTTTTATTGAAAAGATTGTCACTCATTTACTACACATGTGAATATATCCTATTTCTTTCTAATATTTCTTATTTACTGATTTCCATAGATGTCTATTATAAGAGAGTCTATTAATATAAAAAAAATTTTTACATTTTAATATTATTTTAATTAATTTTTTTCATCAATCCATCTGTTTTTATCTGTAATTTCTAACATTCTATACTCATTTTATCGTTTTTATCTTTCTAATATATCTTCTTTATCTTATTCTTTTAATTTTCTTATTTCTTATTTCAATAAAATTTTATTATCATATTCTTCCTAAATTGATTAATTTGATTACTTTTTTAATTTTATTAAATTATTCTATTTTTAAAAACTTCTCATTGAATTGCTTTAACTTTTGGCTAGAAAGTATGAATGAATTATTACTCTCTATCTTTAGAAATATCTCCTTAATGTGATTTTATTTTCCTTTATTTTTATTTAGTTTCTAATTTTTTTTCTTATTCTACATTCTAAATAGAATTTTAGTTAATTTGAAAATCTTTTTCTTTTTACACCATTTTTTCTAAGAGAGAATTGATGTGATCTTGTGATATCTTGTCTTTAAGTTACTTTTGTTGTTTCATAATTTATTATTCTTTTAAATTTTACTCTTTTATTTTTTCTATTTTGTTTTAAATTAATTCTTTTTGCAGTTTCTCACTATTATCTAATTTTTATTGTATCTTAGCCATTTGCATTTGACAATCAATATCAATTTATTTTTAGAATTCTTCCTATCTTAATAAAACTTATTCTCTTTTTTTCTTTTCTTTTTTATCATCACTTTTAATCAACATTTTACTTCTATATTCATTAGTTCTTATTATAAATTATATATTTACGATAATTATAATATATTATTTTTTGGTTCATTATCTCTAGGTAGAGAATTACATTCCATTTCTTAAGTCTCTATTCTTTTATTTTCTAATTTGTTAGAACTATATTTTTATTTCATTTCTTTTTATTTCTATATCATGGTTTTAATTATCCTTTAATCTCTTTCCTATAATTTTTCCAGCAATTCAACTCTTCTTTTGTCTTCTTCTAATTTGATTTAAGCTTCTCTCTAAGATTTATAATAAGAGATACTATTTTCTAAATTTTATGTTTATTATATCTAGATAATTCTTTGTTAAACCCCTCTTCTAACTCAGCAACATCCTAACATTCACATAAATTCTATGGAACTGATCCTTCAAGCAAATCTTATTATTATAAATACTTTAAAGTCTTATTATAAGCATAATCCATTTATTTTTTCAACCTTGATAAATAAAATAAACTTGAAAAATATACTCTAACTAATCGATAGTATAACCTTATTTAAGAGAAACTGATCTATCCCGAGACTCAATCGAAGCATTTTATAATTAACGTTATCTATTTTTTCTTATGATTTCTTTTCTTTTTTTAAATATTTCATTCAATAATTCTAAAATATTGTTGAATTTTACAATAGGTTTTATTAATATAATGTTCATATCTCAATTGAATAATTTCATCGCTATTGCAATCATTAGTATGAAAATAGTTGAAATCTCTAAAAAGCTAAATAACAATTGCTTTACTTAATTTGAAAAATGTTTGTATCTATTCCTAACACCTAGCATGCTTAGAGTGTTCTTGGTGAGTTTGGTTTAAAAGTCATTCCTTTAAATACAACTTGATTTTAAGATTAAGTAATGTTGGATGAATTAAGATCTAATGTACTAGCAATATCTTTGCGATTTTCCTTTCATAATTTATAAAATATTTTATTTCTTAAAGTAAAAAATTATTAATTATTAAGGATTCTGTTTCTTATTCATTAAATAGATTGTGGGGATTATCTAAGTTAATTAATTAATTGATATAAAAAAAGAGAAATAGACCATTTGTTAAAGTTTAACCTCTTTTTAATATTGATAACAAAGGATCATGTAACTGAACCATTTAAGAATAAGTTTATGTTAAATGAAGGAAAGATTTAGTGATAAGAGATAAGTAAAAAAATTATAATTTTATTATCAAATAATATAATTTTATAAGTTAAAAAAACTCAAGAGTTGGAATTTAAAGAATTGAGTGTTTTTTAGAACTACTAGCTTTGTTTCTTATCAAAATTTTTAGAATCCTCTCTTACATTTGGTATTTTAAAGTTACATTTGTTTGAATTTGATGATATGCTGAAATCACTTAAAATAATTTCCTGTATATCATTTTCTTAAGGCACATTTTTAATCAAAAACTCTGTGAGTTTCTATAATAAAGTTTGCTTAAGGAGTTCTAAATTAATATTTTTTTTTTTAAAGGAGGTAGCCTCTTGTGCTTTATCAAATTCTTTAACCATTTTCTTCACATGTGGATTTTATAAATGTTCTATGGGTTCCCAAGTATTTTATGAATGAGGATAACCTTTCCATTTGATTTAATAGAGATAGGCTTTAGTTTATTCATCTTGTTTCCTATCTACAATAGATTCAACTTCATATTCTCTTTTGTATGTTTTTCTCTTCATTTACAATAAAAATTAATTGTATAAAGAATAAATTAATTATTTGAATAAGTTGTGGTTTAAGTGATGTGTTTATGGGATGAAAAACTAAAGAAGTAAGAAGATTTGCAAAAAATTCTAAATATATATACAAAAATACTATGAATATAATTAGGAAATAATAGGGAGGGCTAAAATATTGAGAAGAATAAAGAGAGAGAAAAGTTCGATAGGTAGTTATGAATATTGAGAAAGAAGGTATAGATTTTTAATGAGAAAGGAAGATGGTATTGAAATGAAATATAAGTATGTATAGTAATTTAATAAATAATAATAATAATAATAATAATGATGTCATTATTAATAGCAGGATTTGTCATAGGAACAGTTTATGCTGTTAACCCTGATGCTGATAAAGTAGTATTTCCAGGTTGGGGAGAATATAGCTTTAACACTTATTCAGGATATCTTCCAGTTGATACAGGATTAAGGTATGAAGAATAATGATATAGATAATTGCACTATGTTTTTTTAGAGAGTCAAAGTAATCCTTCAACTGACCCAGTTGTATTATGGTTGAATGGTGGTCCAGGATGCTCATCATTACTAGGATTAAATGAAGAGATAGGGCCATTTGTGATGGTGGATGAAGATAGGTAATTCAAGAAGAATCCTTATCCATGGAATGCTAGAGCTAATATTCTATTTTTGGAATCTCCAGCAGGAGTTGGATTCTCAATTAATAATGATACCACATATTAATATAATGATGAGAATTCTGGTTAAGACAATTACAAAGCATTATTGGCTTGGTTTACAGCATTTTAATAATTTCAAAGAAATAAGTTCTTCATTGCAGGAGAATCATATGCAGGTAATTATAAATATCCATAAAATATTAGGAATGTATATTCCATATACATCAAAAGCCATAGTAAATGGTAATAAATAAGCATCATTAAAAATTCCTTTGGAAGGTATCTTAATTGGAAATGGTTTGTTGGTATCAAATTAATAAAAGAGATGGTAAGCCTTATAAGAGTATTTCTTGAGAAGAAATTTCCTTGCTCCTACTGCTACAAACACTATTAGAAAAATATGTAGTGTAAAACCAGATTCCATAAAATGTTTGTTAGCCTAAAATTAATTTGAAGAAGTTTGTTTAGGATCTAACATCAACATATATAATGTTTATGGATATTGTAAAGATGATACAACTCCAGACTTTTTAAAACCTAAAACTAATTCAGGTAAACAAATCAGATATCCATATGTATCTTGGTATGAAGGAAATAACTATCAAAAAGTTGGGAATAGTGGTGCACCTTGTACTGATTTTGGACCAATTACAGAATATTATAATAATGCTTAAGTTTAAGAAGCATTACACATATTAGAAAGACCTTACTTTTGGTCTGCTTGTGATATGGATATCAATCAAGTTTATAACATTAGTAAAAATGGAAGTTATGAAATACTACCTTTTCTAAGTTAATCAGGAGTTAGAATATTAATTTACTCTGGTGATTAAGATGCCATTGTTAGTGTTGTTGATACTCAATAATCTATTAATATGATACCTGACATTTAAGAAATAGAATCTTGGACTCCATGGGGCAATTCAGATTTAGATTTAGCTGGATGGATCACTCAATATAATTATTTAAAGTTTGTTGTTGTCAGAGGAGCTGGACATGTAATTTATTTTTTATTTATTTATTTTCTAGATGGTTCCTGAAGATCAAAGATAAAATGGCTTTGAAATGTTTGATAGTTTCATCTATGATAATGAATTCCCTAAATATCAATGAATGGAGTAATATTATTATATTAACAATATCAAATTCACCATTTCATTATTTATCTTTCTTTTTATATCTTTCTTCTATTATTTTGCTTTTATACAATAAATAAATAAGAAATAATTATTATTTATGAATACTTGCTCAACAATCGATTTTGATAAAACTGCTTAGTTTTTCTTTCCAAACTCATTAAATGTTGCTTATTCTCCTCAGAAATAATAACAAAAATCTCTTTAAATTATATTTGTAGACCCATATAAAAAAGGATCTAATTCCAATATCAAAATAAAAAGGACAAATAGTTAAATAGAACTTCCAAAATTAGAATTATACACTGAGACCGAATCTCCTGACAGCCATAAATAAATTAGAGGCAATTTCATTAGAGATTAATTGTATACTCCTAATGCAAGTAGAGCAGACAGATTTCCATATACTAATATAAATAAATCAAATGAATCTAGTCCTTAAAAAATGTCTAGTTAAATCAGTTTCAATAAATAGAAACAAGGTTAAAAATCATTTTTAAAGAGTAGACCTCAATAAAAAATAGTCACAAGAATTTTTGGGGAATTATGATATAATTTATTTATTAATAATGATTACATCAATAATCACTATTAATCCTCCTCTTCATCATCTCCAAATATAAATTCAAATATATTTTAATCCTAAATTCTACTAGGTATATTATCTTCCTTATCTTCAGAATATTTTATATTCCTTTTCTCCTGTTTACTCACAACTTATGTCTAAGATCTTTCAATATTCTCAAGCTATAATAATCTTTCCTTTTGATTTTTATCATATGAATTTGATTTGAATGATAATGGTAAACCTAAAGCAACTGGATCAAATTAAGCTTAAGATTAAGTAAATTCTTATGGTTGCATAAATCCACCAGATTTGAATCTAAAGTATGAAATTCATCATAAATACTCTTTTTTATCCATAAACAAGAAGTTCCTATTATTGGCAGCCATATTAGGTTTCTGATGATTTCTTTCATTAATTTTCTCAATCATTATTTTTTCATCAGGATTATATGGTTAAGGAACTCCCATCCTCTTACAAAATAAATCTTCTGGAATCCATCTCTTATTCACTCTCTAACTTAAAAAAGGATTAGGTTTCTCCTTTTCTTACTATTGTTCCATTGGTTTCTAAGTATCTTATTTTTTGTCAATGACATTTTTTGAAGTCACTTAAAACATTTAATAAAGCCTTTCAAAATCAATTTTTTCCTCTTCATCTAATTACTACTCTTCAATATCTTTGTTAAGCTTTTGTTTTACAAAATTAGCATATCTTAGTTATTTATCAGGTTGATGGGGAAATAAATTTAAAATATTTAAATTATCTTATGTTTCAGCTTTATCTTACTGATTAACAAGCATAGTCTAATTAATAGCCTTAACAAATTTTTATTTACTAATATCTCTTTTAATTGAGGAAGCTATTAATTAGAAATATATTTTAATACCTGTTTCTTCCTCTCTAAAAATTTCTTCTCTTTTAGAACTAGAAGCAGGCTTTTTATAATTTGTTTTATTGATAAAAAGAAAGGAATAATCTTTTCCTTAATCTAATAGCTTTTTAGCCTTATGATATGGATCATAATCTTCAGGAACATTGATGAGATAATCTTAAGTGTCAATTCTTAATGGGATCATGTCTTTAATAAATTTGGTGCCAATATCTAGAGCCCCTTTTACTTACTTTCTTTTGTTTGAATATTATTCATCTTCATCATCTTCAATAGTATTATTATCTTAAATAATAATTGACTAATTACATTCCTCATCCTTTTCTTAAGTAGTAAATCCATTCATTTTAATTCTATTTTCTTTCTTTTTCTTGTCTTCATCCTCATCAACTATAATGGCAGCATTTTATTTTATAAATGTCCAAAAAGCTAATTCTAAAGAATTTGAAGGGTTTCCATGGGTATCCACATTTAGCTTATATCCTAATCCTGTGTATTGATTATTTGTTTAATTTAAGTATTTGATATTGTGGCAATGAGAGGCTTCTTATTTTTCTTGTTCAACATTTGTATTTCTCTTTTTGATCATTTATTTTCTTAAACGCATAAGTACTTAATAACCCACTGACTTGTTGTCTCTGTAAACTAATTCTTCGGGTGCAGATCCTAAAAGCCATCTTAACTTAAAGTGCATTCAATATACCCAGATCCAGATCCTAATTATTGCTGCAAAAAATTGATCTCATTTTATCCAAATGTATCATATTCTGTTTGAATTGTAACATTTACTCCCAACTTTTATCTTCCAATATCATCCTCGTCCATATAATCTTTTATTGTCTAATTATTATATTTTGCTAATTCAAATTATCCTTTATACCTCTATTTGTTCTTGTGGATATAAACTTTTAAGGTGCCCATCCTTATTTAGAACCAACAGTATTCTTGAATCCTGCTTCAAATCCTCCTTCAAAGGCTCCATGAAATCTTTTATGACCTTTTTCATCCCGTGCCTCCATATTATAGAAATTATCCTTTTTTGTTATCTCTTCTTCCTCAAACAATGTTCCTAATAATTTTTTATCCAGAAAATGATTTCTTATTTACTATTATTACTATGACATTTTTTAATAATATTTATATCATTTTTATATATTTTATTTGAAACAACATAATTTTTTGAAAGAACAATGTCTTAATTAAATTCAAGCTTCTCAACTATTAATGATATTATATTATTAATTATTCATTTAGAATCAAATCAAATGTTCTAAGATAATGCGATTCATAACATTAACTTATCTTTTGGACCTAAATAATAAACTGCTAATCCTAAAGTATGTTATAAAGAAACACCTGATTCTCATATTTCACTTTAATCAGAAGGATTATTATCACCCTTCCCAGAAAGTTCTCCTTCAAATTGGTAGAGAAAGAAAATTACATATTAAAATTCTTTCAACACTTTAGATAAACAACATATTTTCTAGTTGCAATAAACTTTGAGACCTAAAGCACAAACCTCATAAATGACTAAATTTTTAAAAGTCACAAAAATTATGTCAATTGTACAAAGATTCAAGTCCAATCTCTTCTTAAATACTTATATACTACCTAAGAAATCAAAGGAACAGTTTTCTAAGAAAGAGAAATACCTAAATACTTTCGTTTAAAATGACTCAAAAAGTAAAATCGTTTTTCATTTTAATAGAAAGAAACCTTCAAAGTAAATAAATCCCTCTTATTTCACCATCAAGTCCTATTTCTTAAATCTTTGACATGTTAAGCATCATTGTTCAGTTAATGGCTTTATGGATAATTTCAATTATGGCTGTATTTACTAATCTAGACGATAATTAAGCTCAGATTATTATATTTACAGTTGTCTTTCTTATTTTTGAACTTATTTTCCAACTGAATAGAGCTATCATTATTTAAGGCCTAATTATAGAAGATCGATCTATTATATTTTAAAATTTTGTTAAACAATCTTCTTTTCTCTATTCTTTAGAAATTATCATATGCGTTTATATAACTTTCAATAAGAACTTTTTACAATAGAAAGGAGCGTTCTTGCTTCTTATCTTACTTGCAGTAATTATCGGAAGAATACTCTAATAATACGATAATCTGATTGATACATTATACTAACTGTCAATTCCTAGTGATTTACTTGATCTAATCACTTTAATTATTTCAATATACTATTTTGCTCATTTTATAGCATGTTGCTGGTTATATTGTGGACTTTTGTAAGAAGAAAATGGATCTTGGATAACTTATTATGAATTATCTAATCAAGATATTTGGATTAAATATAGTACTTCATTTTACTGGGCAACTATGACTATGGTAACTGTTGGATATGGAGATATTACACCCAAAAATTAAACAGAAATGATTTTTTGCGATATTGCTATGTTTTTATCCAGTTGTGTTTTTGCATATTCTATGAATTCAATTGGTATAATACTCAAAAATATTAATGATAAGAAAGTTAATTATAAGTAAACAAATTTTATATGTCTAGAAAGAGTACTATCATTCTTAATTAATATATGAAGAAGAATGATATATCTAATCATATTCAAGACAAAATTAGAAATTATTTAAAATATCAAATCAATAATGAGTATAATGAAATTTAAAAGGATGCTATTAAAATATTAAAATAATTACCAAAAGGGATTGAACAAGAGATATCTTAGAATATTAATAATAGAATATTATAGAAAATTAAAGTATTCGACCAATTCACAAAATGGACAAAATCCGAATTGATTGACAAAATTGAGTTAATTAGTTATACTCCGGGAGAATATATATTTCATTAAGATACTAGTCAAAATATTGAATTGTAAAAAATTTGATTTATTTTTTCTTCAGATGTTATGTATATTAAGGGTCTGTAGATATTCTGGAAGAATATAGCTAATAGAATATTCAATAATTAAAATAAGGAGAAGTATTTGGTGAATTTTAATTTTTTTCTGGTTTCAATCCTTAAACTTCAGCTATAAGTAATGGTTTTTCAATCATTGCGAAAATTAAGAGATAAACATTTCTCAAAATATTATAGGATGTAAAATAGGATTAAGAAAAATTTCATTAAATCAAAGATAGAATAATTTTATATAAAGATTATAGTGATCTTATGATTAGTTGTAAATTTTGTAAAAAGATATCTCATATCTTTTATCAATGTCCTATGTTATCATATCAACCAGATATGGAATCTAAATTAAAAAAAGAAGAATTGTGCCCACAAGAACAAAATCGATTTCCATTTAAAAGAGTTATTTCAAGAAAAAAAAATTCATTGTTTTTTTAAAAAGAAACATTTGATAAAATTAAGGAATATCAAGAAATTAATGGAATAGATTACATTGAAGATAATCTATAAAGTGAAATATAAACTAATTCATTTATTGAAGAATAACTATATCAAGTTAATGAGATTTAATAAAACATGACAAATATATTTTTGATGCATAAAAATTCTCAGATGATGACAAGAAATTCAAGATTATCAATTAATTAAAATCATTTTGGTTTTTGTAGGCCATCAATTGCTTAAACTTTCAAAGAAAAACAAAATAATAAATCAAATTAAAATCAATTAACTATCTCAAATCATAATAGCCCACCAAAAAATTAAGTTGGATCTAAAGGTTCAACTAAATGGAATATGCTAGATAATTTTATTGATTAATTACAATTTCATTATTTAGACATTGATTGCCTCTAAGAATATGAAATATATATGAAACATAATAACTTTAAGTAAGTGATTAAAGAATTAAATTAAAGACCTAAATATATTCGATAAATGTTAAAGTTATCAAAATATTCCTTTAATTATTATGTCAAAGTCATGGCTATAAAAATGAGAGAATATTTAAATGAAGATGAAATAATCGAAAATGTATTTAGTAAATCTTTAAGAAAGAACTAATGATTGCTATTTAATGTATTCCAATTAAATTGATAAAATCGCCCCATATTTGTTCAAAATCTATTTTATAAAAAACAATAATAGGAAATACTTATTTTTTCTTTAACTATTAAAATTAAAAATTATTGTATATGATTTAATTATTTGTTAGATTTTATAATATAATAGATAATCAAATAGTTTTTCAGAAAAAAGCAAAATACAATATAACCCTTCTAAATTTACTTCCATTTTAAAAAATCTTTTTAATTTTAATCTATAAAACCTCTAAATTAAATGTGGTTGTAAAATAAGTATTTTTTTGGGTTCGAAGATGCTCTTTATTGAAAAATGGTTATTTTAAAATTTATTATCGTTAAATTTTCATATTTATTTTATTTTTGTTTATTAAACAATTTAAATTTGAATAAATCAAGAAAATGTATTCGAATTCAGCAATTTTTATGATGATAGAAAATATACTAATATTCATATGTTATATGATGATTAAAAAAAAAATGCCTATTAAATAAGTACCATTAAATTTTAGTTAAAGTAAAATATATAGTGATTGATTAGACAAAAAATAATTTTGGGAAGATGTGTTAAAAGATCAAAAAATAACTAATTTGCCTTAATTTAATGAATAAGACAATGAATAATAATCAATTTCTACACCAAGAAATGAACACATTATTTAATAATACTGGTTTCTCTAAAAGTTCTTTCTCTAATATACTCTTTTAAATTATACGCATCTATTTCACTTTATGACTTTTTTAAAAAAAGAATGGCAATTATTTACATGTAGAAATTAGTAATTCCATTGGAATATATTCTTATTACCACTAATATTTTATTAATTATCAGCATATGTTTCATTCAAAATAGAAAACATGGGGTTACTAATAATTGGATTAGTGATCTTTAGCAGTTTAAATTTAATGATTAGCATATTATATAGACCAAAATAAAATCTTGATCAACATATGCATGAAACATGTTTAAGGCTTGAAAAATTAAGAGAACTTTTTAAAATAAATAAAACAAATAATTAGGAAGTAAGTGATGAAATTGAAAAATAAAGTGATTATTAGTAATAAGAATTTATTGGTAACATAATAAAAACTACTCAAAATTATTATCCAAATTTAATATCCTATAGTAATTTACTTTAACATAATATTTAGCCAAAATGGTGCTTGACAATATTTGGGTTAAGCTTTTTATTATCATTTTAAATATATGACATATATTGGGAATTTACATTTAGTTGGCTGTATGGTCTACTATTGGAATAATTTTTTAGAGTATCATTTTGTATTATTTATTCAAAAAGATTAAGTTCTAAATGGATTTTGCAAGGGCCTGATTAAGTTTATTTAGAAATGTAAATATTAGCTGAATTTTATAAGCCTTTAATGCTGATATCTAAAAGTCCATAGAAATATATAATGAATGATACACATGTCAACATTAGTGGAATGAGTAAGGATTAATCAAATTTAAATATTCTAAATCATAACTCGACACATGATTTAATTCAAAATAAAAATCAAATTTTAAGAATTACGTCTGCAAATTTAGGAACAATTGAAGACACAAAATTAGATATAACAGAAAATGTTAAAGAATTACCTATTTTAGATTCTGATTAAGCATTGGATACAGAATAAAATAACAATAAGCAAAATTTAAATTAATAAACAGAAATGGATACATAACCAGAAGAGTTATAATTTAAAAAAAAGAAGGCTTAAAGAGTAAAATTAGATGCTTTGTATCATTCTAAAGTAACAAATAGATCTCCAAAACCAAATTTACCTAAACCTTAATTTTATTCAAGCTAAAAGAATAAATAAAGTTAAGGAGTAGAAAATTAATAATAAGAATAGGAGGAGATGTTTTTGTAGCATTAAGATTTTGATGAAGCTCAAAAAGAAAATGTAAATTGTGATTTAATTGAGTTCTAAGAAAATGAAAGCAATTCTATTCCTCAATTTAATCCTATTGATTTTTAAAAAAATATTAGTCCAATAGGATCAGAGCTTTTTTAAAGAAATGAAATTCCTCATTAATGGGAAGAGCCTGATGAAGAAGAGGCATGTAATTTTAAATCATCTTTTAATAATGAATTTTAAGAAGCAGGATTTGATGGAGGAATTAAACATAAAATTCTACCATTATAAACTAATAGTAATATTAACAATAGATCTCCTGCTAATTAATCATTAGCAAGTGGTCCTGGAAGTAAATTTGGAACTGCTGGAAGAAGAAAAAATAGTTAGAAAACATCTAAAGAAGAAGAAGAAAAGTCATACAAGGAATCTAAAAGAATAAAAGTTAATACTAGAAGTAGAAAATAATCTCCAGATAGAAAAAATAAAAAAAATGAAAAACCAAGAGGACAATCTATGAAAGTAAGAACCAATAGAAATGATGATATTCCAACTTTAAACTTTGATAGCGCTAGATTTAAGTCTCCTTATTTAGATTTCTTCCCTGGTGTGAAAGATTCTTCATAACAATAAAAAACTTAAAGAAAATAAAATATCAGTGGCAATAAGCAGAAAATTTAATAAATCATTCAATCTTATGAAAATATTTAAACATCTAATGAACATAGAAATGTTGAGTGAAATATTCAATATTAAATTTTATTATCAAATTTTATTACTATTTAATATGGAATTTAAGAAAGAAAAGCCTAAAGCTACTTCACAAAGATTTAAAAAGATAACTTAAAAACTTGGAATCCAGTCACTAAATAAAGAAGAAAGATTTGAAGAAGGAATGAAAGATTTCCATAATTTAGATACTTTTTTCACAGTCACAGATTTATTGAAGGACATGAACAAAGATTAACCAACTCCAGAAAGATAAGCATTATTTGAAAGTTAATAAACTTTAATTAAAACAAAATTAAAACTTAAAAAATGGAAGTCAGAATACCCTGATTATTTAAAGTTTGAAGAGAAACCACCTCAAACTTAATTTAGAAATAAAGTACCTCTTTTGCAGAAAGCTAAAACTCATTTGAATTTAGAAAAATATGTACCATAATTAAGTAAAGAGGTTGAAAATTTATCCTCTTTATTAAAAGATAAATTTTAAAATGTTGATTTGAAGGAATATCCATAACTTTAATTATTTTAAGAAATTAGCCAGTTCGAGGATTAAAGGATAAAAACAGAATTTAATGAAAATTTGAGGGATAGTTATTGTAAAGAAAGAATGTCTTTAAAATTAGAATAGTTTGAATAAAAACCAACTGTCTCTTATGATACATACTATAGAAACTATCATAATTAGGCTGAATAATTAAGAAATAGACTTCGTTAATAATAAATGAATTTTTTTAATTAAAAATGGGGTAATTCAGTTGTAAAAATGAAAATGAAAGAAGCTTAGGATAAAAGAGGATTCTTAGAAAAAGCAAAATAAACTAGAAGACCAGCTGTAACTAAAAAAGTAGTTTTACCTTATTTAGCCCCTGTTATCAAAAATATTATAACTGATATTTGTATTGAAGAAGCTGAAATGATGGAACAAAAAAGAGATTTTAAAAAAGATATTAAAGAATTAGCAAAGATAGGTTCAGATTTTTATGATCCTAAACCTGAGCCATAAATTATGGGATTAAGAATTATTAATTCTTGAAATCTATATTCTACTTATAAATCTATCAATTAAAAAGAGAAAAAATATAAAAATAGATTAAAGAAAAAAAGATTCTAAATTTATTATTTGGTTTTTAATTTCCTAAATTTCATTTTTTTAACCAAGAAATTCTATCAATTATTTTATTGATTATAAAATAAGACTGTTTTTTTTATATCCAATAGCCTGTTACAGCTCCTATTAATTCCGAATCTGCATTTTAAGTTAATTTCAACTACCATCTCGAATAATAAAAATGAGAAGATTTGTTCTCACCATAATTAAAAACAATGAGGCTTATATCTGTATAAGAATTTTTGAGACTTGTTTAAAAATGAAACAAATAGTAAATTCTTTTAGAAATAGTAATAATTCATTTTGGCAGTATATTTTTCTGGGATAGAAATTCTTAGTATTAATTTCATGTATAATTTAGTAAATATAGTTCCAAAAATCTCACCAAGAATTGAAATCAATGTTAATAAGAATGTAACTGCAAATTTTATTAAGTTATCTATTATCTATATATTCTATTGTCAATCTAATCCTCTTAACCACCTCTTGGATCTAAACCAAATTTTAGATTATAAGATTAAGCCTAATTTGGATATGAGATATTAAGAATTTAGACATCAGTTTTCTGCATTTCTGCGATGATTTCTAATTAAATTTTTCAACTATGCAATCCCATAATCTTAGAGAATCTGGAAAGCTATGTAAAAATCATTAATATGTTTGACTTTTTATTATCTGTGTATTCATATGATCTACTTGAATCAAATTTATTTTTAACATTGAAAGCGAAAATTCATTTTGATATTAAAAACCATAAATTTCACAAATTCTCTATTGAAAATAATTTAAAAAAACATAAAATTATAAAAATAATAGAATTAAATTTTATGGATAAAATGTGTTCTATTTTATTAATATTTATAAATATTGTGTGAAAAATGATTAATAAATGATTATAAAAATTAATCAAACTGATAAAAAATTTTCAATAGACTTTAGAAATTCCATATATTATCTTTGTTCTTTGTCTATAGAGTAAGCCTCAATTAATGCATTTAATGATTCATTAATACCATAGCTTTCAAGGTAAGTATAGATGGATTGTTGTAATTGCTAGAAATAAAAATTATTTTAACTTCATCTAATTTATTAATTTCTGGTCCTGGATAATCTGCCAAAAATTTACGATATTTGGATCTTGTTTTGTACTCTCGAATATCATAGACTGGTTGTACATAATTTATGATAGTAGACTGGTCACCTGTAGTTCATTCCTTTCATGTAATACTTGTATTGCATTCAAATGCTATAGCTTCTCCTTTTTCAGTTTCGATTAGAACTGTATAATCGACAGAAAGTGTTCCTAACTCAAGTTCTTCTTTTCTTTCCTCAACCTACTTTTTTATTTTGTCTTGGTATTTTGGATTTTATGTAATGGATTCGTCTTCTTGTGGATTTTTTCTAATTACAAGTGATTTTCAAATTCGTTACATTTTAGCCTAAAGAGGAGGAGGTGTTCCTCTAAATTCAATAGATATTTTTGCAGTTGGGAACTCTTTGTTAAGAGTAACTTTATTAGTTAATGGGTTATCTATCAATTAAAATCCTAAAGATTAAATTTATTTCCTTAGAGTAGGTTCTTGTTCATATTGCTGATATTCATTTTTATATTCTTTATTAACAATTTTTAGAAGTACTCCCCTTGCCATTGAAATATTTGTAAATCTATAGAAGGACATGAATCTCAACATTATTATAATATTATCGTATTTTAATTAATAATAATATGATTGATAGAAAGAGTTAGAGTCCTATAGCTACAAACTATAATATGGGAACAGTAAATACCATCTTTGATACAGGTAAAGAATAAGAGCCGACAAAAAGATTAACAAGATCAATAAAAAATACTAGTACAGATCCACAGTAAAAAGATTATATGCAATTCTAAAATTAACCTCTTTTAGGAGTTTAGGGTTCTTAAGAAATGAATTGTAAACAATAAATAAATTTGGCAAGCTTAAAATCCACATCAATTTACTTAAGAAAATTTTGAGTATCGGAAACCATAAACGGATAGTTTGAATTTCAGGACTGTTTAAACTTATAAACCTGAAGAAGTAAGTGCATTACCAACTTCTTAATTTAATTACTAAAGTTTTGAGTACAAAAAACCCGATGCTGGACGTACAGGATCCTACATTTAGTCAGGTACTTGAACTATTTATCATCATAGCATACAATACAACATGTATTATATATTTATATGACTCAAGTTTAAGAACCAATAGGTAGTTCTCTCAATTTTCAAAATAAAACTTTGTATGAACCACTAAAATAAGACAACACTTTTACGAAATATGAGTTTAATACATTTGATAAATATAAGACCACTTATGAATAGCCTAAAACATATGAAAAGTTTGACCACTACAAATTTGAACCAATTAAATAGGAATATAATTTATATGATAAGCCAAATGATTATCAACTATCATATAAATCTATTCCTTAAATTCAACCAAATTCATCAGTTGTGTAATTGCATTTGATTAACATAGTTAAACTTAATATACTCCTTACTATCCTGATAGAATTACTTTGGATACTTAATAGAATAAAACTACTTTAAATCCACCTCCACTTGCTTTTGAATCTCTAAGCATAGGGCCAAAAGCCACTGATGATTTAATCAGAACTTCTGAAATTTAAGTTAAGACCTAAAATCCTATAGAACCACTAATGAATAAAGTCTAAAAACCTCCTTCTGTACATGCTGAATCAGTTAAGAAAGAATAAATATATAGACCAACAACTCCAATTTATACATAATAATAATATCAACTGTCTAATTAAATTTAACCTGAATCACAATTCAAATAGGAACCAATAGATATTTTTAACAAACCAAGTTATCGATGTACAATAAATGATTTAAGTTAGCTGGATTACCTTAAAAACATGAGGAGATTGTAATAATTGAAAATGAAGCGAATGAACATGAATTTTAAGCAAGCTGCCAAATATTCTGATATATATGAATAAATAATATATAATATGTAAAAAAATAAAACTAAAGAGAATTTCGAATATTAATAGATTTAACAGTTGCATGACCTAAGACTGGAAAATTATGAATAGATATTAAAAAAATAATGAAAGATCACAACTTTTTGGCTAAGATAAGTATAATAACAACTCTGTATGAAAAAAACTTTAATGAATCCACAATTAATATTGAGAGAATACATTAAATATTAAGATGAATATAAGATTTGTATATAAAGAAATGATATAGTTTTTATATATTGAATTGAGAACAGGCAAATTGTTTTTAGATAGCGCTTCTTTTTCCAAAATTAATACAATAGCAGAGATTGTAAATGATTTATGGGATTATTTATTAATAAATGTCTCCTTCGGATTATAAAAGTTCATATTTTTAGCCTTGCAATGAATACAATGATAGATGATAATTCAATTACTGGAATACAAATTATAAAGTTAAAGTAGATTTGAGCCTTATAATATTTTCAATTTGTAAAACCTTGATTTTCTGAGATATAAAAAAAAAACTATGGAATAGCCAAATAATACTTCTATTTTAGTCTATCAACAATTAGTCTCAAACATTTCAATTTTATATTTATTATTATATGCAATAATGTTTTTTATAGGATGAATTTGATGCTGAAGATGTAAGTCCTTGGCAAGAAAAGAATTTATCTCCTCAAAATATTCTTTATAAAACAAGTCAATAATATCGAAGTTCAACAATTAATTCCGGTAAGGATGAAAAGCAGAAACTAATTAATACAAAAACCAGTTATTCTAAATTAACTAAACATACTGCAGCAACTACAACTACAGAATTTCCTATAAGATGCTTAAGGAACAGAGTTAAGAGTATAGATTAGACAAAAAAATAGTTTTTGAAAGCAACCCCTGTTAAACAATATTGCGATTTTAAACTGTCGAAAGAGTTTTTGATGTATAGAAATACTGCTGATTTTCCCAAGTAAACTTTGCCAAAGAATTTTTTATCCTTTTAAAGACTAAAAAAGTCCTATAGTAGAAAATAAACTATTCATTCTTAAGAACTCAATCCATAATTTCTATAACTTCAAATGTAGATGAAAAAGATAGAAGAATAAGTGCAACCATAAAAGAAATCATGCTGGGAAATTGGTGCTCGTAGAATTTCTAATCCAAAATTTTAAACATTTTTAAGTACTTAAGTTTGATATATAAATCTGAATTTTGGACTTATATTTTTATAAATATAATGCTCTCAATTAAACTTTCTGAACCTACTCGACATTCTATATCTAGATCTTTAATTATACATCACCAATAAAAAAATAATGGAAGTCTGTCTATTCCAACAAGGGATAACCAAAGAAAAGGATCAGAATTAAGGATTAGATAAGATTACAGTCCAAAAGATAAAATCTAATAACAATTTAATAAGTTGAAAGTCAAGTTAAATGATGCTTTATCAAGAACAACTTCTCCATAACCTTCGATTAGAAGCAATTAAGCACAATCAACCAAAGAAATAGTAATATCAGCGTTAAAATAATAGAGAAAAGAATCTCATTTCAAATTAGAAGTCTCTTTTTCTAATGATAGTTCAATAGAGTCTTCATTTGATGAAGAAATGAATGAAGAATTCAAATAAGCAAAAGAAACTCTTGCTAAATTAACAAATATTAATAATAATTAAGCATCTTCATTCAAACGTTCTCAATCTCCTCTAAACAATCGGCTTAGTTTACCATTAATTACAAATCCAAGAAAGCTAAGTGCTACTGATAATGAGGATGATAAAATTAATCTATAATTTTTGAAATCTTTAGAATAAAATTAAGATAATAAAGATATAGATGAATTTTATGATAATGGAGAATTAAATATTAATTTTTAGAGTCGAGATTTATTGTAATTTATCAGATATGAATAAGAAGTTTTGGAATTAGTTCACAGAACTGCTAAATATTCAGATACAAATTAAATGAAATAAGAAATGATTGACTAATTGAATAAATTTGATTGTCTTAAGGAAAGTGAGAAAAAGAAAAAGGAAGAATAAAAAAATGATTTATTAAAAAAATTGGCATCATAACATTAGTTATTGAGTACAGATGAGGCTGATAAAGCAAATTTTAACAATAAGATTGATTAATTGGCATTTTAATTTATTGATAAAGGCATAAAAAAACTAGAACAATAAAGTTCTGATGACTGAAATTTAATACTATATTTTTTTATAATTTATTTATATTATAATGGGAGCTTGTGTTTAACAAAGTAATTAGCAATAATTTGAAATTAATACTATGGATTAGATAAGGCTGTATGAAAATAAACATGTTTACATGAATCCTGAAGAAGAATTACAATGGAAACGTCAAAATAATGGAGAGGTAAATATAAATAATATGCAGGAAAGTCTGCTAAAAAGATAATTAGAGGCTGAAGTATTTTAGAAGCAATAACTAATAGAAAACTAAAAAATACATCAATAAATGGTAGAGATATTAAATTATAATTATTAGATAAACTTATATGATTCATCAATTGAGCCATCTAACTTGTAGATTGACATAGAGTAGAGATCACTAAATTTTTAACCAACAAATCATATATAACAAAGAAGTGAGAGTATTTGTGAAGTTGAGAAAATACAAGATAGATCATTTACATAAGGTTAATCTAAGAAAGACAAAAATAAAAATGTAACTTAAGAGGCATAGACAAAAAAAAAATTAATTGATTATTTATCTAAAAGTGATTAGGAAGTTCTTTTATAACCTTTGCCTTCACCTCCTAATTTATTAGAAAATATAGATTTTGGAGTCTATTAAGCATTTGACAGTGCAGAAATAACTCCTTTAGCAACTCCAAAGTAAGAGGAAGAGTCTGAATGCGAAGAATTAGAAGAAGAAGAAGAATAAGATAAAGAATAAGATAGAGAAGAAGAAGAAGAATAAGATAGAGAAGAAAATAAAAAAGAAGATAAAGAAGAAGTAAAAGAATCGCCATAAGAAGAATAAGAAATAGTTGAAGTCGTATAAAAATAAGAACCACAACCAGAAGAAAAATCTTACCATTCAGAAAAACCTAAATCTTAAGTGATGCTAGATAACCCAATCTTTTAATAAAATCAAGAAGATACAATATCTTTAGAAGATGATAATCCAGAAGAGGTAAAGTAAATGCTCCTCCTTAAGAGAGACAAATAATACTTTAATCATCAAGAGGAGAGTAAATGATTATGTCTTTTGCTCCTAATTAACAATAACAATTTATTAAATCTTAATAGCAAGCTGCACCTGAAAATTAAGTAGAGGTTTTAAATCATAAACCAAGTTTAGAAAAGGCAGTACCATCAAATTCTGATGTTCTAAAAATAGAAAATGAGCATTTAGTTGCGTTATCTGCACAATTAGAACCTATAAATATCAATGTAGATATGAATAATTGTGAAATGTTGGGTCCATACATAATTTTGGATACAGGGGATATTTATGTAGGTACATGGTAAATGGGTAAACGACATGGATTTGGGAAACAAATATTTTCAAATGGAGCCTATTATGAAGGTTAATGGTTGAATGATTTTTTATAAGGATATGGAAGATATATATTTTAAAATGGAGATTACTATGCAGGAGAATTTGTTCATGGAGAAAGAGAAGGAGTTGGAGTGTTGGTTTATTAGGATGGATCATCATATGAAGGGAAATGGTTAAAAAATTAAAAAGTAAATATACAAATTATATATATATAGAATGGTGATGGTAGAGAATAAACTGGAGATGGTAATGTTTATGTAGGGACATTCAAAGCTGGTAAAAAAGATGGTAAAGGTAGATTAGAATATGTTGATGGAAGTATTTTTGAAGGTATGTTTAAAGAAGGGTAGATTTGTGGAAAAGGAACTTAAACTTGGCCAGATGGTAGAAGATATGAAGGAGAATGGAAAGATGGTAAAATGCATGGTTAAGGAGAATTCATTTGGGGAGAAGGAAAATCATATAAAGGAGAATATATTAATAATGTCAGATAAGGATATGGTGAATATAGTTGGCCAGATGGAAGAACATATAAAGGAGGATGGAAGAATGGAATTATGCATGGAAAAGGTTTGATGATTTGGCCTGATTAAAGATTATAAAAGGGTATTTGGATTAATGGGTAAAAGTAATTCAGTAAAGAAGAATTGGCATAATTATCAAAAATAAAAAAATCTAATACTGCTGATACTTCTATCAATAAAACTAAAGATTCTAATGCTGAAACAAAAGATATGAAACAATAAAAACCAAAGAAATCCAAATCGAAGTCTAAATCAAAAGAAAAAAAGAAGACCAAATCTAAAGAAAAATAATGATTAATATTTAATTTAACTAAATTTAAAGTCTTTATTTTTAAATGGAAAACTAATTGCCAATAAGAAAGAAGACTTATAATAATGAATCCTAGTAAGATGATAAGAACAAACATGCAAACTAAAAGAACTAAACAGATAAGCTATTAGCAAGCTTATAAAAAATTACCTTGCTGGATATTTTGGATGAATTTGCCAAAGAATCAGAAAATAAGAGTATTACTGAAATTTTAAAATCTATACTTAATAATGTAGAGACTAAACATAAAGAAACTGAAATTAGATTAGGATGGGATGCTGGAAAGTAGGATAAACCAAATAATAATTATAACTAAAAATTTGAGTCAAATAATTTCTAAAATAATAAATTCAAAAAAAGAAACACAGAAGGGGGTTGGAATGATTATCAAAAAACTGATTAAGGAAATAAAGAAAATGGAAGAGGAAGTTTTGATAGAAATGGAGGGAATGATAGAAATAAGCATTGGGATAATAAAGATGGCAGAAAAGGTAACTTTTAAAGAGGAGATAATTGGAAGAATAATTAAGATGGTAAGAGGAATGGAGGAAGTATTTCTAATGTAGATTGGAATAATAAATAAGGCAATGGTGATTGGAAGTAGAGTGGAAATAAGAATGATTGGAAGAATGGTAATATTAATAATAATGAATGGAAAACAAATAGAAATAATAATGAATGGAAAACAGGTGGACATAATCATGATTGGAAATAGAGTTAAAATAATAATGATTGGAAGACAGGAGGACATAATAATGATTGGAAATAGAGTTAAAATAATAATGATTGGAAATAGAGTTAAAATAATAATGAGTGGAAAACAGGTGGGAATAGTAATAATGATTGGAAAACAAGTGGAAATAATAATAATGATTGGAAAACAAGTGGAAATAATAATGATTGGAAATCAAGTAGTAATAATAATGACTGGAAAATTAGTGGAGGAAATAATAATGAATGGAAATCAAGTGGTTTAAGTAATGAATGGAAAGTTGAAGCAACAACTGAATAAGTTCAACCAGTTTCTTGGGGTTCACCTAAGTGAAATATAATTAAAATATTAATATCCATTTTTTTTTTCAGATGTTTTTGTCAATTTTTTATTTTTGAATAAATGAGACTAATTATTTCAGTTTAAATTGATAATGTTTATATGTCATAATCATTTTTTGCCATAGGAGGTTTAGTTAGCCATTTCTAAGACTTACTATTTGAAGATGTGAATGACTTCATCAATGATAGCATTTTCCTCTAAAATAATAAAATAATAACAATACCATTTCTTCTATTAAGTTCAGTTTCATAAAGATCTCTTAATTCTTAGAGACTGGCAGTTGCAGCATTGATAGCATTCTATGAATCTTTTAAGACTGAATTAGCTTTGGCTTACACAGCAAGAGCAGCTTATTCTTACTAAAGAAATAAGAAAAAGATATTACCACAACCAACTTATCTTAGAGTTAAGTCTTTCTTTGAATTTCGTCTTAAAGATGAGCTTTTTCAGCTTCTGAATCAGCTAACCAATCAGCTAATTGATAGTATCCAGCAATTTCATTTTATTCTAAAGCAGCGAGAGCAGCTCTTAATTGATCTTCTAAATCACTTAATGCATTATAGACAAGTTATCCAACATTAACTCCTGGTTATCTATCTCCACTTGTTGAAGCATCAGATTCTCCTAATGCATGTAATTCAGCATTTCCAGAAGCTTATTCAGCAGCTAATTAAGCAAATTTAGACATAGCATCTTGATTAAATAATTGACTATATTGTTTCAATTTATCAGCTACATTTTCAACTTTTAATTCAATCATTGATGATGGAGCTCCTGTTAAATAACCACTATTTATTAATCTTTATATCATACCTCAAATCATTCTTTAATATTTTGATGACTCCTAAAGCATCATTATGTTGTTTAATAGCTCTGACGAACAATCCATTTGAAAAACATCTCAATTCTTCAAGTTCAACTTCTCTCCTATCAATATCAGCTAATCTTTATGTTGCCCATGCAATATAGTCTGTTGCTTCCTTTAATTTATTTAATCAAATACTCTATATTCAACACCAATTTGTTCTCTTCTAGCTTTAGCACTTGCCCAAGCTTTTTGATTTAATTCATTAACTTTAGATAGAGCAGCTATTCTAGATTATCCAATTTCTTCATCAGAAATGTTCTTTTCATCTGCAACACCTTAAGCTTCAATGTTGCTTGTTTTCAAATCATTCAATAAATCATACACGGCCTAAACAGCATCATTTGATTGTGATCCTGTCTTTTTTCATTTATTTATTATTTATACCTATAAGAGGAGTGTCAAATCAATATCCAATGCTTAAGCACTTACTAAAGCAATCAAAGCTATAGTTATGAACTTATTCATCTCAATAAAATTAATATTATTTCCATAAAAACGGGTAAGGGGCTTAATAATAAATTAAAATAAATTAAATATATATGACTGATGATGATCATTATCCACTATTAGCCACATCTAAGCCTTATATCATTGCAATGATTATTATTCAAATTCTATTTATCCTAACTGCAGTTTTATTGAACTTATATCCTTGAAACCTGTATTTATATCAATTATAATACAACATTCATTTTATCAAATAATTACCTTAAAAAAATTACTAATTATGACTTTGCTCTATTATATTTAATTTACACTATATTTCGTATTCCTCCTTTTTAGAACTGGTTATAGTTAATCTCAACTATGTGAATTTCATTAAAACTTTAAAATATTTATACAAACATTAATTTAATTTATTTTCAATACCAAAATTATCATCCTCTCGAAAATTAATTGTTATGAAAGTGCAAAAGTAAGTTTTCTTTGTTTCTAAACAATTAAATTTATTTTAATTAAAGTGTAAATAAATCTAAGTTGATTTATTTAAAATAGATTGAATTATTTTGTTTAGTAAAAGTTCATAGCTTTGTCCAATTAGTATTTAATTACTTACTTGTATTTATATTTCATACATTATGTTTATAAAATAATAAACCTTGTTTCAGGTAATTCAATGAGAAAGCAGAAAAAAATTTCCAATAATAATTCCCTTCAGAATTTATGTTAAATTTTAATATGAAACATTAAATTTTTTTGAAAGATTCCCTCTAGATTTGATCTAAAAGATTCATTCTTTGAATAATGACTAAGTTATATTTTTGTTTGTGAGAGATCATAATTTATTTTGTGTATTAGGTTTTTTTTTTATATTAAATTTTTTCAATTCAATTATAAAATAGAATTATTTTGTGATAATATATTAAATTTCAATCTAATTTCCCCCCATTTGTTTTTCTCTTTTTTTTATTTGGATTAATTAAATCAGCACCAGATGGAAATTAAACATATTGATTTCCATAAAAAGGTATTCCATAAGGACCTTTTCTAGGTAGTAATACTTCTGGAGTATTTAAAATTTCTTAACCAATTGTTAAGAGATTTTTTTTAGGTGGAGGAGGGGGTTTTTAAAGAGGAGGCTATTCAACATCTATCATCTATTCATTTTTTTTCTTTCTATTTGTATTCACTTCAATTTCTTTAGTAAATTATAACTGAGTAGCCTTTAAAACATCAACTAAATCACAAACAAATTAAAATTGAATTTTTCTTGTGTCTTCATCATTTGTTATTGGTAATCCTTAATCTAAGGGAATTTAACCTTTTAGTTAAACATGTCTTTATAAAGAAAAGTAGAGTACTATATCTAATTGAGCTTCAAATTGTACAAAATCATATGAATTTTCACTTATTGCAAATCTGATTAATTCACAAAATGATGAATAAGTGCCTTTAATATCTGTTTTTAAAATCATTTCATCTAATGCTCCTCTATCTATTTTTTACATCCAAATCATATTTCCATTATAAACTCTTATTATTACACACAAATCTTTTCTAGAAGTTTCTTATTTCTTAAATAGCATCAAATATTTTGTTTCATCATTTTCTTTATTTTATGAGTGCAATCCATCTAATTTTTGACATGCCTCTCTATAATCTTCTTTTTTTCTAAAAGCCTCCATAGGATCTACTTTTTTAGATGATTCCTCTTGCATTAATTATCTTATTAGTTTTTTTATTTGAAAATATCATTGCCTAATAGCAAAAATATTAACTATCCAAATATTAGATAACAATTTTATAAAACTAATAATAGTTAAAAATTATTTCAAACAAAGTCATTGATTCCTTTAATATAAATTAATTTAACTCTTTTACATTGAAAACATAATTTAAACTCCTACTATATAAAAAAGTGATAGAAAAATATGTCTTTTAAGATGATTACAAATAAAATATTTTTAAAACTGATAATCCAAGTTGTACTCATTTAATTGTAGTCACTTTATTATCCTAGAATAAAAGTCTAAAAAATCTAATTTTTTTTTCTATTTTGATTCCCATCTTATCATTTTAAGTTAATTTAAATCTAAAAAGTTTATTGAGCCAAAGATTTGGATATGAATTTTTGGAAAATTATTTTTTTTTAACTTAATTTTATTAGGATAATTTTCAAGAAGAATGCATGATTTAAAATTATTAAATATAATAAAAAAATATTTTTAACTGTTAATGAAATATTCTCAAACAACTGTAAAAGTATTGATTGACTTTAGCTATAAAACTCACCATAATAATTTAATAATCCTATAAGCAGAAGCGATTCCTAAAACTGGAATGATGTTAAAAAGGGCATAAGAGACAAAGTTTATTCAAAAGTGTAGGGATTCGAAAATTAAAAGTTTATTTAAAAAAGCGAATTACTTTACAATTTTAAAAACCAAGAAGAAAAGAATTCTAATCAACCTTTATCACATAGATAATCTGCAACTCATTTAAGAAATCTAATGGATAATAAATTTCCAAAATAAGAATCTCCTATAAAAATGGGTTTGACTCATGCAATTTATTCACCAAGTTAAAAACAATATCATCCCTTAGATGAGATTCAAATCAAGAATAACTATTAAAGTGCATTTGGTTCTTCAATAGGTAAGGAAAAGGTCAAAATTTAATCATCAAAAAAAGAATAATATTCTTAATAGAAACCATTATCTGATTTGTTAGATATGAAGAGAAACAAAGCAGTTACAGAAAGAGCGACATTGGCAGAAATAATAAGAATTTCAAATCATCTTTAAGATGTTTAATAAGCAGAAGCCACTTAATTAAGTAGTGCATATTTATAAGAACTTATAGCACTATAATAAAATATAGGCAAAGTCCTTAAAAATACATCTAATAAAGTATATAAATGAACATTACAATCTATAATTATATTTATAAGATAAAAAAAATATCATTTTAAATCATTAAACAGAATTTTGGTATGCTGAAAATACCAAAAACTATTTGATTTTTTAGATTTTAAATATAGATTAATATTAAGAATTTTATTTTATTATTTATTAATAAGGAGTCTTGAATTTAATTATTTATCACTTTTTAAAAAGGAAATTTAATGATTGTTGTAAAAGAGTTGAATTTCTTCGAAACAGATTTATTATTAAGTATGATTAAAGAGGTTAATTATATAAAATAATATAAATAATGCTTGAATAATTTATTTGATTTATAATGATCATGCACTTTTTGTTTTATAATAATTACCCTCATTGACATCTCCATCATATTCATCATAATATGTTAAACCTATTTAAGATTATTAATAATTACCAGATTACAATACAGTTCCTGCATATGTTGGGACTCCTAGTAAAACTGGGAAATACATGAATTGTACTGGAATCAAAATAAGCATTCCTGCTCCAAAAAATGAATTCTTTACATTCCAAAAGATTCTTCTAATCATATAAAATTAAATATTTTAATTAATATATTATTATTTAATCAATACTACTTTGGATTGTTTCTCATTAAATATTATCTATAAAAATAACTCTGTCTATATACCCTAAATAAATACAAGGATTAAAGCGTTCTCTTTCTTCGGGATCAATCTTTTCAGGATTTTATATCATTATCTCTAATTCTTTAGATAATTCTTCAATTCCATCCATTAACAAAGGCAATAATGTTTATTGAATTTCTTTATATTTCTAAAAGTATAAACTAAATATCTACATCCTCACCTCCTGGTATTTTACTTAATTCTCGTTTGATCACCTCTAAAGGTACTGTATAATTGGGATCCTAGAGTAACTGTTTAACATTCTTTGACATTATTATTTAAAAATATAAATAAAAATAAAAGAAATAATCATTATATCATCAAAACTTGACCTTTTTTATTGGTTTATCTATTAGCCATCCTTTTACTCTATATTTTTATGTTTATTTTAACGATTAATCGATATAATAGTTCACTAAATCTGAAAGTTAATCCAAATCATATGAAAGATACTATTTCATTAATTCCCAATGGACTCTTCTGTTAATTGGTATTTTATTTAATATGTCTCTATCTTTTTGTTCAAGAATTTCTTGATAAATCATTCTAATGTCTGTGATAATTTTTGTTTTTTCTCTCAACCCTTCAATAGTTTTTATTCCCAGATATTTATCATGATTATATTGAAATAACTCGCCTACTGATAAATTATTCTCTGTTGTAAAATATTTATTTACAATCTCAGCAAACTTTTATTGATTAGAATAATAATTTGTACATTTAGACAATGATGATATTTTTAGCATTTAGCCAAGGCAAAACCATATGTCTAATTCTTAAATTTGTTACTGTTTTATTTTTGTAATATCTTATGCGCATTATGATAATTAATTCTTGATTTTATTATTATTATTAAATGCATAATGTGATTAATGATCTCTCATCTAATAATTTACCATAAAATCGTAAAATTCAGGTTCTAAAAATATTTTACAATTTAATTCAATTTGGATACATAAATCAATAATTGATATATTTGTGAATTTTGCTACATTTTCCAGATCTATTTCAAAATGTTTGATAGTACTAGCATCTTTTCTTAAAGATATAATTCTCCTACTATGTAATTTAACATATTTTATTAATTAATTAATCTAATCAGAATTTGTATCTGCCATTGTATCAATAGATACTGAGCATTTCATTGGTATCACTGTATCAATCTGTATTAATTAAAATTTTTCTAACATATTCATTAATTTAAGTGGATTATCAATCATAAAACATTATTTTATATAATTCAAATTGATCTTATTTTAATTTAAACATAATTAATTATAAATAGATTCCAATAATTCTAAATTAGTTTATTAAAAAAATAAAGATTTTCTTTTTATTAAATATTATTCTTTTGATAAATAAACTATGCTAATACAATCTTTGTTCAAGAAAGCACAATCATTTAAATAAGCTTACAAACTATTAACTTAATCTATGTGAACTAGTACATCAAATTATTATTTTAATTCTATTGAAGATGAAATAACTTGATATTTACAAGTAATTTAATTGTTTATGCAAAAATCTTCAAAAGCAGTAATGTTTTTGTTGTTTTAAAATTTTAAAGCTACTCTCTGTAAATTTTGTTCTTCCAATCTTGTGAGCATTCTTAAATAACTTTCTGAATCCATAAATATAACTTTATTTAATTGGTAATTTTGTTTATATTCTCTTTAAATATGACCAATATCTAAAATTGGCCCTATATATGATGTCTAAATAGAAAGATAATTTCTCAGTATTTGTATATTTGTAGCAGGCAAAACTCCTCTGTTACAAACTATATGTTATTTTATATTTTCAGAAAGTAAATATCGGCATTATTCGACATCATCAAAATAAAATGCTTATTTCACATTAAGAGTTCTTAAGATTTGCATTATTGTATCTAAATCACGGCGATACAATTATAAATACGAAATATTTACTAAACCTTGTTTTATATATTTCAGTTCGAATATATCATTAATTTAGATTATCCTTGGTAATTTCTGAGATGAAATAACTAAACTTATCGAATTTGGGTATCTCATTTAAACAATATTTAAAAAATCATAAATTTTTTCAATGGGATATGTACAAATCATTTTGATTTCTTTAAATATATAGATAAGTCTAATAATATCTTAAGAAACAATAGAAAATTTTGAAAATGTGAGATTAAATCTTTAGCAAATTTCTTAGATCAATTCAACTGCTTAATCAACTTCAATTTATGAAATTTATTAATCAATCAATTATTCATCGATTATAAATTTTGAAGCAGACAGATTTTTATGATTAGTGAATAAAGTTCTTTGTACATTCTGAGTTATAGGTGTTTGTAATAGATAATTCTCTCTAATTTTCCTATCATCTTTTGATGGTGTTATACAAAAGTTTTATTTATTAAAACTATTATCACACATAAGGATATTTTCATTTTCATTCATGTTACTCTTTGAATTTTGAATTATAATTTTATTTTTGACAATAAATTATTAATACTTGAGTTGAATTATAATACTACTAAAATAAAAAATTGAATAGAAGAGATAAAGTGAAAAACTAGTAATTAATTTTTACTAAATTTTAAGATGAGTTTTATTAATAAATTAAATATTAAAATAAAAATAATATGATGATATAATAATATATATATTCACACATTTTGATTCACTTCAATTAAATCTTCATCGAATTCTCTATATCCAAGTCCTCTTTCTACCATTTTTTGACCATAAGCCCTTGCAGAATGTTATTATTCTTTATTATGATCTTTTTTCTTAGAAAAATGATGTTTGTTCTTATAGATGAAATAAACGATGGCAGCAAATATACAAATAAGCATAAAATCCCAAATCTAAATAATATAAATAGAGATACATTTCTAAATTTCCAAAATTTGAATCCTGGACATAATAATTTAACTGGATTATATTCAACTCCTCCTTAACATTTATTTCCTGCTACTCTACGATAACCTCTAGAAACTTCATAATAATCTTCACAATTTTATGGAGCTTCAAAGTCTTATTCATAGAGTTCATAGGGAATGCATTTAGCATTAGAATCAGAGTTCTCTCTGTGAAAGTTAAGATCACATTCCCAATCTTCTTCAGTACATTAACAATATTAAACAGAATGTTATCTTTATAAATCTTCACCATTAAAACATTTGGCATCTCTTTTTCGTCTAACATATTCAACTCTCATTCCCATAAGACAATCTGGATTAATCTTTCCAGTTGGTGACCATAATTCATAATCACTATTTGGACTTGAAGGTGAATCTTCTCCGACACATTCTCTTCCATGAATAGAAGAAAAATCAATTTTAACAATATTACCTTACTCAATATTTTCATCATTTATATATAAATTTGATGTACCATATATAATAAATCTTGTTCCAATATTAGAAGGTTCTGTTATAATATTAGTAATCTCAATAGGTTGTTCACTAAATTAAAATATCTCCCATGTTAATCCTTCATTCCATGAATACTTTAATACTTTTGTTGCTTATTAATCGCTTGCTAATACAATAACACCTCCATGATCTCCAATTTCATATATATGTGATCCTTTTGCTATTTCAAACCAAGTTAAACCTCCATCTCTTGACATATAAGTGTTCACTTAATCTGCTCTATAACTTAAATGTTTTCCTATATTTCCTGTTCCTAAAATTAAACCTATCGAATTCTTAGTTGAATAAAATGGACCAAATTACATTTTAGTAGAGACAGAATGCAAATGTAATGAACATGTTTTAGAATCACATTATAACTTTTTACCTTCTGAATCAACTTAAGGTGGTGTTAAAGATTGCCATCTACTTCCCTTATCAAAAGTTATTTTAGTCTATTTAAATTTACTTAAATCACTTTCTTTTATTCTAGCAGAATCCTCATCAATTTCAGATTAATATAATTCTGCTTATTCTGATGCATATACATTTGCTATATAAATTCCCTCCAAACCCAATACTCTCTCAAAATCACATTAACCTTCTTCTGTTCTCACTGTATAATTTAACGAGATTCTATATCTGGATGCTGTAGAATCTGATATATATGTTGTACCCATTATTGAACTTGGCTTAAGATGATTAATGTTTATAAATGCTCCATATTATGAATCTACTATTGTATAACTGTGATCTTTTAATATGTCTGGCATTTAAACATATCTAAAATTGTATTCTGATTCATCTGATTCTGATACCAGTAATGTTACTTCTTAATTCGAAGAATTCATTACTTAAGCTACGAATATATGATTAGGTGTTAGTTGAAATTTATTACCTTAATTAACTAACATCGTTTTTGTTTTCATAAAATCATCACTATAAAATAAATGTGTTTTCATGTTCCAACCTGATAATTATTAATGTCCTTTTCCATTTGGCTCATATGTTATCATTATTCTTTCTTCAGGAATCACTTAATTGTTTGGATTTTTGAATCCCCATGAATATTAATTTACATATTTTGCAATAACTTCCCAATTTAAACCCATATCGATACTAATCATCAGATCCTTAGTAACAAAACAATCTTTTTATTTCATCTAACATTTTGACCATGATGATGCTAATATCCAATCTTTACGCTTTGGATGAAATTAAAATTCCCTCATTTATCTCCCAGTATAAATTGCATTAATTGTCTACCCACAATCAGGGGATATCCAATTAACAAATTCTGTTCCTAGGAATATAATTAATTGTGGATCTATTGGGCTTTTTTATATTTTGTTTACTACTCCTACTTTTTCATTTTCATCTTATAATACAAGCAAACCCTTTCTATGGAAGACTTCTGCCAATTTCTACCAGTCATCACCATTATTCTAACTTAAATAAATTGTTCCTTTTGAACTCATAACCAAGATCTAAAAGAATTAGGGATTGATTAAATACATTGTCATTAGATTTATTCTAAGCACCACACCAGACTACATCTATGATAGCACTATCCATATTTGAAATACTAACATCTATAGCGTTGACGATACAAAACAACAAAAAACTAATCATATGGCAAGTTATCTTATATTATATAATTCATTCATTTGTTTTTCATATTTGAAGAATATAACTTTGCAGTAAATTGAGTAAGTTAATTAATCTATGTTTGTATATAACTTTATTCTCTTTCGATCATCTATCTAAGAGATAAGTTAAAAGAATTACATATATTCCTCAGCCTCTTGCACACTTCTTTATTTCAGAAGATCTATACGTTCCAAGTTTTATAATTGATTCTTTAGCTGCTATGTTAATTTTTTATGTTCCTAATCTTTAGTTGGTTTAGTTAACTTAACTAAGAACTATTCCATTTTTTCAGTATCTCTAGAAGATTGGTCTAAATCAGGGATTATGACACCAGGTTTGTTCAATAATGTATTCCATTCAATACCTAAAAAACTATTATGATATTAATAAACCTTTAAAGAACTTGTGCTATTTTATTTCATCAATAGAAATATGCCCAATCCTCTTTTTATAGTCTGGTTCTAAGAGACGTGTAAGAAGATCATAAGAATCATAGGAAATGCATTCTTCTCCATCATCTCCTAATTTAGGCCATTCAATTCTTAAATTGAGGATGTTCTCAAAAATCTTTTCAACAGTGTCATCATTAAAAGGTGCAATTCCACATAACATTTCGTACATGATAACACCTAGACTCCAATAATCGGCTGAATAGTTGGTGACTGAAACTCCTTGAATAATTTCAGGTGCAATATAATCAGGAGTTCCAATAATCCTATATATGTTTTAAGAAATACTTTTTATTTCCACTATTTTTAGATTCAATAAAGATTGATTCAGCCTTTTTGATATGTTCATAAAATTCTGAGGAATCATTAAACTGTTAGGAAATACAATCAGGTAATTAAGATGTGTCTCTTTTCATTTTTAATCTACTATTCAAACCTTTTTCAGATAACCCAAAATCTGCTAATTTGGTATGTCCTTAAGAATCCAATAAAATATTTTCTGGTTTTAAATCTCTATGAACTATATTTTGATTTCTCAGATATTCTAGAGCTAACACAATTTCTGCCATGTAATGTCTCACATAGAATTCATCTAATGCTGTATATGTCTTCAAAATACTAGCCAAATCTCCCCCTACCATATACTCTTGGACAAAACATAAATAATGTTCATGAACAAATGAGAAATAAGCTTTGACGACAAAGTGACTATTGAGAATTTCAAAAATATTCCTTTCAGCTTTTAACTATTCTAAAAAGGCTTCTAAATTCTATTAATTTATATATCTAATATTAATACTCTCTAAGCACAATCAATTATTTTTAATGCATACATATCTCCAGAACCTTTCTTTTTTACTTAAAAAACCCACCCATAAGCTCCTTTACCTAAAGGTTTAATAAATTCAAAATCTTTGATTCCTACATTCTTTTGTTCAATGGATATAGTAGAATTGGTTTTAATCATATCAGAATCAGAATGGTATCCTTTGTCTGTATGAACAGGATCAATCTATTCCTATTCCTAAATAAGTTAAGGACTATTGTTTGAAACATTAGTACTAAATTTGCTTTTCTTAGTCACTTACAATTATTAAGTGGAAGATGTTGGAGTGGTTGTTTATTGAATATCTTAAGAATGAAAATTAGAAACTCTTTTCTTTTTTTATTTAATTTGTAATTATCTTCTTAGTTTATTTGAAGCATTTGATAAACTAGATTCTTCAGAAGATGTATTATTATGTTCTTCTTTAATTGATGGAACCTTATTATCTCCAACATCAGAATCAAAAGAAAATGGCTATCTTAAACTATCTGAATCTGTATGATCATTTATAAATCCAACTGTATATGGTTTATTTGATATTCTTGGACTCTCACAACCTTCATTCACTTTAAATATTGAAGTATTCATTTTGAATTCTCTTCTTTTAGGTATTATTGGTTAATTTAATTTCTCTCCCTCTTCCTATTCAAATATTGGATCAGCTACTCTATTTCTTGGTGATTAAGACACTTAAGAAAATTTTGATTACCGAAATGAGAGAGAGTTCTACTTTGTAAAAGACTTTTTCATTGCTTAAATCTTAGACAGTTGAAGTGTCATATCATATTATTGATGATGATGGCCTTCTTATTTCTTGAAATGTTCCATTCTATCAAGGATACTCTTGTGAGCACGTGTTATTATTGTCTTTGCTTCATTACTTTCTATGTAATTTCCTGCATTTGATAAATCATTAAGGATTACCAAATTTTCTATTTAGTCACATAATTCTTACACTTAGGATCATCATTTGATTAATTCACTATTTTGTCAGCATAATTTATTATAATTGTCATAGCATTATTTATATTTATTAACTCTTATTCGTTCTCTTACTCATCAATATTGAATGTCTGAGTTCTTCTGAATTTATTATTATTTTTTTATACTTTTTTATTTTTACTAACTATTATCAAATCTTACTTTATTAGAGCTTATTTTACTTAAGCATTTCTTTTCTCCTAATATGCTGCTTCACACAGATTTGCCATGTCCAAATTCAATTCTAATATCCTTTTCTTTGCCTCAGCTGTTTTCTGACAATCCTCACAATGTATTTTCATTTCAAAAGCTTGTACTTTCTTTTCACATATTCTACAAATCAATAATTCAAACTATTTTTTATCCCACTTCTTCATATCCAACTTCATCATTCTAAAATACTAAACATTTCTACTGTTAAATATTCTTCATTTTAATTGATGCCCACTTATATTAGAAAGTTGTATTATTTTTGCTAATCCATTCTGCCTCCAATATATGCAATGCTATTCGTAATTTATTTGACAATGTTCGAATTGATCTATTAGCAAATATATTACTTAAATTTATACTTTGTTGACATCTTCTTTGTAAAGGATTTCTTCATTTTCACTACTTCTAAACGTTGAACATCCTCTATTAGATTCTAAACCTTAATATCCATTTCTCCATAATGATCGTAATTTTATTGGCTAAAGTATTCTTAACAAGATTTTAAGGTTAATACTACTTTTTGTATAGAATCTCTCTATTGAATTGTATTTCCCAAATAATACATACAGTTGTTATTTAATGATATTGTGATAAGATATCCATAATTTCCTTCACAGATGAGGAATCAGGGTTTAATTATTATATTCTATGCTCAATTTGGTCCATTAATATATATATTAAATATTCATTATTACTAAGCTTTCTTCATTCGTACTTAAATTCTATGTTACATTTGTTCCTCTTCCTCTTAACACTTTTACTACATCTATCTTATTAACAATTACTTCTAGTATTTGTAATCTACCTAAAATTAGCATATCATTCACCTGTTTCTAATTTATCCAAAGCCAACTAAGCCTAAGATCGATATTTCTAAAGACGATCATTTAATCCTCCTTTTTCATCTCCTCTCACATTCATCTTATTATAACTTTCCTTTAGAATATTATGATCATTAAATTTCTTCACTAAACAAAATGGACTTCCATAACTATTTGAAAAACAATTCTTTTGCTTGCATTTCTAAATAAAATCTAATCAATCAATTTTCTATACTGAACCTTTTGATTCTTCATACTTATGTATTCTTTCACTTGCCATCAATTTTTAACTACTTTTTAATTATAATTAAAACTCAATCTCAATTAATAATTTATTTTTCTAAAATATCAAAACTATTTTGAATGAAACCAACAACCTCTTTGGTGTAATTAACAGAAGAAAGAATACCTATGGATTTCAAAATGATATAAAAAAACGAAACCTACTTAGAAAGTTATGGAGAAGGCTATCCTAAAATTAAAAATGCTAATGATTATTTTCTCTACCTTCTAAACATATATGGAGATTTTTAAAATATTGAGTTAAAACGTTTTACAATTTTTGAAGGAGATTTGCCATGTGGTTAAATTGGATTGCATTCTTTCTGTATAGAAAATTTTACATGTTAAGCTGAAGTATTCATCTATTAATCTAGATTTTTTATTGGGTAGATTAAAATTACTAAGGCAAAGGAATAGTCACAAGAGCATGTTAATTAATATAAAAGCATGCATTTGAAGTTTTAGGACTAGATCTTCTAATTATTCATTGCTTAATAGAAAATATTAAGAGTGCAAATGTTGCTTTAAGATGTGGATTCACATATGAAGGAATATCAAAATTAGATAAAAACGAATATAAAAAATTTATTAAAACAATAGAATAATATTAAAAAGAAAATATTAATTGATTATCATTTCAATATTTACAATTCTTCAGTCATTTATTCAAATTATTCTAAAAATTTGATATTATCTGCAAATAGTGTTTAATCTGAATCCAATTAGCAAGGATTAATTTTTATTATTTTTATTAAAGCTTTAATGTCACAAGTTGGTATAAGAGTATTCTTACATTATATGTAAGATTTGATGTAATAAAGAGGAAAATGTGCTTCTTCTGATAGATCTTAACCTTCTTTAGGAAATTGAAATCTTCTTTCCACATCTTTAATATAAAGTTCATCAAGATAATATTCATTGAGTAAATTTTTAACTTAAATAATAAGAATTTGGTTAATATATGGTAATAGTATTTACTATCGAAATAGTTCAGCCTTAACATCTTTTATTCTTGTATGTAAAGGCAAAGCTACATATTCACCAACCAAAAAAGGAAATAATCCATTCTTTACTGCATAAATAAATGATTCACTTTCAAATTTATGATTTGTCAAAAATTTATTATAAGCAGGACTTTTTAATAATTTCATAAGAAAGCTTTTAATAAAATTGGAGTAAAAGGCATTATCAAATAATTTAGTAATAAATGGTATTGGTTTTTATAAAAGATAACGATATTCTTCGAATTAATTAAGAGCTCTTTCGACAAAAATAAAGTTATATTTAGCATTTATCAATACCTATGAGATTGCATATTTTATATAAAATATTTCCAAATATGTAATTTACTGTGTTGTAAAAAATGAGATTATTTGTCCAAAATCTAATGTGCTTTCATAATAAACTCCTTTTAAAAGTTCATGCATTATTGTTTTTAATTAAATAACACTAGAATTTTAAAAGAATAACTTCATAATATCTTAGGATAGAAGATATTGAACAACATTTTCTGAAAATTCATCAGCTTGCATTTTATCAATTCTAACAACATTATTTCCTCTTTCTCTTTCCCATTTATTTGTAAAAGAGATTTCATCAAAAGAGATCTTTTTTTGTCTTGGTTTTCTGACAAAATATCTATTCAAATTAATCTCATTTTATGGTTATTACAATTAAGGTAAATGACTGATATTTTATTATTCTGATGAATTTTTTTAAAATTAAACTAAGTCTTTAATGGTAATATTTCTGCTTTAATTATCAATCCTCTAATTTTTATATAAGCCAACAAAAAAACTTTATTATTGTGGTGTTTCGAGATTAACTTATGATTAATGTTATTATTTTTTAGGTATAGAGTTTGATTAATGATTAACTATTGATTATTAGATGTTAGTATTAATTTACTCAATAGATTCTTGTTTAAAATGAGAATATTATTCTTTTAATAGGGATGATTGTCTTTTTCTCATACGATTTGTTGATTATTAATGATCAGATTATAATGATGGAAGGAGAGGATTCAGATAAATCTTTCTAACAGCAGCACTTAACTTATCATTGGATTAATGTTTCAATTTAGATCTTTCATCCAAATATTTTTAGTATTTCTCAACTACTATTTTATATTCTTGACTAGTGGTTCCATTATTGTGAGATTATAACATATTAATAATATCATATTTTGCATCTTCTCACTTATTTATTTATGATTTGTGCCAATTTCACCAATTCAGACACATAATTCTTTGACAGTTATTGAACTTCACTCTAAGTACTTCCTTCAACTCTATTTCTAATATCAGTAAGTTCTTTTAATGGTAATTTATCCATCACACTTGTTTTAAGAGGCTAAGCTATAACTGGTTTTTCTATAAAACTTGAAGTGAATTTTCCTTATGAAGGCTATTTAGTATCCAATTTAGTTTAGGAGGCAAATCTATTTGAAATATGCAAAGTCATCCCAACTGATCTTTAAGATAATCTGCTTTATGGTGGATCAGCAAATTGTTCTATTTTACACTAAATGCTAGATCTCAAAGATCCATCATGTTTTAATATATGTTATGAATTATCTTTATATGAATACATCTTTTTAAAAATATCTTCAAATGATGGAATACTAAAATAAATCTTTTGTTATACCTTCCTCTCAATTCTTAACCTTAAGATGATTTAACAGATTTTGGAACAGTACCTTTTACATAAGTCTATTATTCTTAATTGCCTAATTGCTACATTTTTGAATAGACACTCTCTCGAAATTTTCCTAGATTAAATTCTGATTCATCATTTTTTGTCAATGATGAATATCTTAACTATTGTTCAGATTAACGATGGGAGTTTCTCTTTAACATCTTAACGATTTTTATAATAAATTATATTATTAATATAATATATATATATATATGTTAGTCAAACTAAAAAAAAAGATTTTGCTTTATAAGTAATATTTAACTAGAAATTCAATTATATTAAATTAACTTTCTATTGCTTTCCCATTTTCTTTTTACCATTTCTCTAATCTCTTTTTAATTCAAAGATTCATACTCTAATTTTAGTTTCCAATAAGTTTCTTCATAAAATTTACTATATGGTGATCTATCTCTCTTCTTAGGAGTATTATTATCTATTAATGGACCTGTAATTTCTTAGTCATCAATCACATCATTCTACTTCTGATCCTTCTTTGTTGAAGGTTTTTAATATGATTTAAAAAATTTAGTGATTTTTGTTTATGAAGATTCAATCTTGTTTATCTTCTTTTACATAAATTCCATTGCTATCATTTTATCCTTAAATGATGGTAAATCCAACCATAAAGTCATTGCCTTTTCCCTCAAATTTTTTTATGGAGTTCCATACTTAGTCTCATAACTAAATATACTTAAATTTTTTACTATTTTGTAGCCAATTTCAAAAATTTCTCTAATCCTTTATCTTCTTATGCTTCTTCAAAACACATTTAAAATTAAAAATAGCGGAAAAATAATTATTATATAATATCATTTTAGTAATTTATTTAAATTTTGCCCAAGTTATGTAGGTTATCTAATTAATATATTAAAAATACCTTAAATAATATTCCCAATAAGTTATCATTCCTGTTTATTCTATATCAAACTCAAGAAAATAGCTATTTTAATAAGTTTTATATAATACTTTCTAGTTAATTATCGATCTCTTGTCTATTGAAGCATTTAATGTTCTGTAAAAAAACCTTAATTATTTGTATCTAATTTCATATAATTTGATCTCTCTTCTTTTTAACAAACAAAATCTAAAAATTATCCCATTTCATTAACATCAATAAAACTATCATTTTTTTTATCAATAAACATAAACATTTCTTGCAGATCTGGAATTTCAGCATCAATTTCGTTATAAAATGCTTCCATTTTGTATTAAAAGAAATTCCTGCTTATTTTAATTAACGAAGTCTCCATAAAGATAAATCCAAAAATCTATTCTGCACTAAATTTCTATAAAGCATAATATTTAGGTTAACAAATGAAACTCTAACAAGGAATTGCAAAATTAAAATCTTTACTATCTGGATCTGTATCTTAAGATATAGCTCTATGCTTCTTTAGAAAATCAGGTGCTGTAAAAAGATCAGCATATTTTTTAACAATTTCTTCTTCAATCCATTTTTTCTATTTAGAAGATTTCTTAATAGTTTCATCAAATTTATGAACTTCCTTAAAAAGCCCTCCACTACTCGTGTGGAATTTTTAATTCTATGATAATCTATCTTATTATTATTTATGTGGAGTAGTCCTAATTTCTTGTTATAATATACATCATTAAATATAATGATTTATCTTATGGATGTACACATTGTAATTATTTGCTCAATGATCGAGGATTGTTGTTTCTTATACTATTTTATCTTGATTATTATTTGCTTTAGGTTGATGGAGATAGATTTCTTAAATTTTCTTTGGATTTCTATTATCTTTTTTACAAGATACGACCTTATTTATTTAGTTATAAGAATTTGCGTAAATCCATATATAATCTTCTTTGGTCTCTATGAATTAGAAATTTATACCATTTTTCTTTTTATATGAAGATAAGATTGAAATAATGTCTAAATTATTTTAATGGGCACATTATCTAAGATAAAGTCGATCATCCTTGGGAATTTCTTAGTTATTAAGAAAACATTGTACATATGCATTTCTCAATTAAATTAAAGTACTCATTAGATTGACTATTTTGTCTATTCATTTAGCTGTTATAATTAATTATAATAGTAAATCAATTATTTAATTTCTAATTAAAGGAATCATTATAAAATTTAACAAATTTTCCATCATTTGACTGAGCTCTTTATCTGAAACTATCCTATTATGATTTAATGAATTTTGACTCTTCATGGCGGCTTTTCAGAGGACGAGAAAAATCTATCTTAATCTTTTTAATAAATTATTAAATGGTTAATTGGGAGGGTTAATTTTATGATTAATTGAGATGTTAATTATTTTCTTTATTTCTTTTATTAGCAAGAATTCTACTCCAATTACTATCATTAATCTTATTTTATATATAATTTAACTAACTAAATATGAGTAATAATTTACCTAAACTTTTTGTTATCTTTAGAATCTTACTTGAGAAGTCGAGAGATTTCTTTAAATGATTAATTATTACTACTATTATTATATTAATTTAATTTGTTAAGAGTTTCCTTCATTGATTTTAATGGTTACTTTTGTTATGGTTTAATTCTACATTCCTCAAATGTATCAAATTTTTCAAATCCCTAAGTTTAAAAAGTATTTTCTCTTGCACTATGTTATAAACTGCTTCTTTTACTCTCTTCAACAACTCTTATTTCTTAAGGAATAGTTAATTATTTAGGGGAATTATAAGATCTCAATTCTTAGATTTTATCTGATAAATTATTTTCTTAATTAAATATTGAGCAATCAAAATTGGTTGGTAATATTAATACTGAATGTTTCACTCCATTAAATGGTTAATTCTTTCTCATTATTGGTGGTAAAATCACCAAACTTTTAGCTCCTTCTTTGCCAAAACCATCTACACAATAATATTCATTTTTTTGATATGAAACTATCTCATATATCACTCTACTAAAACCTATGTTGATCTCTTAATCACTTAGTATTATATAAGATAACAATAACCAATATTATTTCATCCATTCAATCAAATCATCGTTATCTTCTTCTATAAATTCATCTATGTTTTTAATATTCAATTTCAGATGAGATTTTAATTTATTTATTGTTATTTCATTAAATCCTAATACATTTAAGTAATTATCTTAATATAATTTTTATAAAAGACTAAATAACCCTTAACAATTTATTCCTAGTATTGTGGCTATTTGTAAAGTTTTATTATTTAGTTCTTCTCTGATTACTTATTCTAAAAATAGACAACTTTCTTAAACAACTTACACTAACACTTTTGGTTAATCAAAAAGATAACCAAAGGCTGATGGAAGTGTTTCTTTTACCATATTTTCATATTTTAATTTAAATTCACTTGGCAACATAAATTTAGAAGATGTATTTGTAACATTGACAGAACAATGTACTAAACTCTCTTATAATTACTTAATCTATTGTTAAAGTCTGAAATTTTCTATTCTAAATTTATTCATATCCGATTCTAAAATTTCTATCATAGCCATTGTTTCATCTGTTTGAATCTACAAGGATGAGTTTTTCTTAGGCTTTTTGCGAAATGAATTAGCAATTGATTCCATCTCATCTAAGCTTATCATTATTCAAAATATATTGCTGTTATATAAATATTTAATTTATGTAATTTTTTTAATCTAATGTAAAGTAAGAAAAGTCATTAACTATAATCATAATAATTAAAAATTATTAGATTATTTTCTACCAAATTCATATTAATAATAATTATAATAATGAAATCAAATAACTTAGTATTTAATTTTATTCTATTTTTTATTTAAATTGATATTTTTTAATAGGTTTTGAAAATTAATTGCAAAATATTTACTTTAACTTAAATAATGTATTATTTATATTAAAGAAAATAGTGGATTATTTATGATTAAAATCTTTCCATAGAGTTCTAAGCATATTTAAAATTATATGAAAAAAATTTATCATAAAAATAAGTTTATTAACAATATAAAATAAAAAATAGAATCATATAAAGTTTTTAATGACTTCATTTTATTATGATTGCAATAGTTTTTAATTGAGTAAGAATGATAAATTAGTCTTGATGTTATCTACATAAAAATTAAGGGAATAATGTATTGAAGAATAGTGAAAGTGAAAATTTAAAACTTTGATATGATAGCAGAGTAAAAATATTGGCAAGTGACAAGAAATAAAATATTTAGGCATAAATATTAAAATTTTTATAATTAAATGTATTTTGATGAAGACTTAGGTCCTTGGTGTAGTGATGATTATAGACCTCGTTCACGATATCATAGTTAGATGACAGTACCAGTACATAAAGATAAGACAGAAGTAAAAGAAACTCATTAAACAATTAATTCTATATTAACAGCAAAGAAAAATGAATTACCTAAGTTAAGGTTGAATAGTATATCACCAAGATAAGTAGTAAAACAATAATATATCAACAAATTCATAAAGATTAAGGAATCTCCCAATGAGAAACATTTTTTACCTTAACTCTCATTAATAAAGATGAAACCTCATTATACAAAACCTAAGAATCGAAACACAGGTGTACATGTAATATTTGAAATCGAAAAAATAATTCGTCGAAACCATGGTTACCTCCCAACTCATAAGTACACTACTTCTACTATAATTTGATCATATATAATCATTTTTTCCTTACAATGCCTCTAATTTAGCTCTAAATCGTGGTAGTTTTTGGATCAAATAATTATTTTTTTCAATGATCATACGATCTAAAGGTTATTCATTAATTGTGCCACTTCTTTTATGTTACATATGTTTATAAAATTATTTAACTTGCAATTCAATTTATTCTTCTCTTTCATCTCTTTTTTATAGATATTGGATTTATTATTTATTGTCGTGCATCTTTAAGGTTTTTTTAAAAGGATCAAAATTGTATTATTAAATTAAAAGATCAAAGAATTTCTGATCACCAGACTAATGATAATGAAATATAATATTTACTTTGCCAGCCTTTTATATCAAAAGAAAATCTAAAAAATTATTTTTATTGAGACGACTCAATTCACCTTTGATAGTTGGATTGATCAATGGTATAAAATCTTTAATTTTGAATGGTTCTATTTGTTTAGATTCAAGCTAAGTTAATTTGATATTATAATCTGGGATATGTTTTCCACTTCCAGCTAAAGTAAAATCCATTTTTTTAAGAGTCATCTCATTATCATTATGAGATAATAAACGATGAGTCATTTTTCTTGCTGTAGGTTTAAATGATTCACCATAACGAGTTGGATCAGATTTAGAAATTTAGCTCACTGATTACATATAAAATAAAATAAGAAAATGGAATAATTATATTAAGGAAGTTGTCATTGTTAAAAGGTTCAATTTGAATTTTCAGGACCTCTTGAAATGGAAGTAATCAGATGCCATTGTTCAATTTGCAAAATGAAACAAAATCATCATGTTTTGATTCACGATTCTAAATTTAAGTTATTAACAAGTATGGAAGAACTTAGTCTCTATACATTCAATACAAAGCAAGTATATTTAATTTATTTAATATCTTAGGCTAAGCATTACTTTTGTAAAACTTGTGGAGTATAATCCTTTTTTTATCCAAGATTCAATCCTAATATGATAGCTATTACTATCTATTGTGTTTAAATACCATCCAATGTTAAGTTGACATATGTGACTTAAGGACTTGAATAATCAATTAAAGAAACTATTAAACAATGAAATTAAATTAATTTCTTATGAACCAACAGTGTCCTCATTGCCGAAGAAGAATTCCAACTCCTTCTTCTGTTATCAAACCTAGATACTAAAAGAAATAAAATGTAACATAAACACTCAAAAATATTTCATTATATGACTTACTTGAAGAATTTGCTAAAATTAAAAATGAATAGCACTTCGACCTGATCCAATTTTTACAAGATAAAATCCCAAAACCAGAAATTACTGATTCAATCTACCCTGTTACTTAAAGAAAGAAATGGGATTTGCCTTAGAAATAATGATTATTTCTTTCCATATTATTTTCTGTTAATTTATAAACTTATATTAATCAATATTATCTCCTTCTTAAATTTGCCTTTACTTATACAAATCCACTGTAAGTTGAATCCAAAAGTGGATCATCCTTTATATACTTTAAATCCTCCACTTTAAACTCTTTAAATTTTAATCTAAAAATTTACCTTTTTAAGATTATTTTGATTATTATTTTCTATTCTTTTAATTTCCATAAAGTAACTCTTAAACTTCTTTATCAACTTCTTCTTTTCTTGAGACTCTCTCACTTGATTTCTATTATACAACTTCTTAATTAGAGAGAATTTCTTAAGTGCTTGGTTATTCAATTGAATGTTAAAGCATACTTGGAATTATATCTTACTTATTCTTTTCCCAATCCAAATAAACTCTCTCAAATTCATATGGTGATAACTCAGCTAATAAATTAATTAATATTACTACCTTAAGATGAATCATTTGGAATTGTGAAATGACCTTTCTTTATTTCTAATTCTCTCTTTATGTTCTCCAAAATTTCTTATTTTCTCATATTATGCTATTCTTCATAATTATTTTATAATTCATTATTATTTTTTTATGGTTTTTCAGTTACTTTCTTCAAAAATTCTTCGTATTAAGGACTATCATTCTTATTTTCTCTTTATGGATTGGTAAGTAATTTTTCACTTTCTTTTTTAAAATCCTCAACATTAATAACTTGTTTCTTACCATTATTATCAGTTACTTCTACTCCTCCTTTTAATCCTAATGCTTTCTTTAAATCTTCAATTCCTTATTCAATTTTTGGCTCTACTTTATTGAAAGACTCTTTCCTTACATCTACTATTGGTAACTTTTAATAGTGTTTTCTATCTTCTTCCTTCAGAGTTTCATCTACTACATCATGTAATAAATTGTTAAAATTATTTATGGCCTTCTAAGCAGGTCTTTCTGGATCTTTGGCAATTTTATCCTCTATAACTAAACTTGCAGATTTTCTTTTATTATGAGATTCTTAAATTTCCTATTTTATTTCTTATTTTAATTCTTCTTTAATTTCTTATTTTAATTATTCTTTTAAATTTTTTTTTAATTCCTCTTAATTTAATTCATGTTCAATTTTCAGAGATTTATCTTCATGCTCTATTTCAATAGATCTATCAGTTTATTTATTATTACTTTATTAAGGATTATGAGAGATAGTAATTGAATGTTAAATCTTTTATTTATGTTTCTTACTAGAAATTGAATCTTATTATAATTATTATTATTATTATTATTGTTATTATTGTTATTATTATTATTGTTATTATTATTATGGTTCATCTTATTTTTTTGTTTGTTATTAAACTTCAAAATTATCTTCATAATCATAATCTTATTCATTTAATTGAGGTTAATCCAATTATTAATTGGCAACATCAATTATAATATCAATTTCATTTTCATCCTTGGGTGTTTCTGAATAGATATCTTCCTCTTTTTAATTATCAGAAAGTTATTCTTGCTGTTCAATTTCCTAAGGTATAAATTAATTTGCTTTCATAACAACGAAATCTTATTCTAATTCTTATTATGATGATTAATCACTTTGATAATCTTGCTAATAATCTTAATCTTATTATTATTCAGAAATATCATAATCTGTTTCCAAATTATTTTCAACTTTATTTGATGATTCTTCCTCTTTTGATTAATTATCTACTTCATCGTAATATTATGGTGGTTATTCATAAGATTCTCCAGTAACAGCTGAATTATCCTTAACAAGATTGTCAATAGTTAAATATTACTCTTAAGGTTCAGCAGTATCATCATAACTTTAAACTTATTGAGTTGCATCTTCTTATTATTATTATTCATCTTCTAAAATTTGATCTTCCGTTAATTATTATGAGTTAATTTCCTATTATTCTAATTCTTGATCATCATTTGATTATTGAAGTTCTTATTCTTATTCTTATTATTATTATTATTATGATGGTTCTTGATCTAAATTTTCAGATTATTCAATTTCTGTTGAATTATTCTAATCATCATCAATGCCTTGATAATATTGCTCTTAATTTTCTTCAATTTAAGGTTAATCCTCTTATGATAATTCATTGCTTTATTCATCATATGTGGCTTCATACATTTAACTATTGTCATTAACCATGATATAATCACTAGTTTTTTTGGTTTCCACATTTTCTTTTTTAATAGTTCCAATAGTATTAGCTAAAGCTTCAAGTTCTTTTTAAAAATCATCAAATGATATATTGATTTCATCTTCAGTCTAATTTTGATTTTGAGAAGTATTTGTTTCTTCAGTAGAAACAGAAACTTCAGTTGATAATAATTATTATTATTATGAATCATCAACAGAGTCTAATGTAGATTCTACAAAATCATCATCTCTAGCTTCTACTATTTTATAATTAGTTTCTTCATCAATATCATCATTTAATTTAATATCTTCAATTTAAATATTTTGTTAATCCTATTGTTGTTCATCATCATCATAAATAAAATTAACATTTTCTATATCAGGTTGAAGTGTTTCTAAATAATCTCCAAGTTATTTAACTTCTTATTCTGGTTATGGTTCAATTTAATTTTATTCATAATCTTCATCTTTCAAAATAATAACTTAATCATTATTTTCAGGAACATCTAATCTATCAATAATCAAAGAATATTATTTGTCACCTTCTTCAACTGAATCTAAAGAATTAGTTGATGCAGAATCTAATTTAAAATCTCTAATGGCATTATTTAATTTATCTTTTAATCTTTATTTTTCTCTTAAAAAATCAGATTTCTTAGGTTTTCTAACGAAAGCTTCTCCTTCATCTGTTGTTAATCCAATTTCAATAGCACCTTCTTCTTTTATACTTTCTTATTCTTAAACAATATCTTCTTATGGTTCCAATTCCACCTATTCTTGAGATTACTCAATTTCCTAGACTTCATCAATTTAAGGTTAAACCTAATCAGAAATAACTTCCACTTGACCAGATTCATAAACTTCAATTTCTTAATGATCTTCGTCTAATTTAATTGATGCATCAATAATTTAGATATCCTCTTCTCCTATTTATGATATATTCTCAATCTATTATTCTTATGATTACAATTCCTTATCAACTTCATCCTATAATTAATTAATCATATTATTATCAACATTTTTGATTTCCTAAGTAATTAATTATTATTCTGCATTCACTCCTCCATCATTTAAATAAATGATAGGTGGTTATTATTCTTCTTTTGATTATTCAATTTAAACTTCTTATTAATCTTCATAAGCAGAATTCACATCCAAACTTATTTAATCTTCTATAACTTTAGGCTCTTCACTTTTATTTTCTAATTCTCCAATAACTTAAGGCTCTTCACTTTTATTTTCTAATTCTCCAACTTCCCTCTCTAAATCAGTAGCCTTTTCTATTATATCTAATTTTTCTTATTATCTTTCATTTCTATTTTTGTTTTTTAGTTACTTAGCTTCTTCTTTCAACTCTTAGGCAACTTTTATCATTTCATCAATATCTTATTCTTATTTTGTAAGATCCTCATCATTAATTTAAGTCACCTTTTATTATGGTTCTGAAAAAGCCTCAGGATCAACAGAAATAATTTCACTTTATTCATTATTAGTCTCCTAAATATCTTATTAAATCTATTCAGTAGTATTTTATTATTCTGTGCTGATATCATCCACATTTGCTTCAGAAATCTTCACATTTTCTATTTTAACTTCATCTGTATGAACAACAACATCTTCAGTTGATGAAATATCCTCAACTTATTTCTCTTCTGATGGAATAGCTAATTAATCATTTATGATTTCTTTTGCAACTTATTATTGAGGTATATCATCAGTATTTATTTATTAAATATCTGTATTATCTAATTTAATATCTTCAATTTAGATTTCTTATTTGGATTCTTACTCTTATTCTACAATTTTATTATCTTAATTATCAAATGTAACATCTTCTTATTAGAGTACTTAATCATTATTATTTGTTGTTACATTAGATTATAAATCTGAATTTTATTAATCACTTTTTTCTGGATTATTTTATTCAATATTAATAACTTATGATTCTTCTTCTTAGTTTTAAATTGAATCATTTTCAGGTTCTTTAATTTAAACCTCATCTGTTGTCAATTTAATTTCTTATAAATTTTTATTATCTACTGATTCTTCATTTACCAATTTCACATCTTCAAGTTATTATTATTAATTAATTTATTATTATTCTTATTAAGAATTCTCAACTTATTATTATTATTATTATTAATCATCAAGAGAAACAGTTTCAGATTATTAATTTTCTTAAGTAGATTCAAGATCTAATTTAATATCTTCTAATTAATCAGATACAGCTACAGTTGTTTACTGTTAATTTTGGGAATCAATATTTACTTGATTATCAAATTTTATATCTTCAATTTAATTATTTTGAGATTAAAGAGTTTCATCAATATTATCAAGATGGATATCTTCAGCAATCAATTTTTGATCAGATGTTGATTGCTAATCTTGATTTTCTAATTTAAATATTTCTAAGGATTCTTCTTGTTTGAATTCTGCTTGATTAGGTTAATCTTCGCTTACAACTTCTAAAGATCTATGAATTGGATATTCTTCAATTGAAGAATCCTTAATTATTTCTATAGATTAATGATGCCATATTTCAAAAGACTTCTATTAATCTAAATGTGTAATTTCTAGGGATTGCTGTGCTTATACTAAGCTCCTAAGCTGAATTAATAATTCAATATTTACATGGCATTTTACTTCTTAAATGGATGGAATTCAGCCACTTCTTATTGCTAGTAATTTTAATAACCTATTAAATCAATTGGTTATTCATCATTTGTGATTATTATGCACATATTCATTTATCCATCATTATCAACAATGAGATTCCCATCAAGTAAATCTTCGCCAATTACATTAATTATTACCAATATTAAAATTGTTAGCATGAGTATTCGTTCCCAAAACACCAATATAAGTTGGCCTCTAGATAATTATAGGTATTTGAATCTCATTTCCTACAGCTACGCGATTAAAACATTCTATTTGATAGTTCTCCTCATTCTCTATAGCTAAATAAGCAAATTCTGCCTCAATCTCATCAGTTGTCATCATTTATAATATGAATCCTTATTTTTTATAGTAACTTATGTACCTTCCTTATTAACTTCATGAATCTCTGCAAAAATATCTCCTTATCCATTAAGAAGTGCAATGGCCACTTAAGGGATTTACTAGAAAGGTTATGAGAAGAGTATTTCCTTAAATTTATCAAATGAATTACTTTTGATTGAATTTGTCCTCCTCCTTCATTTTGAATCAGAACCGTTCCATAATTCAGACTATGGACAATCACCAATAAAGTGAGTAATAGATAGCATTATTTGACCATTTTTTTATTATAATAAAAACGGATTGTAATTAATTCATTGTCAATATACTTATTAATTTATTTAACTGTATGGCAGAATAAGGCAGATATAGCAAATTAAGTGAAGAAGAAGCTGCAGCTCAATTCGAATTAAGGTACATATCCAAATTTACTTAAGAAAATAATAGTTATTGGGTAATTTGTAAGAACAATACCAAAATGCAAATAGTTAAAAAAATAAAAAGCAATCCAAATCATAACAACAATAATCTAACAAACAAGAATTTATTGTCTTTAATCCTACTAAAAAGTAATCATCATAACCATCTAAAAACCCTGTCAAAAAATTATAATAACTTAAGCAAGAATCTCCTTCGCATTCAAGTCCTCCTCCAGAATAAGATATTGAGTTCTAAGTTTAATAACCTGTGGAACCAATACCTCCTGAATAATCTCCTCTAATTGATTAACCACAAAAGCCTAGTATTAAAAAGAAGTTGCTTAGAGATATAGGTAATCTGGATTTGGAAATCTAAAGATTAACTAAAGAAACAAAAAACTTTTAAAATGAAAAATTGTTAAATTAATCTCAATCATCCTAACAATAACCAAAAATTCTTAAAGAATCTCTTGCTAAACAGAATCCTAGACCTAGTTCCTCATAGCAAGAATAATCAAAAGTTTACTATGAATTGAGACAAAGACCATCAAGTAAAGAATCTAGAATTTCTGATGCCTCATACACTAAAAAAGCTGAATGTTTCAAAGGAGTCATTAGAAGTTCAAGTCTAAAGAAATTACCTCAACCTTAAAAAACAAATTACAATTTTTTATAGTTAAGAAGTGCATCTGAAAAGAAAATCAATTAATCTATCAATAAAACAAACACTGTTGAATCTGAAAATCAAAAAGATAACTCTCAAAAAATTGTTCATAGTGAAAGAAAAATACCAAAACCTATAATCTAAATTAATAGAAGTTAATCTAAATAAGATACACCAACATATGAAAAAAAGAATACTCCTGTTAAATCTATTTTGAAAGTTTAATTTAATTCAATCCCTGTCGAATGTAGTTCAACTAAAAATAATAGCAGCTCCTATGTAAAATCTTTCTTTAAATTAGTTTCATTAGCATAAAGAATCTTACAATAGTTAGATAAGTTTTTCTAAAAATAAATGTGTTGAAGCATAAATTGAAGAAGCAGTATAATTATACAACAATCTTAAATCTTTAATGCAAAATAAAACAAATGTTTTATAAGTTAGAAAAGATGGAAATCTTATACCCAGAAAAACTGCTGATTTTTTTGTATTAATTATTATTTACTTAGTATCATAAAGAAATTTAGAAACCCACTTTATACTGATACTTTAAATTTTGATAATTTTAATTATATATTCATTATTTCTATCCAATTACTTCTATAACACGAATTAATACTTCTTTTGATAATTTTCTCAATTCTGTTAAAGATACACCTTTTAAATTTTCAGAAATAAAGGTACAACATTCATACAATAAAAATGTTGCATTTATCTATTCTGCTATCTCAGCCAAATCAAATACATTTTCTTTACTAATAAATTCAGCCATTCCTTCTTAAATCAAATATAAAAATGTTTAATTATTTAACATAAAATAACTTGATGCTTTATATGCATTAATTAAATGATCGAAATTTCCCTCATTTTATCTTTGTAAAGCTTAATATCCACAATATAAATAGTTAATTATATTTTATAAGATCTATGGATCGAAATCAACTTAGACCTGTTAAATAACTCCATTTTAAAAATTAATCATTTCTCGAAAATATTCTGATCTTGCAACCAACAAAAATGAATGAACATTTATTTATTTTTCTTATGCAATTATTACTGTATCAGTTTCAGAATGATATTATAATTTTCTCATATCTGAATAAAACTTAACAACAATTTAATTCTAAATATTATTAAAGATAATTCTTTATTATTGAAATAAATTTATAAATTATTTTTGTTTTCGCTATTCTAACATTTATAAAACACTTTTCAATAAAAAATTAATTTAAGCACTAACATTCCCTTTATTTTAAAGTTGTTACAACTCTTTTTCAATGAAATCATAATCACTTTATCCTCTACAATCAATCAAAAAATATTAAATAATTGCTGAAGCAAATATATCATCCTACAAAAAAACACAAAACTATAAAGTCTCTCTAATTTCTACTTTACTCAGCAAGTCTAATGTGATTTCACCTTTGTAAATATATTTTATTAAGATTTAAACCAAAATATCAGAAAATTGGAGGTTTTGATTTTATAATAGTATAGGGCATCTAATCGAAATAAAACTTTTATGTAAAGCAAATTATGTACTACTTTTGGTATATATGGTCAAATCACTACAATTTTAATTCATTTCCAATAAAGAATACTATTAATTAAATTTGATAATTACTATATCTTATCGTAAAGTACAATACTATTATTCTTCTTATCTTAAGTTATGATTCCATACATATAGATCATTTAATCTTTGATTCTATTAGCTTCTTCCTCCGAAAATGAATAATTGATTTGAGGTTTAGGCAAAACTAAAGAATTCACGAGAAGGTATATTCCCTCTAAATTTTTTACTCTTCCATTTATTTTAGATAACATCTAATTATAATGCATCATCACATAATCCATCATCTTAACCACTATATATGTAAACCATATTTTCTATAACAAAACAAGCATGTCCATATCTACCTTTGAATAAATTTTTTTTTGATTTATTTTTTAGTGCTTCCAACTCTAAAAATTGCCATGTCATATTGGAAAAATCAGTTTTCACAATTTGTCCATAACGGTTTTAATTTGTAGTACCACCAATAATATAAAGTTCATTGCCAATAATAGCAGTAGTGTGTCTATATCTAGCTTATGGTTAAATTTATGCCCTAAGCTTGGTAATGAATTTTATAATACATCAAGTTTTTTCCAAATTTTATCTATTAAAGAAAAGACCCATAAATCATTTAAAAACTCAGGATTCATTCTATTTTATACTTTAACATAGTGAACACCTCCAAAAATAAATATCTAACTAAACAATAGAATATTATTATTAATTACTAATTTGATATTATCATAGAATGACCATATCTATCACATGGTCCTTGAGTTTAAGACATTACTATATTCCAATTATTTTTTTGAATATCATATTCATAGAGATCACTAGATGATTTAAAGAATAATTATACTTTTTACTTGTTTTTTCAACTATCAATAATGTGCCTCCAAATAAATATATTTTTTTAATATCATCAACTCCACACATTCCTGCTGAACTTCTTCCATTTGGTTATGAATCGCTCTTTAATTTACTCCAAGTTTTATCTTCTAGATTAAATCTATGAAATTCATTCAATATTTCAGTGTTTGATTGCCCTCCGAAAACATAAAAATTATTTGCCACTACACAACAACAATGTCCACTTTTTGGTGTTGGCATACCATTTTATTAAACACATTCCCAAATATTATCTTAGAACATAAAATATATTATAATTTCAAATTTTTAATGATTTCATTGCTTCTTACAATTAAATTTCTTTCTCTTTACCTTTTGTAACTAAATGTTATCTAACTTTCTCATATTCTGCAATATCTTTCTCATGAGATTTAATATTTTCATTTACTTCATTTACAATATCTCCTTTGGGTTTCAAAATAAAACTAACATTATTATCTTATTTCATTACCATCTACCAACTGGATTATATGTCTTTTATTGATCAATACTTCCCAATTCTTTTAAAGTTATGTTACATTTTTGAATGTTTCTTTTAAGTGAATTTATTGATCCTTCATATTGTCTCACTTTAGCTAATGTACTTAACACATCTTTTTCTAAATCCATTGCTTATTATATTTGATTCTCTTTCTCTTTACTAATTTACTACATATTAAAATAAATTTATTTTATTCATTTTTCATTATTTTTTAATTATTATGATTTTATTTTATATCCTACATTGTAGTGAAAGTTATAAGAATTTGAAAATATCACAAAATTTTTAATTAATTGATCAGAATTTACATTTTATAAATTATTACTTTCTTAATATTATAATAATAAAGACTCATAAACCACATAAAGAATAATTGAATATGATAAAATCAAAATAGATCTAAATAAGTAAAAAGACAATCTTAATCTCTTGATTAAAAAGTTGAAGTTCAATAAATGAAAGATAGGTTCAAGGCATTAAGAATGTATTTAATATATATATTACTGAGTATTAATTTTTGTAAGGTATGAATGAGAAAAATGAAATAAATTTTAATAAGGTTGATAAAAATAAATCATAGACCTGAAGACTACAAAAGATAGATAATAAGAATTTTGAATATAAAATAAAATAAATAATCAATGTATACAATAATGAATATGCATTTGAATTTGATCCTTATTTTTTAAATAGAAATCTGAAAAATAATATAAATTGATTAAATAATTAGAAATTAATGATGAAATGTGTGATTTTTGTTACGATACTGTTATCAGTGACATGCATAGACTTTGTTGCTGATGAATTTAGATGGCCTGATTGGCCTGATTATGATTTCAAGACTTGGTCAGGATTGATAGAGCTTGATGATGATGGAGTGAAAAGGTTGATATAGATTCTATATTAGAAATTTGCATTACGTATTTGTAGAGAGCCAAACAGAGGATGCAGAATTACAAACATAACCTGTAATACTTTGGTTAAATGGGGGTCCAGGATGTTCATCTATGTTGGGTTTGATGTAAGAAATTGGACCATTTGTGATTGACAATGGAGAAACTGAATATAAAGAAAATCCATGGTCATGGAATAAGAAAGCGCATTTATTGATATTGGAATCCCCTTTTGGAGTTGGATTCTCTTAACCTACTCCAGAAAATTATAATTTCACAGATGAGAAGACTGGAACATTCAATTACGAGGCAATCCGACTATGGTTTAATACATTCACATACTATAGAGGTAGAGAATTCTATATCGCTGGAGAATCATATGCAGGTATGAAAGTTATTAATTTTAGGAATGTATATTCCGTATACAGCTTAAGCTTTATTAGAGAAAGAGAAAAATGTAATTGAGAATGAAAGAATAAATTTTAAGGGAGTATTAATAGGAAATGGTGTATTGATTAATAATGAGAAATTAAGAAATTAAACAGCACTAAAGTTTTTGGCAAGAAGATCATTTATAGATTCTACAAATTAATTTATTTTGACTCACAATTGTGCTTCAAAACCAGATTCAGCAAGTTGCAAATAAGCTAAGAAATCATTGGATGATGCAATTGCCTTGATAAATCCATATGGAGTATATTCTTATTGTTGGAGTGACAGTACTAGAAAGGAATTCAAAGTGGAGAGATAATCAAAACATAGATATACTTATACACCATGGTTAAATTTGAGTGAAGATGATGATGATAGTAATGCTCCATGTCTTGATTTTGGACCTTTAGCAAATAAATTGAACACTGAAACATATAAATAGGCTCTTCATGTTGATAACGATACTGTATGGACAGGTTGTAGTGATTCGGTTTATCGCTAATATAAAAAATCAGAAGGAAGTTATTTAATTTTACCAGAATTATATAAAGCAGGAATCGATATTCTTATTTATTCTGGTGATTAAGATTTAGCAGTGAGCATGATAGAAACTTATGAAAGTATCTAATAAATACCAGGATGCAATAGAATTAAACCTTGGGTTCCTTATGTTAATAAGCATCCAGGTCAATTAGAGAATCAATTAGCAGGATGGATTGAAGAATATGATTGTTTTAGATTCTAAGTTATTAGAGGTGCTGGACATGTAATTCAATATTACTATTTTAGATGGTTCCATAAGATCAAAGAGAAAACGCATGGTTTATGTTCAATGACTTTATTAACAGAAATAAGGGAATCTGACAAATAAAATATATATGTTATTCATTTTATTTGTTTATTTTTATCCATACCCAAATATACCATTTTTTTTAAATTAATTAATTATTCAAACCCTTACCTTTAAGTGTTTTCTCTTTTGCTTATGGCTCAGCTGTATAACCTTAATTTAATTATATTTATATATAAAATAGTTCTAGGATTAATTTAATTTAATTATCTCTCAATAATGTTGAAAAATGTTATCTCCAAATATTCAAATCAATTCTAAAGTATTTTATATTATTACAATACACCATAATAGTGAATTAATATTATTTAGGTAGTAGATTCATTTAAAAAATGAATATCGAAATATTCCCAATTCATTTTAATCCTTTTTTTCAATTTTAAGATATTTAATCAAAATATGGTTGTTGTATCCATTAAAAAATTAATCGAGTATTTAAAAAATTGGAAATGTCTATCAATTGTTGGAAGAATGCAAAATCCCATACTTTCTATTTAAGAATTTGATATTTTAAGATTTTAAGGGGCTTGTATCTCTAATTTATAAAGTTCAGTTATCATTCATATCTTAATATACTTTAAATCTTCAATTTCATTATAAGAATTACTTATAGTATGATCAGTTTATCTTATTAAGGTGTTATAAGATTTACATTAGAGGGAGAAATCTAAAACAAAGTCTTTAATATTCTCAAAATGGAAATTATAAAAATATTACTGATCTCTACCTTTCCAATTTAGGAGATTTAAATAATTTAATATGAATATCAAAATATGGTCAAATTTTAATCGATTAAAGCATGCAATCCTTGTAATCAATTCTTTCTTAATCTATGGAGTTCTTATGTTCATTAATACCTGGATAATTATTAAGTATTAGAATAGGAGAAAAAAGATAAATCGGAATACTTTAAATTATGAATCAAGATAAAATAAATACAGAACTCATCAAAGAAAGTGTTCTAAGTTAAAATCTATTCTCTTCAAGATGTACGCTATTTTATAATTTAGCTAATGATTTCTCCTTTCTTAAGCGTTAAATATGCTATTTAGAAATTAAACAAACGCTAAAAATGATGTAATTAAATATTATACTTAATATATTTAATTCATTATTTCAATGAACTACAAATAGTTGTATGAAGAGATGGCTCTAAAATATCAATAAATGGAAGAAGAATACAATTAATTTGTTGAGGAAAGCTAAATTTTGGAAGATTAATAATAAAAGAATATTGAATCATTAAATAAATAACTTGCTTAGACATAAAATTGTCTTCTACAACAAAAAGAAGAAACTCAAAAAGCAAGAGTAAATTTATTATTCAAAATTTCTTTAGAATGAATTGTAGTCTATATAATATCAATTAGAAAAGTAACTAAATAAAAAAGAAGCTTAAATAGTTGAATTGTAAAAATCTCTCTAAACCTATAAAATAAGAGTTATCGATCTAGAAGTCGATTAAGATTAGAATAACAGCAAAATTAGGTATCCCTTTCTATTAAATTAAGACAGCTAGAAGAAACAAATAAAGACTTAGAAGTGAAATTAGATAGAGTTCTTGAACTATTAGCTTTAGCACATACTGATTTGGATGCTAATAAAGCTTAATCATAGGAAGAGATTGAACGCCTAAAATAAACTCTTAAAGGTTTTATATGCGTTAAGATTTTTAGAAAATGAAGATGAATTAACTGCTGCCAAATGCTCAAAAATACAATTTACAACAACACCTGAAATGGTAAAAATGCCAAAAATCGATTCTTTAAGAGCTAATGCAGCAGGATTTAATAAAAGCTTAACTCTTATTCAATCATTAATCAAAGATCTTGATGATAAAATGTCCTTAATTAGAAATCAAAAGTCATGACCAAATTTAATTTATTGTTTATATATTATTAATGTAAAAATATTAAAAAGCATTATAAAAACTTAACAAAGTGTATGTATTTAGAAAAGATAGAGCAACTTTATCTAATATGATTAAAATAACTTAATTATTGGGTAACCCATAAAAAGACTTACAATTTATTCATGTAGCTGGGACAAATGGAAAAGGATCGGTCACACTTAAAATGTGTAAATTAATGTAATCGATTGAATCTTGTGGTTGTTTTACTTCTCCACACATTTCAAGTTTTAGAGAAAGAATTAAAGTACATTTATCAACAAAATGAGGTCAATAATTAAATGATTTCTGAAGATTATGTTTAAGAGAACTTAAATGACTTATTTAATTTAGCAGAAAAGAATAATCTTGAATTGACATTTTTTGAATATGTGACTTGCTTAGCTTTAAAATATTTTAGCGATATGCAAATTAAATATGTAGCATGGGAGACTGGTTTAGGAGGGAGAATGGACTCAACTAATATTATTAGATCTCCTTTAATCTCAATTATTACAACTATAGGGTTTGATCATATGTAAATTCTTGGAAATACACTTGAATTAATTGCAAAAGAAAAAGCAGGAATTATCAAATAAAATTGTCCTGTGGTTATTGGACCAAAATGTAAACCATATGAAGTCTTTTTAAAAGAAGCAGAATAAAAGAATGCTGATTTAACAATAGTCTAAGGAGAATTCTCAAATTTTAATGATGAAAATAATGCCATAGTAATGGCTGCATCAAAAATCTTAATTAATAAATACTGTACTTTTATATTTAAATTAGAATTTCAATTAAATAATTTTGAAGAAGTCTTAAAAATAAGATAGCCATGTAGACTAGAGGAATTCAGTATATAAAATAAAAAAGGAGAGAACATCAAATTATATTTAGATGTTGGCCATAATGAATAGGCTATTGTAAATATAAATATTAACTAAAATAGAAAAGTGTCTTAGATTTACTAAAGGGTAAATAGGTTATTTCTATATATGGAGCATCTAATGATAAAGATATCACTTCATGTTTATCATTGCTTAAATAAAATTGTCAATCAGTTTACATGGTTTAAGCTAAAAACAATAGAGCATTTTAAATTTAAAAACTATAGGGTTTAGATAATGTAAACATTTTATATGAGGGTGATATTTCATAAACAGTTTTGGAAATAGTAAATAAAATATGTAAAACTGATTAAATAATATTGGTGATTGGATCTTTTTACATCATGGATGAAGTAAGAATCACCCTAAAGATTTGTTAGACAGAATCTGATTTTAGATGATATTTTAAATTAATACATATTTAAAAATTGATGAACAGATATAAATCTTCATTCTTAAATAGATAATAATAAATAAAAAAGATCATCTAATCATTTTAAGATTAAAATGTATATATTAATGGTTATTGTTATAAAAAGTTATAAAAATGATGAAAATACTTCTTTAAATAAAATTAGTATAAAATAATATCAATGAGCTCTCTCTCTGATTTTCCATTGATGCATATATGAGTTTAATTTGACATTAAAGTCACTTAGTCTATCTCTTTGATTTTGTTACATAGTCTAATTCAGAATTTATTTATTGATTGATTGTGATACATTTATATTCATACCATTTCCATCATATCCAACAGAGCTATGTCTAGATTTCTCAGTAACCTCCATAATAACTGAACCATTCTTTTTTAGTTATTTTGGTTTCATTTTTTATTCATAATCTTAAAGCTGTTTTATAAAACCTGGATTTGGATTTATAAATCTTCTTCTTTATTAGATATGTCGAAGAGTTTAATTTAAATTCCATTTATACTTCTGCATCATATATGCAGCACAAATTGCAGCAGATCTTGATATTCCAGCATAACAATGAATCAATATATTAGTTTTTAGAGAATAACTATCTATGAATTTGATAGCTTAATCAAAGTATTTATACAAGGGGAAATCTTCACAATCATCAGCCATTATCCACTAAATAAAATATTTAATAATATTTACCAATTTTTATGCTCCTCTGATTTGAATTGATTAATCTATTACAGAAAGTACAGCTCCTATTTAATATTTTGATAACAGCTCTGAATTCTAAGCAGCATCCAGATTTCCTAAATACACACCTCCAACTCCATTTAATGGTGCTATTATACAATTCATACTATTTGGCAGACAAGAATTATTAACGAACATTTTATAAAAATTAATGTAATCATTTCATTCCTAACTACTTATTCCTTAAATTGTATTATATTTCCCATATTTTTTCCTTATCTCCAGTAAATAGGAGAAAAAATAATATATACAAATGATTAACAATATCATGAAAACTACATAAATACTTTCAACAAATAAATTATTTTCTAATTGCTTATTAGAAAAATTATTACTTTCTTTTAAATTTAAATCTTTATAAACTCTTCTCCCATTATTTGTTTTGATAGACTATTATTCTGCTCGAATGATATCTTCTTCTGTAAATTCATGAATAACTTTTTAATTCGAACAATTATTTTCAACAAACATGATTTCTTTTGTTTATTTATTGAATCCAATATCCCAATTTCTCATCCAAACTTATCCTAATATCATCCTAGGTGCTATTTTAGATAATTAATATACCACCAGGTATCACTGCAAGTGGGAAACAGTATATGTCAGTTGTATTCATTGACAATGTAAGATAATTTATTGGTTTCCAATCAAATGTAAAATTACGATCTAACTCAAATGAATATGTTGGAAAATATGATGCAAATATTGAAAAATTTCCATTTTTACTATCTTTAAACTAATAACACTTTAAGCCTTCTAAATATTATTCTTCTGGACAATTCTCATGTTAACATTTAAATTATTGAGTCAATTTGTCACTTAATTTTGGAGAACCGTATGCTAATGTCGATCCTGAATCAATAAAAGCTCCTTATCCTTAATTTATTAAATCATGATCAGCAATCACAATATTATCAATCTATCTATTTTATAAAATAAACTTTACTTTGATATTTTTGACATTTATTTTGTATACATCTGTTTCTTCATTATATTTCACACTATAATACTAACTATCTTTTGGATGTCTATTAAAATTATATTCGCCAATGGTCATATAACCATCTTTCCTTCCAATGCAAATTGTAAACATATATTAAAATGAACTTCCTTTCTCTTTTTCATAGAGATCATCTATGTAATTAGGGAAGGAAAGTTCTGAATTAGTTTTAGGTGATAAACCCATTATCCCATTAGCTTTTTATGTAAAAAATAAATTAGTTTCTAATGTCGTACATCCAATAACACTTAAGATCTATTCTAATTAAACTATTTGATCTTATTATTAGCTTAATTCTTCAAACTCATCTCCCATAAGTACCAAATCTCTCATAAAATAACCAGCTAGTCTTGATCCTTCAGCATAACTAATTTAAAAAGAACATTTATTATTCAAACATTTATCACATTTTTTTTAACCTATTACCTAATCACATTTTACTAAATTGTTTTTTTAGGGAAGCTATTAGTAGAAATAGAAATAATTACTGTATATTCATAATAAGGATCTTTATGTTCACCACAACTTTTACAATCTCCACAAGGAAATGTAGTAATTGAACTTGCTGTGTCAAGAATTAATGATTATCTTTATTTATTTTCTCCAATAAATAGATTGACATAATAATAACCTTAGTCACTGTCACCATATATTATAGATGTGTGATGAGGATCATTAATAGGATCATTAATAGGATCATTAATAGGATCATTAAGACAAGTGGCTAAGTATAATAAAATTTAGAAAATTATGAGCATAAATAAATATATATTAATATAATTCATTTTTTTGAGATGTACGATTTCTTAATTGAATAATTATAAGTATTAGCATTATAAACTAGATTAAGTTTTTAAGGTTACAAATTATACTATCCCTGAAGAAATAAAAAATATGAGTACCTAAACATAGAATGATGGTTATTATATGGATGTTCTTTTATTTGGAGATTTATTAAGATTGTTTTATTACTGTTACTATTATTATTACAATAATTATTATTATTACTATTGTTACTATTATTAAAATTATTGTTGTTTAGGATCTTCTTTTAAGCCTGGTAATCCAATAACTCTATTAATTCTTTTGTCTTATTCAGAGCCTAATCTACTTTATGGAAGAGTTTCATTAAATTTGATTTTGAATGATTAATTGAATGTTTTATGCATTTATGATTTTGTGTCATCAGCTTCTTTGGTTACTTCAGTTATTTCATCTCCGATTTTATAATTATAGACTTATTTTTAGATAAGTGATTGATTTTGAATAGTTTATGGAATGGCTTTTTCTTGAATTTTTTTAGGTTTTTATTCATAAAAATCAAATTGATTAATGATACTAGGTTTAGAATCATCTCTTTCACAACTTATTCTTCTTTAAAAATTACTTTTAGGTCTAACATCATTTTCTTTATTCCATAGATCTAATAAATAAGGATGTTCTAAACACTCTAAGGAAGTCATCCTCTTATTTGGATCCATAATCAAACACATTTTTAAAAAATTAAGACCTTTATTACACATTTTACCAGAATATCTCTTTTCAATAGTTTCTGATTTAACAATTTCTGGAAACTTCATTCCAATATATCTTTAATTCTTTTAAAATTTCTCCATCTATTCTTATGTTAATGGACCTATTATCTTTTATATAAGATATAATTAATCCATCTCATTTTCACCTGGAAATAATGGTTAACCATCTATCAATTCTCCCATAATACAACCAATAGCCCATATATCTACTTATTTTCCATAATTATTGGATATTAGTAATTCAGGAGATCTATACCATCTTGTAGCCACATAATCAGTCAATTATTCTTAACTTTATATTGTCTATTCATTAGAGATACATTACTCTTGCAAAACCAAAATCACATAACTTTAAATTTAGTTCATTGTCAATCAGTAAATTTTCAGGCTTTATATCTCGATGTGCTATTCCTACAGAATGACAAGCATGCACTGCAAGAACCAATTAAAATATTACTCTTTTTATACTATCTTACTATTTTAAACTACTATTATCATACATCTAAAGTTCTTCTCTCCTCTAGTAATTCTAAAAGGTTTCTATCAACGAATTAAAAAACTAGAAATATTTTGCCTTTCTTCTTAAACGCTTCCTTCAATTAAATAATATTTGGATGCTTTAACATTCTCAGCATTTTCACCTCTCTTTGAATACTTTTCTTTACTGCTTCATCATCCTCTGTTTCTTTAAATTTTTTTATAGCCACTTTAAAAAATACAAAAAAATAACTAACCCCATTCATTAGTCTCCTTGTTTTTACATTTTAACACTATCCCATAAGCTCCTTCTCCAACTACGCCCATGATTTCATACTTATTCATTATTATTTTATATAAATTAACAATCCCTTTTATCCAAAAAAATATGTAATTTATCAATATACATCTATATTTTATAAAACTAATATTTTCAAATACTTCAATCTTCTCAATCAATCTAAGAAACTTCAAAATTAAGTTTAAATTACTTCAACTTTATTATTTGAATTCTTAATCAATATTTATTAAATATTATTCAATTTTTTAAAAAAATTGTCATAAAATTACTAAAATCAAGAGAACTTCATCATTTTAATATATATTTTATACAAAATAATTCTTAATCTAATTATCAAATCTATTTTTATTGTAAACTACAGTTAAACATATCATAAACTATAGTTTAATAACATCTAAAATTGATTGTTTTAATCTTATTACTTTTATTTACATTTTAATAGAATATTTTAATTATATTTCCTAAAATTTAATCCAATTTAGCTTTCAGAAAAGTATATTTTAGAATGATATAAAGTTGTTACTCTAATATAAATATATATGTTTAGATAAAAGTATATAAAATTCATTAACATTTATAATATTATAAAATAAAAATATTAAAAATAGAACATATATTATAAGGACATAAGGTCATTTTTTGATTGAAAAGAATATTTAATAAGAAATGTTGAAGTAGGTGGTAAGTTAATAATTTTTATTTTTTATTATAATACCCGTTTTTTTTTATATTGTATGGAAACGGGTAGATTACGCTTATATTCATAATTTAAGAGCATAAATATATTGATAATATTAATGAAATTGACTCTAGCTCTAGTATTATTAGTAACATTGAGTTCAGCCACTTCTACTCATGATTAAATTATGGCCTTTTTGTAAACAGGTACAAAGGCTATGGATGCCATTGATACAGTATTTGGTTTATTAAATGATTTAATACAATCAAATAAAGATGCTTAATTTGCAGCTGACTAAAAAAATGAAACAGATGAATGGGTTGGTGCTTAGTAAGACTATAATAATTATATTCAGAACAATTGAATAATTTACTAAAATTAAGAACTTGAATCAAAAGTTATTCTAATAATCAATAGAAAATAGAGCCTAATTTGAATAGGATTTATCAGATACTAAAAATTATCTTGCATGGAATGAACAAAGATAAGATGAAATAAACAGAAAGATATAAGTTTTGCTTGATTAATAATGTTTAAGCAATTAACTTTTTGTTAGATCAATAAAGTAAAATAGAGAAGCTTTAGAAGTTGTGAGATTATTAAAATAAGATGTTGCAGGATATATAATAAATGGAGATTCTTTTGAATTAGTTTAAGTAAAGAGTGTAGCCGAAAAGTTAAAATCATATAGCAATACATTTAATGAACATGAGATTAATTCTTTTCTTTAATTAGCTAATAAATAAGAAGATGGATCTGTAAGTAGAGGAGCTACACTTGCTGAAAGAGTTTTATCAGTATTAGAAGGATTAGAAGCTAATCTTTAAGCATCACTTGAAGCTCTTGAAACTAATGAAATTAATGCTTCTTGGGAATTGGCTGGATGGGTATCATTGAGTGAAGCAGAAGTTACTAATTTGAAAGTTGAATATGAAAGAAAATAAGTTTATGCTGATAGATTAGCTACTGTAATATTTATTAAATAATTTAAATTTAGTAAATATAAGCTGCTCTTGCTTAATAAGCTAAATCCAAGATCATTTTATAAGAATCCTAAGATGCCCTTGATTAAGCTTAATCAGATTTAGAATCTAAAAGAGCTGATTACGAGGAAGCTAAAGCTAAAAGAGATGAAGAAAATGCTATCATTGAATAAGTCATCATTATTTTTAAGAAATAAGTTGCCTCCTGGTCTGGAAGATGATCATATTAATTCCATTAAAATTATACAAATATTTAGTATATTATTTCAACTACAATTATTAATTAAATAGTATAATAATTACTATTTCATAAACTAAAATCAACTATCTTAGCAAAATCTTATTCTGTCAAATCTAATGTTGTAGATGTCTATAAATGTAGCTTCTATTTTTTCAAAATCTCTATTATTTTAGCTTATTTTTTAAATACTGCAACAACTTCTTATCTTTATTTTAAAAGTCTTTTATTGTCATTTAAAAGTTTATCCAATTATTTTTATAAATCATCATTTGATTCAATCTATTTAACTTCCTACTATTATATTTTAGCTTATGCTAATTCTTCAAGTAATTTAACCTATTTCTAATCTTTCTTTTATAATTCATTTTATAAATTTCTTGAATTCTTATTCCAATTCTCTAAATCTTTAATTTATTACTATTATTCTCTTTCCATAGTTTCTTATTTTTCTGACTATTACATATATTATTTTTTAATATTCTCAACTTTTTCACTAAGTTATGTAATTTGAATAATATATTTTTTACTTTCATCTGATAAAGATTTACCTTCACTCTCAAATTATTTTAAAATTTCATCATATTATTTTGATTTATTTGATTCAATAATTAAAGATTTTTCTAATTACTCAATCAATTTTTTTTATTTTTGAATTTCAACATCAGATTCTTCTTATATTTCTTTTAATTCTTATAACTTTTGCATTTGAGTCTAATATCTATTCTTATTGATTTCAGAAATTTCATTTAATAATTTTTATTCAGGATCATCAAAAATCACAGCCATTTTTTACATAATAGCATTGGAATCCATTTATAAATATTAAATACAATTAAAAAATAAAACAATAAAAAAGAACAGAAGCAACAAAAATCTATTCAAAAGATTATTCTAATGACATTGACAAATGTTATTTTAATGTATATATTGTATCAGGCAACAAGTATACATGCACCACCTACAGCCTTGATTCTTCTTTCTGCAGTTTTGCTAAAGAATTTAGCTTTCACAACAACTGGTTGATTTGGTAATCTTCCTTTACCCAATACTTTGAAATAGCCTGCCTTTGTAACATCAATTACTGCAGCCTTATCTTTTGATTTGGAATATTTTTCTCTTGTTTCGTCTGTAACAAGAGACCATAACTTATCAATATTTACAACTGGCTTATGAAGTGTGTTCTTTTTTAAATGAAAATGTCTCATTCCATTCTATTTATAAGTTTTATATATACTTTTTAGAAATAACCTGGATGATATTTATTAAAGTTGATTCTATGATGTGTCAAACCTCCTGAAACACCTCTACCACTTGGATGTTTTCTATGCTTTCCAACTCTACCATAACCATGGCAAACATGTCCTCTCATCTTTCTACATTTTCTTAATCTGCTAACCATTTATTTTTATTTTAAAAAAAGATTTTAATAAGTGAATAATAACTATATACAATTTCTCAACTCTCTAATTTATTTCTTGAATTTCATCATAATCTCAAACACACTAGTTTTTTTATGTTCATACAACCATATTTTAAATAACTAATTTGAAATTGTTTAATCTTAATTCTTAAAGATAATTTTTTTTCTTTCAATTTTACTTAAACACAATTTCTAAATAATCTTATTTCTATTACTTTTGGATTTCAATTTTATATTCTTAAGACTATTTCATTAATTTGATATGACATACTTTTTTATTAAAATTTATTTTATTAATTCATTATTCTATGCATTGTTTTTCCAAATATCAATATTTTAAATTCTCAAATTATTATAATATTATCAAAAATAAAATAAATTTTTTAACACATAAACATCTTTGAAAAATACTTTCATCAAAGTTTTTTTTAATTTTGTTTAAATTTTTAATTGAGTTCAAGATAAATTAAATCATTTTGTAAGTCAAAGTTCATTTGATAAGTTTCTTTTTAAAAAGAGAATAATTTATTATTTCTAATATTTTAAATTTCATAAATTCAAATATTTTGGATTAATTAATGTAAATTATTTAGTATTCTATCAATTTTAATTATATTTTATATTGCAACCAAATTTCTCCCAATTAGATACTAATAATTCTATATTAACTTAATTAAATTATTTTTTTGAAATAAAATAAGTATCTATTGAATTAATTTATATTTTATTTATTGATATTATAAAAAATTAAAGAATGAAAAAAAAGCATACTCTATTACTAAGAAAGGTAATTGGGGAATAAAATTAAATGAGTTGGCCATTTGCTGATTAAGACTTCCATTCTAGTAATATTTTTTAAAGTATAAATATGTTAATCTATTAGCTTAGAGTCCACATTATTAAATATTAGATTTTAGCTAGAAGAATTAAACCAATGAAATTCTATCTCGATCAATAGTTGGCAAAGTGGAAATTTTCAATAAATAGACAAGTGATTTGGAAAAGCCAATTCGTTTTAGTTAACCTGTAAAGTTGTCTAATTTGTAAAATAAGATTAAAAAAAGTAATAAAATACGCATATATTATTAAGCAAATAAGAATGAACCTTCAAGTATAAATTCATCTTAAAGAAACAAAAAATTCAAAACAAATAAATAGCAAGTAATACAGAAAACTGAAAACAATTATTTTGAAGTTCTTGATAAATACGAATTAATTCAAAGGATGGAAAAAATATAGAAAATATTAAAGAATAATGAAAAATAGGCTTAAGAATAACTTTAGAAAATTTCATAAACTGAAAAGATATTGAAAACGTAACATGAAAGAAATTTAAATAAACATGAAAAATAATTATAAGTTTGGAATGAATTATCAACAAAGATCAATTCTCGAATGAAAATTAATTAAAGCACTTTAATAGAAAGATAGGAAAGTATTTTTAATTCATTAATAAGTAGAGTATAGATCTCGATTAGATTTTTTGGAAATATTTGAAGAATTGAAACCTGAGGAATCTAAAAATCCAGTTATAACATGGCATTAAAGATTAAGATCTCAATATAGGCCTTAAGTATTTAATTTTTCAAATTAAGAAAACTATTCAAAAAGAAGAATAGGAAAGATTAGAACTAAAATAAGATTTATTAGAATAAATACCGAATAGAGAATTATTAGAAATTCCTAATCCATAAAAATTGATTTCTGATATCAAAAATAAAAATGGTTATGATAAAGGTAGATCTGTATCAGATTACAATGGATTAAAAGTAAAATAACTAGAAATTATTAGTTATTGGGTTAAAGTGTCTACGAAAAGGAATTACAATCCTTAAAAAAAGATAAATCTCAAATACAATAATAGTACTACTATTATAAAGCTCCGAAAGAAATTTAAATTAATGAGGAAAATCTTTGAACATTATTTTATTATTATTAACAAATCTATGCTAGTATTTATAATTTAAAATGGAACTAAAAGAATAAATAAATATCTAGACTTAAATTAACTGAGAATCAGATTAATCAAGTAAACTAAACTGGATTAGCACTTAAATAAATCTTTAATGAAAATTTGTAAATAATTAAAATTAATATCCATATTATTTGAATATTGATTTTATATATCTTATCCATGCATAATATATCAAGCTATATAAAAGAAAAATATTATAAAAATCTAACATATAATTCAATTAAATTTCTAATCATTAGTAAATATCTATAGATATAATATATTTATTTAAAATGAATAAAGGGATTTTCAGTTATTATATTTTCATAAATAAAAACCATAAATAGAAAAATTTATAATTATTTATTGAAAGGATATTTTAATAAAGAATAGAGAGTATAAATTTATAAATTTATAAAAATTATGAAAGAATCAAAAATTCAACCAAAATACTTGAAAATTGATCAAATTTTTAATATAGAATTGAGTCTTTTAATTGAAAATGCATGGTATTGTTTATTAGAATAAAATTGATGATAAATATAAATATAAATATAAATATATTTGTTCACTTATCCTAGAAATCTAAAAATTTGTATTGATACATAAAATGTAATATAATTTTCCATATAGCTTGAAGGATTCAAAATTGAGTCTAAAAGCAAATTAATTTTGGAAATGATTATTTAAAATATTTAATTATGATTTTTTTTGTTAGACATGGTGAAAGAGCTGACTAAACAAATGACTATGAGGAAAAAAAAAAAATAAAAAAATCTTTCGACCCTCATCTTACTAATAAGGGTGATAATTAAGCAAGAATGACAGGTGCACATTTAAAAAAAGTAATTGAAGAGTATGCTAATGAGAAATAAATTTAAGTTAAAGACTTGTAAATTGTATTTAATATTTATTAAATCTTAGAACTTTATGACTTCACCTTTTTTAAGATGCATTTAAACATCTATTAATTTAATGAAAGAGATACCTAATAATAAGAAACTTTATATTTAAGATGAAATTGGAGAATTAATGTATACTTATGACTTTTCTTCGAATATTCTTGATAAATTGCATTTAAGAACTGATTAACATCCAATTCTTACAAAAGAGTATTAAAATGATGTTTAGATTATTAAAGAAAGATTTATAAAAAACCCTAATCTACCTTAACCAGTTTTTCCTGAAAATGATAATTTATGCTAAAAGAGAATTATGATTGAACTTAAATCATAAATGGAAAAGCTTCCAAAAAAAACTAATACAATAAATATTTGTGTCACTCATTAAGGTGTGGTTGAATTGAGTTTATTGATTGAAAATTTTTAAAATCATAATTGGATTGACTATTGTGGAGTTTCATAATTTATCTTATAAGATGATGGAAGCGTAAAGATTGGAATAAAAGGATAAAGTTTTTGGAAATGAATTTAACAAATTATTGTATATAATGTAAAAATTCATTTGTAAGATTGGTCGTCCTTTCGATTTAATTAAGCCTTTTACTTTATTAACTATTTATATATATATTATATATACATCACTTCTTAAAGGATTAAACGGTTATACTTATGAATTAGATCTGATTGAATATTATGATTCCTTAATATTGGAGGCTGTGTTTGAAATTTCAGATTTATATTATTGTGTATTCATAATTGATTTAATTTTCTTAGTATCTTCTAAATTAAATCCTGAAACCAATCCTGTTCCATTATCAACAACTTCTCCCACTTTATGAATTTCATAAGTTTTTGAAACTATTGGCATATTATATGTAGAATTATTTCTCTTTTTCTATAATTCATTTCTAAGCATGTTAATTTCTGATTCATATTCAGTAGCCTAAGTATTTATTTTATATATACTCTTTCAATCAGTATATCATGTTTAGCTTAAATTTATTCTTTCATTTAAATTTGTCTCTAAATCTCAGCATTCAAACCTTAGATTCTAGTTTCAAGTTCTACTATTTTTTAATTGCTATTATATATAAATGAAATTACTTTTAAGTTTCTCTAACTATTACTTATTATTTATTAGTTTATTCCGACATTGTCTACTTTTCTATTCTTAAAGTTCTAACAGTAGCTTATAATTCTGAAATGCTATCTTATAATTATAGAATTTATTTATCTTTAAGAGATAATTAACTTTAAAGATCTTTTATTTATGCTTAATTTCTCAATTATGCTTCTAATTAATAAATAGTTTCTGTTTTTCTTCTATTCTCTTATTCTAATCTACTAATTTTTTCAAAATCAATTTATTAATATCGTTCTTAATATTCTTAATTCTCTCTACTAATTTATTTTACTCTTAATTCAAGTTCATTACATCTTGATTTATATTAAGTATTTTCATTTTAAATTTAAAAATACATTTTATTTACCTTATCCAGTTCAAATTTAATAGTTTCTCTACTTTATTCTAAAGATTTCAATTAAATCTTAAAAGATTCAGCTTCACTTGAATGTTAAGATATTTCACTTTAAATAGTTAAATATTTTCTTTTCCATTATTCACTCTCTTCTATTTTAATTCTTATCATATCATTTAATTTTTAATTTTCTTTTTATATAAATTCCATTTAATTTTTTAAATCATTAATTTCTCTTCCTTTTTAATTCTCTAAAATTTAAATTTAATTTTATAACTCTTATTCTTTTCTTTCAAATTAAATTACCATTGATCTTTATTTTTAATTCTCTTCTAATTTAGATTAATATATTTTTAACTAATCTTGGTATTCATAACTTGCAGTTTATAAGTTTTTATTTTGTATTTTCAAATTCTAAATTTCAATTTCAAAAGCATTTAAATTCTCTTTTAAATTTGATATTTGTGATTCAAGTTATTTAATTCTATATTTATCATTTTCAGATGATACCTCAACTGTAATTGTTTCTTTAATTTTCTCTTACTTTTTTTAATTTAATGTGAAATAATCTTATTATAAAGAATTCAATTATTATTCTAATTATCTTATTCTCATTTTATCTTATTCTGATGATACTTCTATTCTTTCTGTAACAGTTTCTCTAATAACTTCTTATTTTTTAGTTTAAACTAAGTGTAACTCACTCTTCACTTATTATAATTAAGTCTCTAACTGTTAAATCCTAAATTTATCTGCTTATGATGGTACTTCTAATGTAACAGTCTCTTTTATAATTTCAGATTTAATTTTATTTAAAGCAATATAATCTTATTATAATTTAAATAAATCTTGTTCTAATTCTAAAATTCTTTTTCTGTCTGATTCTCTACTTACTTCTACTCTTTCAGTCACTACTTCTTTAATAATTTCTTATTTCTTCTATGATACTATTTATAATTCTAATCTAACATTATTTAATTATTATTCAAGTTATTAAATTCTCAATTTATCTACTTAAGATGGAACTTCAACTTTTATTGTCTCTGTTATTATTTCCTACTTTTTTTTATTTAAAATCTCATAACTTTTATTTAAATTTTCTAATTATTATTCTAATTATCTAATTCTAAATTTATCTGCTTCTGAAGCTACTTCCACTCTTTCAGTTATTACTTCTCGTATTACTTCTTATTTCTTCTATGTTATTATTTATAATTCTGTTCTTAATTATTACAATTACAATTCTAATTACTAAATCCTCAATTTATCAGCTTATGATTAAACTTCTACAGTCACAGTTTCTTTTATTACTTCTTATTTCTTTTAATTTAAAATCTAATAATCTCTTGATAATTTTTCTAAATTTTCCTATAATTGAAATATTCTTTATCTATCTGATTCCTTTGGAACTTCTACTCTCTCTTTTACTATTTCTTTTATTACCTCTTGCTTTTTTAGACTCAGAATTTATAATTCTTATTTTAATTATGATAATTACGATTCTAATTACTAAATTCTAAATTTATCAGCTTAAGATGGTACTTCTATAGTTATTGTTTCTCTAATAATTTCTTATTTTTTTTAATTTAATAATTAATAATCCCTTTAAATATTACTCAATTGAGATTCTAATTAACGTATTTTTATTTTGTCAGATTCTAATGGAACTTCAACTTTTTCAGTTATATATTCTCTTATAACCTCTTGTTTTTTTTAAGACATTTATTAAAGTTAGATTTCTAATTATTATATTCTTTATTTATCACTTTCAAGTGATTAAACCTCTCTAATAGTTTCTACAACTACTTAATTCTTTCTTCTATCTAATTCATAATATTTTGTTTTCCATAATTATAATTCTTCTTCAAGTTAAGCAATCATTTTTATATCATCCTAACTTCTTATTTAAACTGTCTCTCTTATTGTTTCTCTTATTACTTCTTATCTTGAATTATTTTATTATTATAACTACTATTTTTAATAGGATAATTAGGATTCTAATTCTTAAATTTTTAATTTATCAGAAGGTGATGATACTTCAATTCTTTCTACTTTTACTTCTTATTTTCTTTTTAATACCTTTTCAAATTCCAATGTCTTATCCTATAATTATCTTTCTAAATCTCTACATTATATCTTAAACGATTCTATTTCATACTCCAATTACTTAATTCTCTTCAATTCATCTAAATTAGATTTCTGTTTCTCTACAGTCATAGTATATGTTGTAATTTATTCTTTATATTTTTCTTCCCTAATTTAAAATATTCTAATTTGTTCTTATAATTAAATTTATTCCATCTCTAACTCCTAAATTCTTTATTTATCATAATCTGATTTTGTATAAACTGTTTAATGAGAATCAAATTAAGATCTTATTTCAATCAATTATTGTCTTATTTCTTAATTCTTCTCTTATTCCTCATAAAATTTTTCTTTCCATAATTTAACTTATACTTCCATTTCCTAACATTATTATTCAATTATCCTGTTGTCTCTTCTCAATTTCTCTAAATCTTTTTAATGATTTTCTAATTCAAAATAATATTATGATGCTTATTGAATTTCTATTCTCCTTTCCTATTATACTTTTATCTATTGAATTTCTTTCTAATAATGAGTTTCTAAATCAAAAATCTTTTTTTATTCTAATGACAATTGATCATTCAATTATTTCACATAATCTTATTCTCTTTATAATTTTTCATTTATCTACTTTAATTAAACTTCGTAATACTCCTTTAAATTTGATTATTAATTAAATTACTCAATTTTCAAAGAGAAATCCTTCTTTTATAAAGATATTTAGTTCTCTAATTATATAATCTATCTTTCAAGTTCAAATATTCTACTTTTCTCTTTTTCAGATTATCTTTAAAAATTCATTTCTCCTTCCTTTTTTAATCTTTCATATTATTTTGTTAATGATTAATTTTCTATTTCTAATGAAGATAAATGTTATCTCAAAGTTAATATCTCAGATTCATATTTTTTTGTTATCTTTTACAATTGCCCTTCATTCTATGATTATTTTTATCTATCCCATTCTTATTTTTCGATCTTTAATTACTCTTCAAATATAATTCGTAGTTCTTTTTCCATATTATTTATTTTATATTAAAGCTTCGATATTGTTTCATCTTTTTCTCTAATCAATTAATCAACATTTGTATTTTTATTTTAATGGTACATAACTTATTACTCAAGTTCCTTTGTTTCAATTTTATAAGCATTTATTTATTAATTTAATTAGTTTATATTACTTTCTAAAGATCTTATTTAAGCTTTATATCTATCACTTTCAACACTATTTCTTGTTGCATTTTCTAATTAAGTAATACTTAAACGATATCCATTGTTTTATTCCTGTAGCTATTTAATTTCTGTAATTAAAATTTCTAATTCTTCTTTCATTTATTAATTTTCATTTCTATAAAAATTTAATTACTCTTCAGATTGGATTATTTTCATTTTCAAATTATCATAATCCTTCATCTTAATTTCTACAGAAATATATTTTTGTTTCCAATTTTCTAATTCATTTTGAATGTTATAGATTTTATAGCTATCTCTTTAATTTTTCTCATTTTATTGCTACTCAATTTATTTTTAAGTTTCATTAATTCTAATTTCCATCTAAATGATTCTTCTTTCACTTTCTTCTTTTTAGATTTCTGCTGTTTAATATTTTTCCTACAATTATCTGCATTAAGTTTAATAGAATGTCACCTCTTGATTTAGTTAATCAATTTAATACTACATATTACTCTTTGATTCAGCCATAGCAGATTCTAGTTTAAATTGATTTTAATTATGAGCCTCTATCAATATTTGAATATCATTATCCATCTCCTTTATTTTATCATTTAAAGTCTGAATTGTTCTTTCATATAATTCATTATCTGATGATCGAAACTAAACTTCAGATTAATATCTTGCAATTTCCTAAGTTAATCTAGTTATTTCATTTTAAGTTGAAGAGTTCCTTTACTCTCTCCCTTGCCTTATTTCTTACTCTAAAGTTTAAGCCCTACTTTTATACATTTAGATTTCCTATTCATATTTACTTTTTAATCTCAAGAATTCATCCCCTTGTTTTCTTTATTATTCTAGCTAAGCATTTAACTCGGATATTTCTTGAAAATTTAATATGTTATTACCTTGTTAAGATTTAATGTATTGCTAAGATAATGTGTATATTTCTTATTTGTATTGCCTCCTTAATTAATTGATTTGACTTTATTAATTTTCATCTATATTCTGCATTATGGGCTTAATCAATTTTTATTTTTTTTGAATTAACTAAAATACTCTTTAGATATATCATTGATAATTAATAAACTAATTGTCACTTTTTTCAGCGGTCTTTGATAATGTAAAAAATCAAGGTTATGCTCTCAATTTATGAATCAAATATTTATTTTGATCATCAAATATTATTATATCATATTGATGACCAAATTTAATTTTATTTAAATTTTAAATATGTTTTCAATTCATCTAAAAGAACTTGTAGTATAGAGAATTGATTTAGAAAATAAATCATTTATTTAAGTATAAAAAAAATAAATATTTGAAAAAAATAAAAGATCAAGATTGTAATTTATGTAATTAACTCATAGTTAAGACTTTCTCTGCAACTTGTACTGTTTTCTTAAATTTTTTGTTTTCCTGAACTTATACTAGATACTATTAGTTATTAATAAATTATAAATTTTACATTATCATATAATGTATGTTTCTTTTTGGTTGTTCTATCTGTTGGTTACAACAATTATGAAGCTAAATCTAGGGATAATAATTCTTTATGCATTTCATTTTTTCTAATTTAAGTTTACATTCTTTAATGTTCTTCTTTCATTTCTTTAAATTCATCTTTCATTTATTTAATTTATTATTCTAAAAGATAGGTATATTCTTAAAATTTATCTCTTTCATCAACAATTTTGTAATAATCATTATTAAGTTCTTCTAAAACTAATTAATTTGGATCCATATGTATTTCTATATCATTATCCTCATCTTTAATAGATTTTCCTTATTTACGAGCTTTTTTGAGTTCTTCTTTTTTTTTTTAGGCTTATGTTCTTTGTTCATTTAGTTTATCTCTTATAAATATGCTTAAACCACTTTCAAACATAGGATCTTTTCTATCTTTTATTTCATTTGGTTAATAATATCTTTTAGCAACAAGATCTTTATATACATCTAATAAATATAAAGGAGCAATTATTTATTTTTCTAATTAAGAAGCAGCACTTTTATCATCTTATTTCATTTTGTTCACATCAATTTCAAAAAAATTATTCATTAATTAAGAAGTACTTTATTAATCCTTTTTACTAATTGGTTTCAATGTATGAGATAGTTCATCTACTAATGCTACTACTTTCCTTTATAATCCTTATTATTCATCTTTGAATTACTTTTCAAATAATTCTTTTAATTTTTAAGCCTCAAATCTAGTAAGCATTGTTATAATTGAACAAGCACTTTAACCTGAAATAGTAGCAATATCATCTAAATTTGATTTTGTTATTCTTAATAATAAGCATTTCATCCGAGAAATAATATTATTTTCTTAATTTGCATTTATTAAATACTATTTTAATCCTATAGTATCTCCTTGTTTGTAAATAATAGATGGTTAATTTTCTTAAAATTCAATTAATTCACCATCTAAAACAATATAAAAAACATTTGATGCTTAATGTGCTCTAATTAAAATTTCTTATGTTTTAGTTTCAATAAGAGTGCAATTTTATACAAATGCACGTTTATCTCTCTAATCTAATTGATTCCAAAAAAATCTTAGATTTCTTGATTCTTCTACTATTTATTTATCTTTTTTTTTTTTATTTGGTTCAGGATCTGGTTTAACACCTAACTAATCTAAAAGAAACATAATTTTTTTTGTAGTAGTTTCTACAATAGTCTATTCTGGTTAACTCTAATATTCTAAACCCAAAAATTATTATGAGACTGAATTCAATGTGAAAAGTGAAATTTGCTTAAAAAGAAAAGTTGAGAACTCTGAATCTCGTTTCTATAAAATTCTTAAATCATCTAATCTTATTATAGCAATATATCCTTCTTCTTTTGCAAAATAATCAATTTATTATACTTCACATCTGTAATATAAGAAATTATTAATTACCCTGCCAATTTTATACAGGCCATATGACCTAAACAATCTCCTTCAACTAATGTTATTTTATGTTAATTTTCTACAAATCCATGTATCTAACCTTTCAAAACAAATCCAAGAAAATCTACTGGTTCTCCTCTTCTTGTAATTTAAGTTTTCTCTTTGAAACTTAAAAATCTAAAGTAATCCTAAAACAAAATCAATTATTTTTAAGTAAAAGGAGAGAAGAACTTAGTAGATTTTCTTAAAGTCTCTAAAGCTGGCATTATCTAATCTTTTACTAATTCTGATTACAAACGTACTCTCATTTTAATTAATAAATATGATAAAAACTTTAAATATTTTATGAGTTGAAAAGATGGATAATAAGATTACCTAATCTTTAATCTAATTAGCTTTATTTCTGGATTAAGAAAATCGATTGAATACTAATTAGATAAACATCATAGAAAATTTGCAAAAAATTGTAATAATAAATATGAAATTATTTAATTAGAAGATGTTGTATTCTTAATTTTAGAATAAATTTAAGGAGGAACATTATATAACCTAATAAAAAAATTAGAAATCAATCATTAAATATATTTTGATATTGGTTAAGATGAAAAGAGACTTAATAATTATTTTATTGAAAATTTTTACAATCATGCAAATATTATAATAATTAAAATTGATTACTTAATGAATCTAAATATATTTCATTTATATTTGAATTATTTTAATTATGAATCGAAATTTGTTGAAAAACAATTAAATTCTTATTCTAATTGTTATAAAAGACTATTTGTAACTTTAAACTAATTTGTGATTATTCTCTTTAGAGATTTTGATGGAACTTTTAGTTTAGTACAAACATATTCTTAAACTTATGATTCAGTCTTAAGGCTAAATAATTCATTCTTTATTATTTCACTCAAAAAGTGAAGTATCTAATCAAAATCTAGTTACAGCAATTCTTTTTAATAAAAATATAATAAAAATAACACACATTTATAAAATCCTAGTTATTATATTATTACTTTTACCTTTCCATTATTAAATGATAAATATATCCCAAATAATATTTAGTAATGCTGATTGTAATGTAAATTAATATACCTAACTAAATACAGTGATAAACCATGCAGTTAAATAGTAGGATGCATCAATTTTTTACTTTTATAATTATATTAATTTACTTTTTTAAAATGATGATATAAATTAGGTAAAAATAAGAATAGTAATCTCTCATATTAATAAAATACTTTTTTCTATAAAAAATAATAATTAATAAATACCAGCATTTCAAATTCATTTTCAAAATATTAAGAAAAATAGTTTCTCATAATATAATCAAATACAATATATGTGACTTCCTCATCTTCAAATGTTAAATAAAGATATCCAACTATATAATTCATTCCTTAACAATATCCTACTTCTTTATTATGAAATGCATATGTTCTTAGAAATGATTACAATTTACTAGAAGGAACCTTTTCAAAATGTAATTGCAAAGATCTTTAAACATCCATGGTTATAATTTCTTCATATTATTATATTTCTTATTAAGCTTCTGATTTTTTTAGAGCATAATCCATATGATTTTAATCTGTTCTTAAATAAACTTTCAAATTTTATGCTCTGTAATATTAATTTTGTTCCATATATGGTAGACTATTATGAATAATGTAATATTTTTCAATAGCAAATCTTAAGTGAAATTTAAAGGCTTTAGATACTAATAATAATTAATATGGTCTATCTTAATATGATAAATATTTAATAGCCAATCTGATTGCATAAATTTATCTTGATTAAATATTATTTAATCCATGTCTTCTAAATTTCTCTTCTTTTCTTTATTTTATTCCCAAACCAGAACAATATTTTGAATTGAATGTTATTGCATTCTTTTCTTCCAATATTTGTAATAATTTTTCTAATTAAACTTTTTCTAATTTGATATCAGAATGAAATGCAAGTTCTAAAATTACATCTGTTCCTAATTAAGGAGAAACATTTAATTCACTAAGGAATGTTGCAATCTCATGTAAAACTATGTATTTCTATTATTAATATTTCTCTTTTTCTGAATATTATTATCCTTAAACAACACCAGTTATTTTTTTTAATCCTTTACTAATTAAACCATATCCTTTTTTTACTATATTAAATTATTGATCTAAAATTTGTTTTTATTAAAATTTAGTAGATTTAATATGTTCATATAAAGATTTCCATTTTAATTTATTTTACCAAATATCTAATTTAGAAAAACTTGAAATAAGATGAAAGTTATCACCTTTTACAATTTTATATGATAATTATAAAAAGATATAGAATTCTTCAACATCAAATTCAGCATCTAAAATTAAGAAAACATGTTTAAAAATAGCACTAACTTCATTAAATGAATCTTCAGATAAATTTAATGATTTAACTTTTCTCTTATCTATCTCTTTTTATAATAAATTAATTAAAAATGATCTAGCTGATTATTTAGTCATTAATTATTTCACTCCCAAATATTCATGAGACATAAATTAATTTGATTTTGTTGAAGATGTAGAAAATGATCTATTTCTTGAATTATTAACACTGTCATCTGAAGTTTCTTAATTTTCCATAAGATCATTAATAAATTACATAATTTTAGTAGCTTGCTCTTCAGTTAATTATTCACCAATTAATGTCCATTCACTTCCAACAAATTATAATGCTTTTTTCTATTCACCTCTCTTAATTTAATCATAATTTATTTAATCAAATAATGAAAATTAAACTGTCTCAGCTTTCAATAAATAAAAGATTTACTTCCACTCTTTTTAAGTAATCTTTAAATCTAATGTTGAAGATCTAATGGTTATTTTTAAATGACTCTCAATTCTAATTAATTTAGTTTATCTTAGTAAATAGAATAGACAGTTTCATTTGTTAATTTCTTCATAAGTGATAACATTATTGACTTTGAAAATTTAATTCTAATTCAAATAAATATTTACCTATTTTCGTCATTTAAAAATACTTATTAATACCACTCTTTAATCTTAATATCAAAGTCTGTTAATTTCTTATTTCCTTTTTCTATAATCTTTTTATAATCTTCTTAAGCTTCTATTGCAATTTCTTTTAATTTTATTTACCTTTCTGAAGCTTTCACTAATTCATCCTTACCTTTGTTTCCTTTAGCAATTTCACCAACTGTTCTTTCCATAAGTAATTAACATTTATCAGCATTTTACATTAAACGTATGTATTCTTCTTATTAATCTGAAATTTGTTTATTTAAAGATTAAACGTTTCCCATATAATCTTTCATTTCTGAAGATAATTTTAAGTTTATATTTCTATAATTGCTCATTATTAATTGATAAGGTTCAAGAACCTAAAGTACATTTAAAAAATAAATAAAACCTCGCTTCTTAAATTTTCACTCGTTTATTGCCACTATTAAGAATTTTAAAGTAAAAAGTTGCTTAAATATTAGTAAACACATTCAATATTGTCATCATCACCAGTGCCTTTACTCACAAATTCGTGGAGTTTTTCCGCAATTTTTTTTAAAGAAGTTGAAAAAGTAGTACATGCTCTTTCAATTTCTTTGAACTGAATATAATAGGTAAAATATTACAGTTTTTTCTAATTCTAGAGTGTTGTTATTTGTATTTAGAAGATAAGAATGTAATTGCAAAAATTCTTAGGATGTATATTCAATAAATTGATTCGCCATTAATTATTAATAATATATAAAAATCAGTATTGTTTGATAACATTAATTACTATGCAAAATTTATGTGGATCATTTCTTGATAAATGGTATAATACAAAATTTAGTTTGAATTAATATATTTATGGTGTTGATAAGTAGTTAAGGATAAAGGATAAAATCATTCACATTTTGAACTAAACAATAAAAAACGATATAGGCATAGAGGTAAGATAACTATTTTTTATAATAAGTAAAGAATGGATAAATTGAAGGAAACTTGTTAAAAAATCATTTGGTTTTCATATAGAAAAAGAATTCCAAAATTTTAAAGTTTTAATTTCTATTTTATTTATAAGTAAGCTCTCTCACATCAGATACAGGTTGGGGATGTATGATTAGAGTAGCTTAAATGGCTTTAGCATAAATAATTAAGCATTTTCATTCTTTTACTAAAGAAGAATAATTAATAGTTTTAATTAGACATTTTATAGATGATGATGAAGATGAATTAAGTGATTTTATAAAGTAAAAAAATAAGAACTAAATAAAATATTACCATGCTCCATTTTCTATTTAAAAAATAGTATATTATGCAAAAATTGAACTTAATAAAGAACCTGGAGAATGGTATAAACCAAATGAAATACTTTTAATATTAGAATAATTGTTTAAATATTCTTAATGTAAATTAACAATCAATATTAGACTCTATAAATATGGATATATATATAAATTATGATTGTGCTTTTATTCTTTAGGATGCAATTAAATAAATGTATAATTATGATAAAGGTAATGAAGAATGGTTGAATAATCAAATATCAAATAATATTAAATTCTAGTAGTAAGTCAATAAAGGTATAGCTGTCTTTTTACCTGCTAGAATTGGATTATAAAATGTAAATAAGGATAATTTGTTAGTATTAAATAATTTAATGACTTTACCATATTTCCATGGTATTATTGGTGGAGCTTAAAATAAAGCATTTTATATTGTTGGAAGAATTTAAGATTATTATATATATCTTGATCCACATTTTGTATAAACAGCTTAAAATTTTGATGATCTCTCAAAAAGTCATGTATCATATAGTTGCTAGGATATTTAATTAATTAATAATGAATTAATTGATCCATCAATTGTTATTTGTTTATGTATCAGTAATGAAATTGAATTATTAAATTTATGGCAAATAGTAAATTAATTTAAATTAATTTAGCTAAATAAAATGAAGGAAGAATACTAAGAACATTTTTTTATTTCACTTTTAGAAACTAATGATAAAATAGAAAAGATCGAAACTTTTGATTATTTAAATGAAAATCATGAATTAGTAAGCATATTATAATGAAAATTATATACTTTTATTTAATAAATATCTATTTTATTAATGTCAAGATAATAAAACAAATAAACACAACCACCTCCTTAAACTACAAAAGTTGTATAATAATAAAGAAATCCATAACCACTTCCACCTCCAAAATAAAAAGTATTTAATGCTGAAGATTATGCAAAACCTCCTCATCTAACAAAAGAGGAAGTTTTAGAAGTTAAAGTATGAAAATGTAAAATTTTAAGTAAGCATTTGATATTTTTGATAATGATGGATCAGGAGCTATTGATCCATAAGAATTAAGAGAAGCATTTGAAGCATCTGGAATAAAAACATATCACAATAAATTTATTTATTAAGTTTTGGGTGAATTAGATACTGACAATTCAGGAGGTATTGATTTTGAAGAATTTTTACATCTTGCTACAGCTAAAGTGAGTGATAAAGATACACGTGAATAAATTCAAAAAGTATTTAATTTGTATGATTGGAATAAAGAAGGTATATCTATTTATTATTATTTTAAAGGTCGAATCACTTGGGATGAATTAAAAAGAGTAGCTTAAGATCTAGGAGAAGAAATGACAGATGAAGAAATCTAACATATGTTTAAAAAAGTATTTATTTCTATTTTCAATCTTTCTAGGCTGACTTAGATGATGATGGATTTGTTACATTTGATGATTTTTATAATCTAATGACATAAAAAGAATATGGAAAATAATGAGCTTTACATTATTAAATAAAATAGTTATTATTTTTTTATTTATCAACAACCTATTATTATCATACTTTTAATTTATTTAATTAATCTAAATCAATATCTTTATTTTTCTAAACTTTTAATTCAATTCTTTTCTTATTTATCGCAGCATATTTATTTTCTAATAAAAATTTTTACAATTATTTTGTCCTACTCAAATCAACTGGAACCAATACAGATTTTTCAGGCGTTTTAGATACAATCTAATTTACTATAATTATACCTAATATGACCCTTATAATTTAGAATTTTTATCAAAAAACTTTTAAATCTCAACATTTTTATTTGCTTATGTCTTATTTCTTTACCTTACTTATATTAAATTACTTTTTAAATAATTTGTTATCTCCTCATTAATAATTTCTGTTTTTAATCCATGCTCAATATCCTTTTGTGGTTAAAATTTTATATTTTCTTATAATTTCTAATTCTTTATTGTTTAATACCTAATTAATAACATTTATTTCTACTTAGAATCTAATAAAGTATTATTTATAAATAATGGATAATCAGGATATTTATCTTAAACTGAATATGTCTTTTAGCGAGTATTATCAATCTATGCGCTAACCCTTTTTGATTATACAGATAAATTTATTTTTTTTAATTTTTGTGATACTTAAGTTTAGGGATAAGGAGAATGATTTATTCTTGATTTCAATTTTTATTGTCTTAATTCTAATTTATCAAAATTTGGTGAACCCGATGGTTAAAAATTAATTATAGTCTACCTTTTTTAATTTAGATCAAGTTTTAAATTTGCAATATTTTAAATATTCTAAAAAAAACTTTTACGATATGGTTGATTTTATTTTTTTAATAATAAAAAATAAATTGTAGTTAAAGTATTATGTTTATTGGCTTGTATTTAAAAAGTAATTTAATCTTGAGAATAACCTATTTCTATCATCTTTTAAATTATTATTTAATCATCTAATTTTAAATTATTTCTTTGTAAAGGAATTTAACTAAGAAAAAAAGGATGCTTTTTAATTTAATCAAAATTTAATCTTTTATCAGGATCTTTTACAAGTATCTTATTTAATATATCAATTGCATTAGATGATAAATGTTCAGGTTTATCAAAATCACTAGTTTTGATTAATTAATATAATTTTTTTGTATTTTCATGTTCAAATGGTAAATATCCACAAAGCATAGCATATAAAACAATTCCACAACTCCAAACATCACTTTTCAAACCTTCATATTATTTACCATCTTCATTATTTATAATATATATACTTAGCATTTCAGGTGCTGCATAACAAGGAGAACCACATGCTGTTTTTAAAAATCCACCTTAGACAGAAGAGATAAAACTTAATCCAAAGTCTGCAACCTTCAATTATTTATTTTCATCTAATAATAAATTCTCTGGTTTCAAATCTCGATGTGTGATATTATTATTATGCAAATATTCAATTGCAAAAATAATCTGCTAAAAAAAATGCACAGCTATATGTTCAGATAGGCTAATTTCTATTAGGATTCACATTACTATTTTTTCTTTATTATGTATTCATATAATTCTCCACCTCTAACATATTCCATAACTAAGTAAATTGATTATTCAGATTCTAATATCTTATATTAATTAAGTTAGTACTTCGTATAATTTTATTACATTTGGATGATTAACTTTTCTTAAAATTGTAATTTCTCTTTACACTCTTATTAAATCAAACTAATTTTCAATTTTGTTCTTCTCAAGTACTTTAATAGCAACCTTGAATCTTTTACTATTATACTTACATATTCATCAGCAATTGTATGATAACCTAATTTCACCTTTCCAAAAGTTCCTTATCCTAATGTACGGTCTAATTAAAATGTTTATATATTACATAAAATGTAGTTTTAGACTTAATGAAATGGTTCTTATTCCATTAAATATTAAATAATTATTAATAAACAGCATTTATCAAAGCATACTTAGATAATTTTCGCCATCTTATTTTAATATCAATTAAATCCTTAAGTATTTTTAGATACTAAAGATATTATTCATCCTTTAGTTAATTAGAACTGAAAAGAAATGCTACAATTTCATATAAAAAGATGTTCAATTAAATATGTTTATAATGATCACATCCTCTTATCACTTACGTGCCTTACGTCTTTTTCTCTTAAGTCTTCGCATTCTCTTTTTTCTCCACTTTTCTCTCATTATTTATTTTAATTAATGAATAAAGATTTTAATTTTTTAATTTATATGTTTCAATTTCTGATATATATTATTGTCTTTATTAATATGATTTAATCTTAAACTTTATTTACTTTTTATTACTAGAACTTAATAAAATGTTATCATATTAATAATTCTTTATTTATATAATTTTGAATATAAACTAAATTTATAACTGCCTTAATTTAACAATATATAATATGAAAGAACTATATTATTGCAAAAATAAATCATATTTATCTTCAAATAATTAAATAGTTAAATGTATGAATAAGTTTAGAAGAATTTTATCATAAATTTTATTAATTATTAATTATTAAATATGTCAAACATCTATGTTAATACAAGTAACATTAATAATGTTTCATAAACTTAAAAGAAAAGAATATTTGATAATACTCTGCAAAATTAAACTCAAAATCATTTATAATTGCCAACTTAAAAATAACCTTAGTTAAGTATTAATTCATTACATATTGATCCTGACTTATCTTATATTGCACCTCTTGAAATTGAGTAATAAAAGCCTGCTTCTAAAATTGAAGGTTAAATAAAAAGCGAAATTAGAAATGAATAAATATCTTAAGAAGATCCAGCAAAGCAAAGTTTATTGAAAGAGGTTTAATTAGACAATTTAGAAAATATTTTTACATTGTTTCGATCTACAGTACCAATCAATTAATCAAACCTTTAAACTTCAAGATTGACTACATCAAATTTAGAGCCTTAATATTATTAATAATTAGAAATAGATGCAGAAAATATAAGAGATCGAATCAAAATGGAAGGCCGAACTGTACATACTATAATTGAAAAACATAGTAGAATTAAACAATAAAAGTTAAATGTTATTTAATAACTTAAAAATATCTAAACTACATTATTCTCATATGATTCATGTACTTCTTATTCAAAATTTTAAAGAGAAATCAAATATACATTTAATTAATTTGAATCAAAAGCTGATGAATTAAGAGATTTATTTAATGAAGCATTTAATTTTATGTCAGTTGTTTCTGTGGCTGCATATGAAAGATTACATAAACCATTCGATGAATCAGAAATTGTAAGTGAAGCTGAATTTACATCAATATCTCTAAAGCATTTCTCAGATATAGAATTAATTGCCAAAGAATATGAATAAACTCTCTCAGAAAAAAGAAGGTAAATAATATACATAATTATTTAGATTAGGAAATATAAATTAAAATCATCACCAATATAAATCTGTTTGTTCAAAATTATTATAATTAATTAAATCTTTTCCTTTGTAAGAATAAGACTTCTAACAAAAAATGATTAATTTATAAAGAGTTTCCTCAATATATTTTAAAGGTGTTTCAAGAGATATCTAAATATGTTTATCAAATTACTAACTTATTATTTAAGATTATAGGTTATCACTAGCAGCTATTGATAAAATTGTTATTCATAAGGATTTATTATAAGAATATTATGATAGCTTTGATCATTATTAATATCTTATTTTTTATTTAAATTAATAACCTTAAAATTACAAAGATAACTATTATTAATTTAAATAATAAAAAGATGAACTTAAATTTGTATAATTTAATTAAAGCAAATATTTTTTTGCTATGAAGAATAAAATTTATTAGAAATCATGTTTATTTATTGAAACAATTCAAAATTAAGTAAACTCATAAAAAAAAGCAGTAGAATTTATAATACCTTTGATAGATTAATTTAAAAAATATTAAAATAACAATTTTTAGGATTTTTTTGATTAAATTTTTAATAATTTATAATAATCCATATCAAAAGAATAATGGTAACATCTTATTAATTTATATTAAGAAGTGTAATAAGGGAAATGTATATTGAAAATAATACTAGTAAAATTAAACAATTTATAATAATAACATCCTACATTAAGCGAATTTAAAGAGAAGTTTATTCGAAAAATCGAATAAGAACTTAAATTTATTTAATCATTGAATCCAAAAGTAGAACCATACATAAGCATTCAGGATATTGATGCCCATGTTTAATATTTGACATTTAAAGATAGTTTTGAAAAATAAAGGTAGGCTATGGATTTAAAAATTCAAGAAATAGTTGTTAATTTACCATAGCAATTATTATTAAGTGATATTGAGAGTTAAAACTTAAAAAAAATAAATATTGAAAAGTTTTTTAGTCAATCACATTAATTAGAATAAACTGCAATGAAATTGTAAAGAAAAAAAGTATCACCAGATTTTGAACATATTAAGTCATAATTACATGGTGATATAATATTTGAAAAAGATGTTATTTGTCTTTTAGAATCTATGCAATATTTGCATTCTGGAAATTTGTAAATGATTATAGAAGATTTTAATGAAATAGATTTGAAGAATAATAATAGTTCATTATAATAATTGATAGAAGTAGTGATAGAGAGTCAAAAAAAAATTGAATTAATTTAAAGTGATAAATTATCAGAAATAAAATAAGTATAAGTATAAGGATTTAAATGGATATTAAATTTATTCAAATAATATGATTAATTTAGAAAAGTATTTATTCTTAAATATAAAGAATTTAATTGAATTAATTTTCCAAATCTAGGAGGAGTAATAAATTGAATATTAAAGAACAATTTAAATATAAAATTATGAAGACTTCATAACTATAAACAGATTTAGCCATTTATTTTATTATTTAAATTAATATCCTCGAAAGTATTAACATTGGGCGACAATAAAGAATGAATTGATTAAAGTCATATTGAGTTCATTTAAGATTTTTTAAAAAAAAGTGATGGAAAAAGTAGATGTTTTAGGTGGAGAGAAACCAATAAGTTTTCTCTAATTAGATTAAGATAATACAGAGAAGATATTGAGATGGTTTTCATTGGAATAACATCACTCAAATTTAGCCAAAGCAATTTTATTATATTAGGGTTATAAAAAGACTAAAAATTCTAATTCTCAATTTTCAGCTTCGTATTAATAATAAGATTAAAAGTAAAGACAATTAATGGAAATATAAACTAAAATGTTTGATATAATTAATAAATTTCAAGACTAATTACAATTACTTTCTTGTGAAATTAAGTTTGCTTATCATAGCTCAGCCGAAACATTAACAGAGGAAGAATTAGATAAAATAATATTTACAGAATTATAAGAGGAATGGGTTTTAGATTATATGGAAAAAGGATAAGATCTCTCTTTCTTGGCAGATTTATAAAACTATTCAGGTATATTTGATAGTGTATTATTAAATTAAAGTTTGATATTTATCAATTTGAATTAGATCTTAAAGTAAAATGTTTATATAATTTAGAACATAAAATGAAATAGATGTAAAATAAATAAGAAATAATCTTTTCTAAGTAATTAAACATTAAACATGAAGAAACAAAAAAACTGATATTTTTTAATATATTCAACAAAAACATCATTTTTAATACATCTCAAATGCTACTTCTTCTATAAGATAATCAAATAGAAGATCTGATAGATCAATAGAGATTTCAGTAGTTTCTTCATCATAATTAGTCCATCTATCTTCATTATCAATAATCTATAAATTAAAAATATTTAATTTATACATCTAAAGTTAACATTCTATAAAGTCTATCTTCCCTTATTTGTGCTATAGTTTCTTAATCTAATTACATAGTTTTTGGAAATGGAGAATCCTCTTTATCAACTAATATTCCTGCCATATAATGACTCCAATCAATAACTTTTTCTGCTGCTTTTCTAATAATTCCAGGAACATCTGTTAATAAGTTTTCCCTTGCTTTCAATCTAGTTGGATCAGATTTCCATAAAAATGGTTATCCATTTAAACCATATGGTCTAAATTGATTCAATGCTTCATTTAAAGAATCAAATATAGCTTTATTATGAATATGTTCTAATTCAATAATTAATTTATTTTGATGATTTATTATTCTTTATTCCATTAAGAATCTTTCAAATTTACCAAATAATTCTACATTAAGAATGATTTAATGAGATGTTCCATTTGAATCAAATTCTGAATCTGTAGAATCTCTAATTGGTTAAAGAAACTTTAACATTAATTTAGATGATGGACCTAATGGAACATTTATTATTCTCTAAATTTATATCATTAAATTATCTAATAAACAATTTTTATATTTTTACCTATCAAATATTCTTCTAAATTTTTAAGATATGTTTTTATTTAGGCAACATTAGTTTTTAGACCCTATATTTTTTGTTCTTTTGGTTAAGCAATCTAATTCCTACGATTTAATTATGAATTGCTTATTATTTCAAATAAATCAATTCCATTTCTTTACATTTCTGTATAAAATGAACTTACCTCATCTTATATTAACATATTTGAAATCAATATAGAATATGAATCAGCACATTTCTCAGATATCTTTTATGGCTCTTTCAATTGTTCAACATTTCTTACGAATTAAGATTATGCCAATTTTTTTAGATTAAAAGGCTCTGGACAAATTAATTCTTTTTCCTCTAATATGTTATTACTCTTTCTTTATATTGTAACTATATCTTCATATATCTTATTCCTATCTTCTTACTAAGATTATTATAACATCTAAGAATTTGATATTTAAATATCTATTATTGAACTCTTTAAAGAATTTTCAGAGTAATTTGCAGATTCTTAACTTAATGAATCCACTATTTTTATTAATGTTTATGAATTTTATTAAGAAACCATTTATCTTACAAATTGCAAGTCTCTTTATGTTTTAACAATTGCATCAAATACACTTTATTATCCCTTTAAAATCTCTCTCTTTTTTTATTCTAAATCTGTTTTTTATTTATTTACCCATTTTTCTATCTTTTTTTATTAAATTTCAAATGTTCTAGGAGATATTTAATTGTTTTAAAAAGCTTTATCAATTTATTATAAAGTTTATTATTATCTTTATTAAACTGCTTCTTCTCTTAAAGCAATTAATTAATCCATCTTATCTCTTTACATAAGTTCTTTAAATTTATTCATAACAAAATCTTAAAATGATGTTTATTCAAATAATCCTTTATCTTATTAAAATGATTATTCTCCTTCTTATTCTTATGAAAGACTTTTCAATAATGATTCTGAACCAAATGCACATCTAATTTCTCCAATATCAACTTTATTCTCTTCTTCTTACTCTTCTACATCAATTGATAATTTACTAGCTTTTCTAGATTTTTAATTTCCCTATGATTAAATTTATTCATCTTAAGAATTTTAATTTGATATCTTAAATTTTTTAGGAGTATGATCAGATATAATTTACAATTATATCTATTTAAATTTATTTGAAACTTAATTCTATTAGTTATTTTTGTTAGATTAACAATCTATATCATCTTAAAAATTTTCAATAAATTTTTAATATTAATTAGGTTCTGTCTACCTTTTTAGATCTTTTTAATTATCCATCTAAGAATTAGGTCTTGAATGGCTTAAGAAACTAGATTCATCTACAATTTAAGAATTATCTATTGAATCTTTCTTAATAAAGCCAAATTTTATTAATTTATTTATTTAAGATTTGGTTAAACTTTTCAAATTTAATCCATCTTTAGTTTTATGGTTTTTCTTTTCCTAAAATTTAGATTTAAAACTCATTTATCTAATCTTATAACCTTTCCACATTTTTTGAATAATAATAGCAGCTTAATTTTCAACAGAAAAAATATTCTAAGATAAAGTAATCTTCTTACTATTATCTTTCTTAAAATAATTTTCATCATTATTAATATCAGGTATTGAACATTTTCTCATTTAAAATATATTTTATTCCTTAATTTTAACATCCTTTTCTTCTTCTGAATGAGTATCTAGAATATTTTTTTAACTGTAAAAACTATCATCTAAATCTTAAATATTTTATTCATCATCACTGTCATTAGGAATATTATTACTACTAGAATGACTCATTAATTTATAAAGAGATGATTAAGGTTTTGATTCATTTTTTTAAGAATTAAATGCTCTTTGATTCATATTAGTAAAATTCTCATCTATATTTTAATATTATATAACTATCTTTTTTTATTTCTATTATTTTTTGAATTTCAATTTCTAAGCAGTTGCTTCAAATAAAGAATTAGTCTTTTCATGGAGAGAACCTGTTCTAATTCTATTATTTTAAACAGGTTTATTATGCTAACCTTAAGAGAGACTTCTGTTTCTTCTTTATATTTTCTAAGAAGGACTAGGATAATGAATTGTACTTATCTTTAGTCTATTAGGTAAGATATTAAAATTTTTAGGTTTCTTTACTAACTATTTGTACTATTATTACAAAGTAGATGGTATTTTTAATTTTTATTTAGATGGATTATCCTCATGAATAGACTTTTTCTCTAGCTTAATAAATCATATTACTTTTAATTATTGATTTAAGATTCTTTTCTGCAAATTAGTTTAAAAATGATGTACCCATTTATTCTCTTCTTTCTTTAAGATCTACAGTTGTTCTTGTATTTCGACGTTATATAGCATTATAATATTTCTATTATTCAGCTAAAATGTAATTGCGAAGTCGCTATTAATTCACACCCCAAGGAAATACTTAAGAAATAGACTTTTTTGTTTTATATCCACTTTTTTGTATTTCAGTTTTAGATTTCTATAAAGATTTCTTACTTTTTTTCTTTTTCTTTTTCTTTATTTTATTAGGTGTAACTATTTAACTAGGATTTTATTTGCTAGCCATTAAAAAATCTTGTTAATCAGATTCTGTATGTCCTAATTATTTGGTTTCATTTATGATCATCTTAGGTTTAATTTGACTTTCAACCTTGTATCCAGTAACCTTATCTAAATTAATCAATATAATACTGTTTGGGTTGCTTGTTTTCTATTTAAGCATTTAATTTATAACAACCAATAAAATATAATAAAGAATGTTTATAATTTTTCTAAATTTAATCCAATAGTTTATCATGTATATATGAGAATAAAAAAAATTATAAAAATTGAAAAAGGATACTTGTAATAAAAATAAAAGTATTTTTTGAAATTTTTATGGTTATTTAAATTGAATCTATTTATTTTTAGATGGTTTTAGAATTAATATTAATTTGTAGATTATCATTTAAGAATAGAAATGATATAAGATTGACAAATTTTTATGTTAAAGTAAAATTAACGATCTTTATTATTAATAATTTGAATTTAAAATGAATACATATAGTCGATCTCCATTAGAACCAGTTACTTAAAATAAAGAATATTTTACATAATAATCTTCATCAAAGGTGATAACAAGTACAATCAGATAGTGTACTTCAGTGACTTAAAATTTAGGAGTATCTTAAATGAAAAGATCAATGTAAATAATTGTATTTATTAATAAAAAGGTCAGGAAATAATATCTATTCATCATAAATAAATAACCCTCCTCCAGCCAGATAATAATTAGGTAAAAACCTTGATATAGTTTGTTTTTTGATGGCTTGTGAAGTAGAAAGATTTGTGGCTGAAAATGATAAACTAAAGTATAGAATAAAGGAGATGGATGATAAATTATTAGATAGAAATAGTTATGAAAAATAAATAGAAGATTTATAAGCTAGACTAATCTAAATGCAATATTAGGAGAGTATGTTCAGGTACATTATAATGAAAATTTATTAAGATAAGAAGTTGAGATTACAACCTCTTAGTATAGTGAGGAAATAGAGAATTGGAAGATTAGATATTTTAATAATGAAGAAAAATACAGAAATGAAAATGATTCACTGAAGCAATAACTTTTAGTTGGAAATTCAAAGTAATAAAAAGAAATCGACGATTTAAAGAGTCAGTTATTAAATTAGAAAGAAATGAATGTAAATCAATTTGATTAATTATAACTAGGAAAATGAATTATAAAAACTTAGAGAATAATTATTAAATAAATAATAAGCAATAGAATATTATTAAGTAGAGCTAAATCAATATGAAACTGAATTTTAATAATACAAATAATAAGAAGATAAAATAGTTTAATTGGAAAATAAAATTGGGATGCTTGTTTGTGAAACTGAGAGATTGAACAATTTATTGAAATAAAAATTAGAAGAATTAGAAATGAACAAAGTTAGATATAATAATATGGCTTAAGAAGCTGAGAAATGGAGAAATGAATTAAGATCTTTATAAAATTAATTTGATAAAAAACAGAAAGATTATGATTAACTTAATTAAGCTTATGTTTTAACTTAAAATGAATTAATCAAATATAAGGATTAGGATTAAATTATAGATTAAATGTAAAATAAAATAGTTCTTTTATAAGGAGAGATTGATAGACTCAATTAAGTATTAAGAGAAAAGATAAAATAAGGAGAAGAATGGAGATAAAAATATTTTGATTCTGATAATTAATGTAAAGAAATGAAATAGAAATTAACTAAATTAGATTCATTGTAATTGTAATTAAAAGATTAAGTTGATATGCTTTAATAAATGAGCAATAATTTAGAAGATTAAAAAATGAAAAATTATTAATTGCAATAATCTAATAATAATTTAGAGTAGGATAATCAAGATTTAATTAACAGAATTGAATTGTTAACCTCTGAAATAGAAAGATTAAATAATATTTTAAGATAAAAGATTCATGAATTAGAAGAATGGAAATAGAAATCTTAACATTATGAATAAGAATTTAAAAATAAATCAATTCAATATAATGATATAAAAAGTAAGTTGAATTGTTTAACTTAAGAAATTGATAGAATGTAAGAATAATTAAGATAAAAATAATTGGAGTTATAAAATCTATAAATAAATTAAAATTAATTATAAAAAGAGATGAATAATCAAGAATAAATTAATTAATCCTTATAGAAGCAGATTGAAGAATGGAAAAGAAAATATACTAATTTAGAATATGATTTATAAGAATCATTAATGAAGAATAAAAAACTAGTTGAATATGAAAATACAATTGCTATGATATCATAAGAATTAGAAAGATAGAAAATGTTATTTTAATAAAAGTCTTAAGAATTTGATGATTAAAGAAGATAGATGATGGGTGATATTTAAAAACTAAAATAAAGTATGGGATTAAAATCAACAGAAACAGAAGAATGGATGTCAAAATACAGAAGATTAGAATAAGCTTATTCTGAATTAAGTTAAATGAATAGAATAGTAGAAGATAAATGGAAATAATCACTTATAAGAATTATTTTACATTGTTCTGAAATTGATAGATTAACTTAAGTTTAAGCAGAAATCTTTGATGAAAATGAACAATTGACAAATTAAATTTCTCATTATTAAAGTTAATTAAAAATTAAAGATGATTAATTATATAAAGCTTTAGATAGAAATAATTTATTATAAAAATTATAAGATGAAGAAAAGAGTAAAAGACATAATTTAGAAAGTTAATTATCTAGTTTAAAAATATTTTAAGAAAATTGTTAAATATTGGAATAAAAAATAATAAGTTTGACTACAGAGAATTAAAGACTAAATGAATAATTACGATTAAGAAATGGAGAGATTGAAGATTATAGAACATAAATTTAAAGATATGAAAATAAGATATAAATTAGTAATTAAGAGTTGGAGAGAGTAAATTAATAATTAAGAAAAGCTTTTACAGAATAAGATGAAATAAGAAAAGAGAAAGAGAGATTAGAATCATAGTATAATATACTTTAAAGATAATATGATGAATTAAAACAGAAATATAATTCAGTAGAACTATATAAAACTAAATATATTGAATTAGAGAATAGATGTGCTATGTTATCTACAGAAATTGAAAGATTAAATTAATTATTAATGAATAGATAAGATGAAATTGATTAATTGAAAAAGAAATGTTATTAATTGGAATAATAAATAATATAGTTAAAACAATATGAAGAAAATGTAAATGATATAAATAATATATATTTTAGATTAGAATATTATCAAATGAAATCGATAGATTATAAGGAATCATAGATGTTAATGAGGCTGAACTAAAATAATGGCGACTTTAATATGCAGATGGAGGAGCATAAACTAGAAAAATTTAAGATCTCTTTTTTCATTTTGTGGTAATTCTAAAATTAATTAATAGATGTAATCAGCTGAGATTGAGAGTCTCAGAGCTAGAGTTTAAGAAAAAGAGAAAGAAGTAGAAGAAGTTAGAAGAAGTAGTTTAGCTCCATATAGAAGATGAGTAATTAAATATTTATGTAAATTTAAAACAAATAAAACTTCATCTAAGACATGCTATCAATACCATTAAAATATGTGCAAATAAGTACACTATGTCTATGTAAATAATCATTGATCCAATTATATAATCATCAATTGATAATTTATGAGTCTATAATATGAAATATCGATATATATTACACTTCCACCTAAAATCAATTATGTATCATATATTAAATAAGCTCCAAATAAGAGACAACAAATTAAAGAATAGAGAAGGTTAATTATATTTTAGTAATAAACTCCAGCCATTATTCCGAATAGTAACAAAGATGTAGTACACATAAATAATAAAGCTCCTTATGTAGTAAAGTCTGATTTAGTCTTACAAGCATATAAAGTTAATCCTATAACTGCTGCTAAAGACAAACCAGCAGCCATTAGTACAATAAAACCTTTTATAATTAAATCATTTTACCACCATTCTAACTATATTTATCAAATACATAACTGCATATATTTGAAATCAAATAACCCTCGCAAATTGTAAATATCAATAAAAGTATATAATTATAGGGTACTCTCCAAGCAAATTTTGGTATACAAAAAAGAACCAATTCAATTAATATTGCAATCCCTAATGCCAAATATGCATAACCATTGTTTTATAATTAGAACATTCTGTATTCAATTGATAAATATGATATTATGCACATTCCCACTGTTAAAAGTAATTATATTATCATTATTGAATAGACCTTTTACTATTTATTTTTATACTTTTTTAACAAACCCAGTTCTTTCATTTCCAATTAGTAATTTATATTAATTATTCTTAGCATACCATCTTGATTCATTTTGCGAACTTGTATCATCTTCTATAGCCACAGACACATGTTAAGGATATTGTATACTCCCTCTTGGCTCACTAAGTTTTGTTGGCATAGATTTAATCTCTCGATGATCTCTCTTATGTTCTGAATGATATTTTCCAAAATCCAAAGGGCTAATTTGGTCATCTTATTAATTTTCACTCATTTATAAATTATATATTTTTTATACAAGAAAATCCTATTTAATCTAAATACTACGATTTATATTCCATTTTTTATTAGATTTTATTAATAACCATGTTCATTTTTATAGTTCACAAATTATTCAAGTGTTTTCGATAAATTTTACTTTCTATTTTAATATTCATATTAATATTTCATAAAAATTAAATTTATAAGAAATGAATTCCCTTTATTCTTTTGCAGAAATATTTTGTATCATATAAAAACTATGAAAATTATCAAATAGTAATATTTATGATGATAAAATAAATTAAGTTATTTATTTAATCTTAAAAATCTGAAAACAGTACAATAAAAAACTTAATTATTAGATAAATTTTAATATATTTATCATTTAATATCTTGATTTAAATAATCCATCTAA